AGAGATATTAAGCATTTATAATAGAGTTCTTACGCGGTTTCGTTTGATAATCGAGTGATTATCTCGTAGCTTGTCTGTTATTTACGACGCAACACCTTGCATAATACGATATACGGTAATGCGGAAAATATGTAATAATATTAATTAACGTGTAATGTTAACGTGCGCAACACATTGCATCAATTTTATAAATAAATAATCAGAGGCAAAACACACAAGGGATATATCGCCGACGGGGGTGTCTCGACGATGCATCGTCGTCGGGATTAAAGTACGTCGGAGAAAATGTGCGCGAAAGAAAAAAAAAAAGAAATTAGATCCGCCGGAGGAATATAGCTTATATTTCCGCTAGAGAGAGCGGTACACTGATGTCATTATCCTTTCTCCTTCGCCGACGAGGAGCAGAGAATTTAATGGCGCGAGCGTCGGAATAACTTGGGCACGTGATCGATCGACAATGAGGTTCGCTCTGTCGCGAGCGTCGTTTCTCTTTGTCGCTCTCGATTTATCAGCAATGCCACCCCCGGGTTAAGGTCAATCTCTTCCGGATAGAAAACAGACCGGGACCATTATCGTCGCAAACGTCACGATATCAACGTCCGCGTTTTTCCGTGGACTCAGCAGCCCTAATCGTTTTGCTAAGTCTCTTTCCTCGTCCTTTCTTTTGGCGCGCGAGCGAACAAATTCTCGATGAAAAACTGCACAAATTACTTTCCGTAGGAGATTCACGATGCAGGTATCAAGTAACCTTTTTTTTTTTTTTTTTTCATACAATTTGTTATCTTAATTTTCGCGAAATGAAAATTTTGCGACCGTCACGAAGTAACTCTAGTTTATAAACGTCTAATTTTATTTTTCTTGCTTTCTATTTCGTTTCTCTAATAAGTTTCGACGTCATCATTTCTCTCTATCTTTGTTATCCTCTCGCCCAACCGAGATGTTATTATACATCCTTACGGCGAATTTATCGGTTGTGTCACAAAACTGACAACGTGATGTATGCGATTACTTCGAAAACTCGGCCGGAAAACTCGTGGGGAGGAGGAGGGAGGGCGAAGAACGCGCGCAACACGCGTGAAGTAATTTTCTCTCCCCGAAGAAAAGATACTCGCACACACGTACGATGTCGCCGCGTAAAACATAACCGAGTTATTGGGCGGCACACGGCGTGGTTAATCAAGAGAGAGATTAAATCGAACACATACATCGGGGGGAAGGGGGGTATATTCTCGTCCTTCTCTCTTTCTCTCTCTCTCTCTCTCTCTCCCTCATTGGACAATACCGGATATTGGCGGAAGCCGCCCTTCTGCTCGACGAGTTAATTAAGTTCGCGCTTATCGGAACCACCAATGCTGCAGAGTCTGCAAGGTGTTCGTGTAATCCGCGTGAGACATTTGACCGTGTCTGCAGATAACCGTGTTGTCGGACGAAATGATCAATTAAATACTTGTTCTTTTTTGTTTTTAAATAAGAAATTGTGCAAAATAAAAGATCTTAAAATTATCTCTTGCGCGCGTGCGTAAGGGCGCGTGAGAGATTATTGTTGCTGAACAAATAGAAAATTATATTCGATTCCGTTGTCGCCGTGCGAGCATATCTTTAACGGGTGACTCAGCTCGGTAGCGAACTAGAAATACTTTTCTCATAATGCGTGATTCTCATTTCGGAGTAAGAGCAGTCCGACGCAGATTGCGAGAAACACTTGAGAGAGTTCCTCGAACTTTTGTTATATGCGAGATGACTCTCTCTCTCTCTTTCTCTTAATAGTTTCGATTAATAAAAACTCAATATAATGAAATGTTTGCGCAAAAAGACAATCTCTAATTTTTTTTTATTCAGTTCAAAAGAGTTTATATAGATGAGAAATGGAGAAAAGGAGAACAAGAGGAGAAAACGGTCAGAAGAGAGAAACGTGACGCTGGCAAACCGTATTTTTCCGGTCGGTGATCATCATAATCAACAACTTTTCCAATCGCGCCTTTCGCTCGCGGGGTCTCGTGACCAAACGCCGTTACAAGAAAACCACCAGTAACCTGCTTTCCGACGCTTTTCTGTACGACGTTCAATTATATCGTCGTGTCAAAAAAAAAAAAACAAGAAAGAAAGAAAAAACATTTTTCAATTCAACAAACACGCAACTTTGCATGAGTATGTTCTATAAACATTAATAATTGCCCCAAAGTCCGTTCCAAAGGGAATGATATAAAAGACGCTGGAGGAACGCGGCTCTCGTGCAAAACCAGATGCGAAGATGAAATTGGACGAATTCGGTGTGGCGACATCGTAAATTTTCTTCTCTAACATTGGCGGCGCTCCAATTGTAACAAGGCGACCCGACGTCTGGAATCGCGAGCGCGAATACCCGCGTTTTGAATACGAAACCAGATTACGGATTCCTATATTTGAATAGACAACCTCCCGGTTCTTGCGCGTCCGCGCCGACTTGTTTCACAATCAGCCGCTCCTCCGTATTCTCGTTTCTCATAACGTCGGGTTTTTTCGCGGATTCTTGTTTACGAAAATATCGAAAGAAAAAACAAAAAAGAAATGCCGAGACGTTCCCTTTCGTTGCCCTTTGATCACGCGGCCGCGGTAGAACCTCCGGCGACCCTCCGACATCGTTGAATCTTTATTTTTTTTATTTTTTTTTTGTCCTTGCTTTCTTTCATCAACGCCTTAACGTCGCGATGATATTGCGCGTCTGCAAACTCCACGCGCTTAATTGCTCAAATATTGCGAATTCCTAGAAGAGAGATGAAAATATCGAGACTTTTGCTTTTCCGCGATTTTTTCTGGATATGAATTTAAAACAAGCAGCGAAAAAATCCCTCTCAAACAAAACCGGAAAATAAAATATTTGGTTCAAACGCCAATGTTTGCGGAAGCATCAAATTTTGTGTATTTTTGTAATTTTCAGAACGCAAAAAGTGAACGAAAACTCTTTACACTTCAAACTTTCTTTTATACTTTTTTTTTCTTAATGTTCCGTTCATCGCTAAGTAAGTTGAGTGATTATCACCTAATTAGAAGAATGTACGTATTACGAGGCATCGGAGTGCATCGTGTGTTAAACGCTCTCTATAATTGCGCACCGTGCTAATTTGCCGTTAAATTCCCAACGTCTTCCGCTTTCCGAGCGAAGGAGACGCGCGAAAGAAAGTGCGCGACGGGGGGGTCTCTCGCGCGAGTTTCTTTACGCCCTTGTTCTTCTTCTGCGCCAAAGGGTAGGACCCTTTTTTTTGTGCATCCGAATGCATCCCGCACGGCTCGTTAATAGGTAAAAATGTCGCCGACGCTCGTCGGCAGGCCACGTGTTGAGAACCCCCCATCGTCATGGCAACCCCCATAGTCCGAGTTCACAGACGACCAACATCACCGCGCTGGTCCAGGAACGTACCCCCAACATAGTCATCCCCTTATAATATGTAATTGCCTACGAGATTCGAATTTGCAATATAATAACGTATCTGTGTATTTATTTCCAAATATTATTTGCATCGCACGATTTTCAATTTTTGTTCCAGGAGAGAGAGCGACAATTGTTTAATAACACCGAGAGAGATACAACTTTCGCCATTTGCACAAATGTATTTCTTTACAATTATTATGTATTTTCTATTGTCTTTGTGTTTACGCAATAAATATAATAACAATATTATTATTACAAATATAATAGATATAATAATATTATTATTATTATATTTTTTAAATTTACATGTTTTAGTCAAGTAAAATTTCGGGAGAACAAGCTCTTGTAAAAGTATTACACGTTGCGCTACGTAGAGAATTTAAACTTCAAAGTTCATGATACAATCTGTACCGTTGGCAGGAAAATCTCATGAATATGACGTAAGACAGACCTCACGAAGGGATATATATATGTAGTACATATATATATATATATATATATATATATATACGTGTATTACTTCTTATGCCATCTATCTCGGCATGTATTATATGCGAACAGATCGATACGTCCCGACACTGCGCTTTTTCCGTACACACTATCGCGTTTTGTTTCATCTCATAAAAATTCACGCAATCGAAACCTCCTCCTCGCGCTAACGTTTTCGCGAAGAAACTTTCTCGAAACTTTGAATCTATATAAAAAGAAAAAGAACAACGAGAGAAGAAACATTTATTTTTTTTTGTTTATATTTATTTCTTTTTGATATCAATTTTCGTTCCGCTCTCTCAATCTTACTTTATTACACTTCCATCCCCGAGAATCGCATTCTTTTTCCTTCCGACCCGCTAAGTCTGACAAACCGTCAAGTATTTCATAATGGAAACTCATTTACAGCGGAGAGGCCTGTCAATTAAGCGCAAATCCATCATGGATTTGACTCTCTCTCTCTCTCTCTCTCGAACACGCCCCTGGGGGACGAGAGTTGGTCAATTCAGTGTACCGTGTACGCACATGTATATACGTACATAGGTACACACATGTTCGGAAAATAATGTAAGTGTCAAACACGGGGGTGAACGTAACAACAATACACATGCCGTGTGCCCCGGCGCTCATACAACGCCGACAATGCCGGCTTCGCGTATCCGTCGACACCCCGGATCTGACATTCAGATCTGACATTCAGCCGTTTCTCTCTCGAGCAAAGTTCGAGTCGGGCGAATAATACCCGGAGCGAAGTTGGCCGGAAACAAACGCCGTGTTGTATAACGCGCGGAGCAGTTACTCACCGCTTCCGTAACTTTGTCGTTTCCCGGACTTTAAGACAACACGAGAGAGAGAGAGAGAGAAAGAGAGAGAGAGTCCTTTTAAACGTGAACGTGACACGGGGCCTACGGGAATGTGCTCGAGATATGCTCGAGATGTGCTCGAGATATGCTCGAAAACTTTGCCACGTTGACTTGTCATTATTCTCTTTCTTTTCTCGTTTTGTACGAGAAGAGTCGAGAAGAGAAGAGCGCGTCGATTTCTGATATTGAATACACGACGGATTGTAATTATTTTTTTTCCTCTGACGTTCGTGTTGCAGAAGTGATGTCTTCCTGGAACCGTATCTGCAGCAGCACGGAACCGTTCAGGTGGTCAGCTCGCCGAGCACTCCGCCGCCGAATCCGCTGCAGCATCGGCAACTTACGCAGCTACATCATGTACAGGTGAGTCGCAGAGAGAAAGAAAGCGAGGAAATAAATATATATCGTGTATTTCGTAGAATTTAAAGAAGAACGCGCGTGTGAATTGCTTTTTTGAGACGAGTTTTTTTGTTCTTTTAGATGGAGTTTCTCCGGATATAATAATTAATTAATTAATTAATTTTTCCTCTAATTTTCTTGTCAAGGTCACGTCAATAGTAAATAAAAAAAATTCCTTCCTACACGTCGCGATCGTTTGGGCGCGTAATCGCGAATTTTCGACAATTTGCTTTTATTACGAGCTCGGAAATCTCCGAGTCTCTTTTAAGCCGTGGGGCGTAAATCCCCCCGGGCTCTGTCGCACAATGCGCCCTTAATACCACATTATATCCCGACGTGCCCCGCGTCGCCCAGTTATCTCCATTCGCAGCCGATGCGAATAAACGTTGCGTCCGGTCGCGCAATGTATTTATCGTTTTTCCCTCTCGCTCTCTCCACCCACACCCTCCTATTCCCGACGACGTCGCGCTTTTACGCGATGCAGAAAAGCCCCATTGAAAAAAACGATAATCACAGTATTTTCGAACAATCTCGGGAAAGACAGAGGAACGCGAGCTCCCGCTTTTGTAAGAAAGATTATACGTACTTGAAAAATACGGTTTTNTNTTTNTTNNTTTTTTTTTTTTTTTTTTTTTTTTTTTATTCTTGACAGTTTGATCGATGTTGATCGAGAGCGCGGACTGGGCTTTTAATTCTAAGTAACTTAGTTTTTTTATTTTTTATTTTAACGGCATTTTCCCGAAATCGAGCAAGTGAAAGAGAAAAATTGACGACGAACGAAACGGACGAAGAGGAGCGGAAAAAGGTTTGCAAGAGGGGAAGTGCATTGACGAAAGGGTTTGAATGTAATTTAATTTGAAATGCAGACTGACACACGGTTTCGAGGTAACGGGATTAAACGCGGACGTGCGTCGCGTGTTGAATACCCTCTTCGAGAAAGAGGATGATGAGAGGGAAGGGGAAGAGAGAAAGAGCTAATTGCAAAACCTTTAATTATTCGTTAGAAAAAGTTGCGGTGAAAACGTCGTTCTCGTTCCCGACGCTTCGTGCGAAGTACGAAAAAAAAAAAATTTCTTGCATAAGACGTCGTATATTACATTCGCAATTTTAATTCTTGCGCATCTGCTTTTGATATGACATCAAATTTTGTTGTCTTTGTTTCTCTCGCCTCTCTCATAATTTTCTAAAAACAGAAGAAGCTCGCCGAGAGGGAGCGACGAAAATTTAATACAGTTTTCCAACCGTGAATGTAAAGTGAGCATTATTACGCGCTTAATTAAACTTCATATTGGTCATGTTACCGCGGAACAGTTTACCGCGTGTGCATGTAAATTTCATAATTGGACAATTCGGCGTAATTCGTGAATAATCATTTGTGTACACACAGCCCGCGTTGTGGGTGGATCTTTTGTTTGTTGTTATTACACACATGTGTGTGGTACGGCACATAAAGTTATACATATTGAATAATATTTTGCTTCTATTTGAAAATAATAATAACGCCCACAAAATGTAACACGCGGTGATTACACCCGACAGAGATTTGAATCTATCTGAAAGGATAGCTCGTACGCATTTTGTAGCTGTATAATCTCTTTTATTATGCTTCAAAACTTCAAACATTTCTATATCACACAGTAAAATAAATAAAAACACAAATAAAATAAATAGTTTTTTTCTGTTTCTCATGTTTGTCAGAGCGAAGAATCACTGTCGTCGGAAGGTTCGGCCACTTCGGCAGGATCTTCGGAATCCACGGAAGATTCTGGCAGCGAAGTGGCGTGCGACATCACCCTCATCGAAAGGCTCATACGCTCGCATCCGATCTGGTTTCTGCCGGGCATTCAGAGAGCCGGAGCTTTTCATCTGTTGCAAGGCAAGGAGGAAGGGGTGAGTGCACGTTTTTTGCTCGGCGAAGCTAAAACTCGGAGTAAAATCGAAATTTCACCTAGAAGAGACATAAAAAACAAATACGAGAAATACGCGATTTTTTTTCTACCCGTGCGCGCGCGCATATTTGCCGCAGAAATCCGCACCGATGAAAGCGAGTGAGTCGTGACTCTTGGTTTAACACTTCAGCGTACTAATAACGCAAAGAATGACAAAGTACGCCGGCACGGTCACCAGTCACGAGAAACCGTGTCAATGCCTGACGAGATACGCAGTACTTACACGCGAAAAATCAGGCTGAGAGAATTCTACGCGCATCCGGCGTCGTCTTACGTAAATCGCGAGGTCGATGAAGCGCGGAACTCGCTATTACACACGCCTTATCCGTCCTTTATTTCCGTGGGATGTTACCGTGTATATATATACACACACATATATATATATATATACATACATACGTACATATATACAATATTTGGTTTCTTTTGTAAAATAAAAGTTTTATAAAAAGAATTAAAATAAGAAAACATTTGATTCTTACGTTTTTACATGATTTCGTTACAGAATTTCGTGGTGCGGCAATCAAGTCAGAGCGACACAATGGCCCTATCTGTGAGATTACCCGCGGGTAAGGGGCCCTACATCGAGCACTACCTGATCCAGGCCAACAAGGGCAAGCTGAGTCTGGAAACGAGCGAGAACAGGTTCGACAACATCCCCTCGTTGATCGCCCATTACTCGCAGTGTTGGTGAGTATGTTCTATTTCTCTTTGTTTCCGTAAAAGTTCTTTTGTTTGACAATGGTATAATGCAGAATAACGTATAATATATAACTTTGTGTACGACAATATACGTTATACAGAGTACACACTACACAGAGACGTGTAAAATATAATTAATCAAAAACAAGTTTCAAGAAAAAAATTCAAAAAAGAAAATTATAAAAAATCCAAAAACAAAATAGACCTGAAAGCTATGAAAATTCACCGGTGACGGTAGAATTAAATTGATATTTAATATATTTCTCACTGTAAATTTAATTCAATTATAATAACTACTGTAACAATTAATATATTAACTACAGCACATCACCGGTGGATTAAAGCTTTCGGGTCTGTTTTGTTTTTCGAAACTTTTTGATTTTGTTTTTTTGGATTTTTAAATTTTATTTTTGAATATAAAATATAAAATATTATTTTTATATTAACATAATATGCGCATTGACAATAGACTTGAGCGCTAGTGATATAAATCGTGGTTTTTTTCTTTGCGGTTTTGTTTGATGACAAGCAGCGACGAATTGCCGGTGCAATTAACGCTGCCGAGAGCGATGCGGGAAGCGAAGAACAGACAGCAATTGTCATCGTTGGCGTTACTAGGACAAGAATTCTGGCGGTATCCCATGGCGAATCCGAAGCCGCCGGAAAGCAGCAGTAGCAATACTTCTAGTCTCAGCAGTTTTCATGGCGGTGAGTTTGTTTTTTCTTTTTCTGGGAAACAATTTTGAAACAAATCAGCGGCAAATGTACGCGTTTGCGTAAAAACAATTATGAGCAGAGTCATTTCTGTTATGGATAATTGCAGGTAACAACAACCATAATCACAACAATAATAACATGGACACGCCAACTACGGAGAGCATAGTGCTCAACCTGGCTCCGATATCGTCACACAACACACGTAAGATATTATATAAATATTTAAGATTTAAATTTTTTTTATGTGTGAAAAATTAGACTAAATTTTAATAAGATGAGATAATAAAAATTTCTTTTTTTTACAATCTTAGTACAAAATTACTCAAATAAATTGAGAAGTAGCTAAAAAGTGACTCTCAAATCGCTTCTTCGTCTATTTATATTTATCGAATTATCGTTTTCGAGAGAGTTGAGTCAAGTCAAATTTCTTGAAACTCTACCGAGAAAACCATCCATTAGCCGAAGTTATTTCTGTGACACAGACACGTCCTCGCCGACAAACACCGTGAACGCGAATATTTCGACATTCACGTCGTCGTTGCCGCGTCAGCCGCGTCCCACTCCGCCAAACACTCTCAACCTGACAACCTTCAACGAACCTTTGACTGACAGCAAAAGAGATCGAATCTCATCACCGAACGACAAGCTCTCTCATAAACTGATCTCGCCGAACCTCGTGCAGAGCGTGCGGTGTCCCTCGCCGGTAGTTCACAACGTGGAAAACAACGTTCTGAGCCCGATTCAAGACGTAAAGAACTTCGACACTCTGAAGAATGGATTGGACACACCGAGGTCGATAACGGAATTCCCCAAGACCTCAACGAAGTCAACTTCCATGTCGAGTTTCCACGAGAACAACTTGTCGTGCACTACGTCGCCAGTACTGCCGGATATTAGAAACATTATTGCTGAGAATCAGGGAATGGTACAGAGTGTAAAGACACCGCCGCCGCCGCCTCCGAGATGGGCCAAACCCGGTATCAGTCAAAGTCAAAGTAATTTCACAGTAACCACGACAGTGACCTTCAACGTGAACCAGAACAACGACACTTCTCAGGTAAAAAATTGAAAAATCATTTTTATTCTAAATTTTTTTTTGTGATATTACATGCTTAACAATTTTTTCTCTCTGTTGGCCAACAGCAAAATACCCCGTCGGATCCCAACACGTCGCTGTTGAGTCCTCAATCCAACAAATCGCTCACTTCTAACTTTTCCATCAAGTCACCCCTCTCACCTAACACTCCCGTTATTTCTCCCACTTCGAAGATGCTCTCGAAGACATCCTTCATGGTTTCCCAAAATACTCCGTCTAGCACCAGCAAGTCGAAAAGACGTCGCGACCGCGAGAACCGAAAGAACTCCCAGCATTATCAAGAATCGGACATTTTGGACTCGTACTATCGTAGCTCGCCGGCCGACAAGATTTCCGACTACGAGGACATTTGGAACACGACCGATCAGTCGACGCAGTCGACCTGGAACGACAGCAGATTGAAGGACACCAAAATTGTTTGCACTCCGCAGGATCGATTGAAGAGTCCGACCGATCGTCTGCTGAGTTCCAAGGAGCCCGAGAAGAGCCTTCTCAACGAAAGAGTGCCAGCGGGAGAACAGGTGATTCTGAAGAACGACAGGTTCATGAAGAACGACAAGAAGGCCTACAAGGAGATGATGAGTCCGGAGTTCAGTAGCTTCAAGCCAGTTATTCCAGAAATAAAGAGTCCCGATCAAAGTTCACCAGAGGAAACTGGAATGGGCAGAAAACCCGATCTGTTATCCAGAGTTTGTAAGTGTCTTGACGTTTTTTCGGCTTATCTTTTCTTCTTGTTATTATGTAAATATGATTCTTAATGATAGAATCTGTTTGAAATTCTTGTAAAAAAAAAAAAGAACTTTTTCGGAATTTGAGAATTTTATTTCCACATTAGGCAGTGCAAATTCGCTGAACAGTCCGAGCACGGTGACGCCACCGAGGAACAAGCTCGGTCTCGTTCTTGCGAAGTCGGAGAGCAACAGTCCGCAGACTCCCGAGTCCAAACAGAGCAGTCCTTTTTACGCGGAACCGGCCGACGCGATCGCTCAGAACGCCGCTCAGATAATTCCAAGAAGACGACCGATCAGAACCAATCCGGCGTTGAACAAGTACCGACACAGCGAACCGGGCTGGCTGCAAACTCCAACGGGGAACAACTCGAATCAACTGCATCCAATCGACGGCTGGGAGGAACCGCCAGAGGAAACGGAGGACAAGACACCGTTGATTTCGTCGTCGGTCGACAATCTGGCAAAGAGACTCGGTCAGACCAGGGAGATAAAAAAGATTCCTCGAGCGAAACCAGTTCAGCCGCCGAAGATTAGGAACAAAGTGTTCACCGATACTTCGTGGGCGGTGGATTCGAGTTGGGAGTTCATCGGCAACGATACGGAGAGTTGCGAACCGGATTACGACTGTGATGCTGTTTACGATAGCGACAACGTCGCGAGGAAATTTCCAGGTGACGAAGAATGCAACAAGGACGTTGTAGGAAACATCCTGACTGTTCAGAGTATCATTTTGCAGCGGTGAGTTTCTTTGATAGAGAGAGTCACACAATCTCGCGAATGATTTTATTGTAATTTTGCGCGACAGTTTTTTATTTCAAATTTTTTTTATGAAGATAATTATTTTTTTTTTCTTGTCTTCTCTCCGTGATATATAAGATACCCGGAACTGCTGAAGCCACCGGACACGTGCGAGTCACTGTACAGCGATCGGAATTCCTCGTACGACAATGTGGAGAAGCGAAACCTGGAGCGCGAGGACACGCCGGATTCGCGTAGGGATCGTACGTACGATCCATCCGAATGGGAGACCATGTTGGACACGGATGCGGAAAGCGACATCGAGAGGATCAAGCGAAACAAGAGCTTCAAGGAACGACTGGATCCTCTTTTATGTAAGTTTTTTTTTAATATTACAATTTGAATTAAAAAAATTTACTTTTTCTCCTCTCGCTAACTTGAAATATTTTAATAACAATGTTCTTCGGAACACATCTGAGATAAAATTTTTGTGAAAATAATAAGGCTATAAATAGGATGGGTTTTAAATGATAAGGAGAGGTTTTAAATGATAAGCAATTGTGAAGATCGCGCTAATTATGAAGCTGCTCCGCGTTTGCGCGCTGGTTGTTGTTCTTCGAGACTGCTTTAATCATTCTTCGTCGACGTTGTTTGTGCTATGTTTTCGAAATAAAAAAACATACACATTCTTAACGTGTTCTCATCCTATTTAACAAAGTAAAACTTTAACGTAAATAATGAAAACTGTTGTGAACGTGTTTAATAAAATATTCAAATTCATCAGAGTCGTAAATGAACACACGAATGAATTAAAGCAGACGAAGTTATCGTTACGTTATCTACCGATTGTTGTGTGATTAACCGATAGTTGAAGAAAGAGCAGCAGCGACGCCAACGGTTTCGGTATCTTACCATCTTTGGCGGCTACGTTTGTCAGTCGTCAATCGGTCGGTTAACTGATCGCAGTGTCTGAAACACAGTTGGGACATGAAGTGATTTTTGATAGTGCGACTCTCGTAAACAATTATGACCGGCTGCGGCGGCTCCATTGTCACTTCCTGTTCTCGCAAATGTTTCGTTAAACTCGAAAAAATTCATCTTCAACCTTGTCGCGATGTGACCGTATCGATTCCGGATTCTGCGGAATCTGAAAATTATCGTCGAATTTATCGGAGAAAGAATCATTGTCGTTGACTAAAAAACAGACAAAAAAACAGACTTTTCGCGAGAAGAAGAAAATATAATATCTACGTGTATCTGTTCTTTCACGCGCGCGTATATACGCGCTCAGATAAGAAGTCATTAAACTATCCGATAGCGATTAATTGACGCATATACATAATTGCCCTCTTGCGCGTAATCGCCAACTTTTATCTGTAAACAGTGAGAACAGAAACATGTGAATCGAATCTCTCGTGCAACATTTGAATTTGTTGCTATTTACTTTCGCACACGTGCGCGCGCGACCTTTAATTGAATTGTTATTCAAATGTGAATATATAAAATCGCACGCGATTCGAAGTCGATCTACGAGATATTTCGATGACAATTTTAATGTCTCACCACGCGGAGGAGATGGACGAAGATTGGGTAATAATTAATTATCCATCGGAAGGGACAATTAATTATCTGGAAGAAATACCGGAAGTCAAACGAAAGAAACTTAAAATATGGAAGTGTTCCGCTAAGAAATTCTGGCGAAGAATCGTGATTTGTTTCCGTGTTGTCTTGAAGAAAAGTCTGAGCGCTATCAAACGTAAGCATCGACAAACAGAAAGCGACAGATAAAAAAAAAGCTTACGGCGATACGATCGCGAAATTTATTATTGTGCGATACGAAAACGAAAGACAAATCACAATCCCATTTGTCTTGATTTCAGAAACAAAAAAAAAAAAAAAAAAACAATTTTTGTTTTCAGCACCGCCGCGAGTCCAGGCGCTCTCGAGGAACCGCGAACAGCAGGGCGGGACCGGAACAACCATTCGAGCTTACGCGCTTCAGCTCGCGGCGGACAAGACCACGACCTTCTCGCAGAATATCGACAACTTCATCCAATGCACGCGGGAGAGCAAAGAGGCGAGTCCGCACGTGGTGATGCGCAACATGCGGCAATTTATGTCGGGCATGAAGAATTATCTGGTGAAGCACGGCGAACGCGAGTTCGAGAAGGAGGTGGAGAAGGAGCGGTTGAAGTTGCGATCGGACGAGTTTCTCAATCTCGACGCGATCCTCGAAGACGTGATGATGAGTCTGGTGGTGAGACCTCTTCGGGAGCACGTGTGTCACCTGTTTATCGACATCTTTGCCGCTTCCGGGGCGTTGCAGACTCTGGCGGAGAACATTCAGCACGCGCAGGGCAAGACCATTCACGATCTCGGTGTACGAGTCAGTAAAATTTCTTGAGATGGTATCGTTTAAATGAGATTAAACTTTTCATTTAATTTTATTCATGTTTACACGCAGACGAAGATTATCCCTCCCTCGGAAGAGAATTTGGAGCGCATTCTCAAGTGTATCGGACGACTGCAGAGAGCCGATTCCCCGTTGGAGAAATTGGAGCACTTGCTCGCGGCCATCTCGGCCATTTTCAACTCTGTAAGTGTCTTTTACAATGTTTCTTCGGAAATATTATCGTTCGCAGAATAAAACATACACAGCACTTTGATAACACGGTGACTTTTATCACGTCTGATGATATCGCGATACAATGTACATTTTTTGATGTAGTTAATAATAAGTTTCTCTCTTTCAATTTTGCAGGTGAAACAGACCAACTCGGGCAGACACATTGCGCTGGGTGCCGATGATCTATTGCCGCTAGTGATCTGGGTATTGGTGCGCGGCAAAGTGGTGGACGCTGAAATAGAAGCGGAATATATGTGGGGCTTGCTGCATCCCTCTCTATTGAGCGGCGAGGGTGGTTACTACCTGACTACATTATCGAGCGCAGTGCACGTTCTTAAAACCTTCAAGTCCAGCCAGAGCACTTTATCTTCGTTGAACGTAAGTAACAGACGTACTGTTGATTGTGTGTCTTGCAAGTAAATAATAACACATTCGACTATAGTGGACTTATTGAGAAAATATTTTCTTTTCGTTCAGGGTTGCGGAACACCGGACTGTTCGCCTGTGCTGCGAATTTTGGTACCGGACGAGCTACACGGATCGCTGAACACCAGGACGCTGCCAGTGCGACCCAACATGAACACTAGAGAGATCTGCCGTATCCTCGCGCATAAGATCAGATGTACAAATCCGCAGGATTACGGGCTCTTCAAGTTGGTGCAGGGAGAAGGTGAGTGTCGATATAAGATCGATGATTAGAACGATCTCCGCGCGATTGCGCGATTCAATGTTTTGATTTTTGCGATAAACCGTGTCGCGACTTTTCTCCCGGTATTTGTTTCAGAAACGTTGCTTGGGGATCACGAGTGTCCGCAGGAGCTCTCACACTGTCTTTTCGCGTACAAAAGAATCGACGCGAAGATAGCGTGGCCGAAAACCAGCTCTTAAAGGTGCAACGAAGAGTATTTCAATCGCTTTCAATTGCTTCCTTAGATCTCTGTCATAAGCCAATATCCGTGTGTTTTTCCTAAAATATAAAACATACTTTTCATGACAAACCTGATCACCAAGCTATATATATATAAATATATAATATATTATAAAAAAAAAACATAATATATACACATATAATATATGGTATATGAATTATATATAGCCTTTGGCAGAAATATTATTTCAGCATTTTTCAAGCTATTCGATTTCAAACAATTCAGGATTTCTAAAAAAAAAAAATATTTTCAACACTGCCAATGTCGTTGCGTTTATTTAAAAAAAAAAAAAAAAAAAAAAACTAACAGTAAGACTATGCGCGAGATAGTCTTTATCACTCTTGCATAAGTATTTTATTTAGAGGTACTTAAGCACGATAGAAAATAAAATAATTCGATGAAAAAAACAAACAAACAAAATAACGAAAGAAATTTCGAACATGTGTCGTGCAATGTTCAATCGTGAATTGACTTTCGGTGTGATATACATGTACGTCGTCACGTAAAAATTCAACAAATTTTTTTTCTTTACCAAATGACTGTTCGGCATCACTTATTTTGATTCTAAATTGATCGCCAATTGAATTTCGTCGAGTAATAACGAGGAAAAAGAAAACAAATGTCGCGTACATACATTCGCGCGAGATGACGGTAATCTTGGAACGCGTGTGTGTTGCGACATTTACGTGTATGTGTACGTATACACATATATATATATATGTATACGGTGTTTCGCAAAAAGAGAGACGCGTATGTATTTATATGTATACTCAGTATTCAGTATCTCGTGGACGTTTGCAATAAGAAAAGAAAGACGCTGCTGTTTCAGAGCAAAACTGTTAGTTGAGCGAAGTGGGACTTCACGCGTGTCGGGAGAATATCACACAAAAAAAATTGGAGGACAAATAATTTTTTCCGAATAATCTCTTTCTTTGACGCTAGTAACTGATAACTCAAATAATGTAAAGGCAATCGAGGAAACTTCTTTTGTCAGTCTTACATTTTTTGGAAAAAAAAAAAAAAAAAAAAAAAATCTTTTGTGAAGAAAATGTGATTTAATTCAAATACTTCAAATATCAACTTCACTGATGATCTCTTTAGAAACACACTTGAGGATCCCGATACTTTACGATTCTATTACCCTTTATATATAAATATAAATATATATAAATATATATATATATAGATATATACGAAAGATAAAAAAAATTGCTCTACATTTTCTATGCACTACCGATATTCCGTAATATCGAGTGACAAAAAACATTTAGTAAGGTGATGTTTTTCGGCAAAGACGCAAAGTTTAGAGTAGAAAAACGAAGAGGATTAGTTTAGGTACTCTATTTTAAGTACTTTCTCTATGAAACGAAAAGAAAAAAAAATTGCGAATTCTATATAGTACGATAAGCAATCCGTATAATCTTAGGCAAATTTCGTGTATTTATTCTTACAAACTGTATACACACATATTTTTATTAATATTTTTCACACATGTGATCCCTCCTATCTCTTCCTCTTTCCTCTTCTCTCTTTCTGTTTTTAACGCAGAAGATCTTGCCAGGCTGATTTGAATCGAAAAGGCTGTGTATTCTCTGTATGTGTGTACGTGTACCAATAAAAATTCGCGAACTAAACGATAATGATATATAATAGTAAAATATATATATGCAATAATTATAATCGGCAATATATATGTGTATTAAAAACTTGAAAAATATAAACAAACACTCGATACTTTTTGGAATTTGCAAAGAAATATCGAGAGGACTTCTTAGAGTTGCAAAAAAAAAAAAAAATAATATTTACGACTATTTTGCTACAGAAAGCTCACACAAATCAGCCTCGTATCTCTTATCGTATCTATTATCTTTTACAATTTTTGCGCGCACTTGTTATATATGTAATAATAATATCAGCGTTCTTATAAATGTGTACATTTTTATTCGTATTTAATTTATTACACGCGTTTTTCTCTAACGTATTACTATCCTGTATGTATAATCGTGACTTTTTACGTAGACGTCGCTTTTGTCCCTTTTTTTTACGATGATTAACATTACGATAATAACAAATGTCGATAATAATAATGCTTCTAATATGCTAGTCAAGTCGATACAAATCTCTCCGAGATTTGTAAAAGTACATATTTAAGTGATGTATAACTTTTTATTCGTTATCGTTGAAAAAAACCCGTACTATTAAATTATCATTATAATTGTGCACACTTCGTCATTATTATTACCATTGTAACATGTAAGTCTATGCTCAATAAACAATATTTCTATTATTCCAATTTCCAAGATTTATATTGTTCGGTATAATTACGATTTATTATTATTATTATTTTTTTTAAGTATTATAATGTCGCAGTTTCATTGCTGTCACATGTCGTGACAGCGATCGATCCAGCGCGGAACTGGCGCGTTGTTGATATTCCAGTTCGCCGTTTATGAATAGATACATTTTTAATGACGGATATAAATAACCGATCGTAGATAAAACTCTTAAGCCGTATTCGCGTACAGAAATAAAGTTACAGAAATAAATTCCCATTCGTCATTAATCTCTTTTGGATTGTTCTCCTTTTAAATTTCGCTCTGTGATTGTTTGAACAAAAGTGTCTTTTTGAATAAAATTTGACGAGACAACAAATGTAACTTCTACTCAAACATGATTTCAGAAAATTATATTTTATATACACACATAAAGAAAGAGAGAAAAAAAGAGAGAGAATATCTTTTTCTATATATATTTTTTTATATTATATTTTATGTTTTTTACATACACGTAACAGGAAAATCAAAGTGTATAGATATACGCGCACAAATGTACATATTTATTATTTGCAGTTCATGTGGATCGTTTGAGAGAAATAAAGTAAATGCAAAATACAAAACAAACTGTGGATGCAGAAATATGAATATGTTGTCGCAACAGGAACGCGCAGAGTCCGCTTAATTTATGCAGATGACGAGTGAATGCCAAGAACCCGAAGAATCTTGGTTTTAAAGCCTGGACATATCTTTTTATCAATCTTTTTACAATCTACTATATTCGCGTCTCTTCTGTTTTTTACAACACAGGTAAAAAAAAAACCAGTGAGGATACAAGTGGAAATATTTATTATAAACCAAAGCTCTTATACATGTAATATACGTATGTCATTAAATAACAATATATTTGCACCTGAGAGCTACAGTACGCTTCGAAAGCTCCACTAAAGATTATGCAACATCGCGTATATGATAAAACGTTACCTACGTATGATGTATTCGTTCGATATATCGAATCAGTAATATAGTTCACACGAACATTATTGTGGACGTTATACTTTTCGTCACATTATTCACACTGAATAAAAAAGCATCGTTTATCTTAGATCTCTTAGAAAAATCTTTTGTTCGATGTAGATGTAATAATGGCATTGTATTTTCTAGATTGCGTTCTCTCGTGTGTGTGTGTGTGTGTGTGTGTGTATGTGACGAAAAATGAGTGTGTTCTCTTAATTATTCTTCATATACACAATACAAGAATCTCACAATTTCAATTAAACCAAAAAAAGTTTTAAATTTAAATCTTTTACCGTCGAACTGGCAAACAAATTATTTGCCAGACTTACAAGTTTAACCTCGACGTTAATTATATATTCAATATATTAAATTATTTTATAAAATTAAAAATTTACAAGTTTAATTTAAAAATATGTATATTTAAAAATCTCAGTTAACATCAACGAAATGATGAACGTGATTTTTATTATTTTTATTTTTATTTTTTTTTTCATTAGGTTGCTTCATAGCATTATATGCAATTAGCAGATGTGTTAAGTCTTAACATTGAGTCTTCTGAAATTTCTGAGAATACATCTCAGGTGAAATCTTATCTTGCATTGTGAACTCTAGACTAGACGATAAACGACAATTTAAAAAAAAAAAAAAAAAATAAAACAAATCAATAATGATTCGTGAATTGCACTTTCTACTAACGAGATAGGAATTTTTTGAAGAACTAAAAAAGAGTTTTGAAACGCAACACGAGATTTTTGATTTAAATACAGTAAAAACAATTTAGGAGTTTATAGCCGAGTACTTTGGATAATAAGTTAGGTCGACGGAACTGCGATTTGATCAAACGTTTTTCATTATCTCTCTAGCTGCTCCATGACAGACAATCTCTAGTCACCATCGTCGAATACCTTAACGTTTCCCTCGTACGACCTTTTAACGCAACCATTGTTTAAGATCGTGCAATTCTGTACAACCGGTGTTGTACAATTGCGCGGAATCAATCGAGCAGTCGATGATGATGAAAAGAACGCGCGGAAAAATACAATAACTAATTTGATAAGCCAGTAATTGGTTGCGGCGAACAACGTGCGAATCGATTTTGATTAGACCTAGCTCCAGCTGATATGGAATGATAAAATGCAAGTCGCGAGGAACATATCCGAGTTAGTAACGTTTTATATGCGCGCGCAATGGAATATCGACGTATGCGTGATAGATGAGAGAAAGAGAGAGAGAGAGTACACGATGTTCCTTGAATTTTGATTCGGATTACTCGATATTTCTCACATTCGTCCAGATAAACGTTCGGATAAACGCAGCAGATCGATTCGCGCCACATCCGATCCGGACAACATGCCGAAAAGACGTCTCAGCAAAAAAAAAAAAAAGAACACGTTTGTACGTGCGTCCGAGACAATGTTTTAACCCCGCACGTTGTCCGAGATCGTCCGTGTGAAAAGCTACGAGTGAGAAACTAGCAACAACGTGGAACTAGCTCGCAGTGCCATGTATCGTTAGAGAAAAGCAGCTGGAATGTGTGTGTTCGTGTATGTAAACGGCAATTCCGACATAGTGGACATCATCATCATCATCATCATCAGTGTCTGATAGAGCGTCTTGCGTTCGTTTCTCATCACTCGCACATCAAGATTACAGACGAGCAGTTTTCTCCCCCGGGACAAACTTCTCTTTATTTCGCGCGAAAAGCGTACTTCCACTCCTGCAACACAACAGAGAGAGACGTTAATCCTGGTCGTTAGCACAGAATGCGAAAAATCTATGTGTCTTCAATGTGTTTCTATGAACAATATTGTGCCGATAAATTATTACGAATACTGAAGAAAAATCTATGTAATAATTTAACAGAGAATGACAAGAGAAAAGAGAGTGAGAATATGTTAACGAACAAAAAACGACAATTTATACAATAAAACTACGAAAACTTTTCGTATTTTAATTAGAAATGTTCCGCGCATTTAATCCGTGTGTTCTCTCACCGTTTTATATAAAAAGTTTAAAACAGATACTCTAAGAAGCTTTTTATATATACAATACACACATTCTATATATATATATATATATATATATTCTAAATTTAATATTGTTTTAATTCTGTTGACGACATCAAATATTTACAAATTAGAAGATTTTACAAAACGCTTGTTGATTGAAGACACAAAATATTTACAACTAGAAGATTTCATGAAAATTATTTATTGCTGAAAAAAGCGCACAGTATTAAACTTTTGTTTTTATCCAACTAGTATTTACGTTTGTTATGGTCTTATTACAAGCACACAGAAATCAAAAGAGAGACAACTATGATGCGCCACAATTATTGCTCCAGCATGCAATTCTATGGTAAATTAGCATTTTAGTTACATTTTACCTTTTTCTATTTACTGATATTAGTATTTCGTACATGTGGTGTGTGTGTGTGTGCGTGTGTATGTGTGTGTGTTCGTCGCACGAAGTCTCTACGTTATACATTTTTATATATTATAACAAATGTTTTGGGAAAAATGCAGTAAGAGCAATGAAATTGTAGAACAATAAAAACTGAAGGGCAAGAGCGAATAGAAAAACGATATTCTGATGTGCTGTTAAAAGAAAATTATTAACACACTGTGCTTCGTTCTTTCATATAAAACATATAAATTTTTCGACAAAAAAACATCGATCTTTTTTTTATCCACTTTGCCCTTCGTATTAGAGTCAAAAAACTCTTCGTTTAAGGAGAAAACTTATATATATAAATTAATACACATCTATAAAGAAAAACCTGAAATAATCACTATCGAGAGAAAATATCTATTATACTTTGTGCACTAACAACACAAGAAATCTAATTCTACAAAACGAATACGCACCTTATTATCTATCCGTTTATCGTCACCCGGGAAGCGACGTGCTTTCTGTTGTGTATCATCGTCAACGTCATCCTGTTCCCTGAATCTCGCTTAATAGGTAATTCGAGAGAATTAAAAGCAAAACAAAAACACGACAACGCAAATTGACCCAGAGAACGAACGGTTGTGCAAAAGTTTTTGCACAAATTTGAGCACAATTTGACGTGCGAAGGAAATTAATTGATGTTAGAAACGTTTTTTCGTTGTTAACACCATACAATACGTATTTCTTAAGAATTCGAGAGATCTTTCTGTATATATATGTCAACACACACGTACACACGCACACACGCAATACAAGATAATTAAAAAAAAAGAATTAAACACTTTCAAAAATCAAATAAAGTACGTCTTGCTATAAAATTTGTATTATATTTTTATTGTTTATAGATCTAATTGATAGAACTTGCTTCACACCAAATAGATTTTAGAACACGTGTTGGTGATTATCCAGTCGTCGAAAGTGTTCAATTCTCTCTCTGTTTTTGTCATCCCGTAATTTGACTTATTTTTAAATATAGTTGTAAAATTATTACACATTTTGTTTTATGTAGCACAAAACAGATTATGCCAAATTATCTCACAAAGCTCGCGTTTGGATTCGTACAATGGAATAAAAATGCAGTACACTTCAGAGAGATTCTGTTTGAAAATAATTTATTTTATTAAAAGTTGTTGCAAGGCACTACTTTCATTATTTTTACTATTATTAAACGAGCGCGCGTTCGCTAATCAATTATTAATTTAATTAAAAAACACAAAATTATTATTAATTTATTTAATATAACAAGTTACCTAAAAAGGATTAAAATATAATATAGCTTAATTTAATATAATATATGTATATATGTATAAAATACACACAATTTTCTTCATCGATTTTTCTGTCTCGCATAACGTAAAATTAACAAGAAATACTTTTTTTTACATGTATATTGATGATATACACACACACATATATATATATATACAATATATATATTTATATATATATGTATATATATCTTATAAGAAATATCGCCGCGACAGTTTTTTATTTACCGTAAAATATATATTTTAAATATATACTTCTAATATATTTCAAACATGCTTCTCAAACTGCTATTTCACACTGCTTTTTCTTAATGCAACCACTTTTTTTTAAACATATTCGATATACGTGTCTCTGTGAATTATATATAATTTTTTCTGTACAATATCGTATAAATATATCTACCAAACACTGTACACAAAATATATTTTCGAAACAATTATCTCGTGAGACGAACAATTGAAACAGCTACAATCCCGTTTCGAATCTGCATTAAAATTGCGATCAATGCGTGCCTAAACAGCGTTTAAAAAATCGACATCTGTATTCACTGCGAATATAAGAAATATTGTATATATAAATGCAAAAGAGTTACTGTAGATGTTTATTGTACGCGATGTGTATCGCCGAAAGTGCAACTTGGAAAAGTTTTTCTCGTACGAATGAAAATACGAGTATCAACTGGATTAAAAATTAGAATACATAAAAAAATATTAAATAATTTTGTACTCTACTTTTTGCATGTAATTAAAACAAGAAATTGCACAGAGTTTTGTTTTCCGATCATACACTGTCTTTGCAAATCTATACCGCCTTATATAGTTAAGCAAAGCTGAGAGTTACTTGCACGATAATGTCATCTTCATCAAACGATATGTGCGTGATTTTATCAAATGTTTTCTGAAAACTGAGAAAAAGACAAAATATATTTTTGAGACATTTAAGCGAAATGGAGTGTAGTTTAAAAGATTAAAAAAAAAAAAATTAATATTTTACATTAAGCTTGTTGTAACGTAATATACTTTATATGTAAAAAGAAATTATTTAGATTTAAAAATCTTCTGCTGTTAAAAGTTCTCTTAATTTCTAATTTTATTTCGGTTCATCTTAATGACACGAGTCAAGTATCCGATCGTTGCAATTTTTTTTACAAAATCAAACATCTATGTGGAAGATTAGTTCACGTAAATGCACAATTTATTACAGAGTGTGTGAATTGAATTTGCAATTTCCACTCTGCATGATACTGTACACACATTGATGATCCTCGTTTCGAAAAAGTTCATCAACGTTCTGGACGTCGCGTGTAATTTTATCACATTAACTTTGACGCATGTCCAATGCGGTATTTTTTTTTCGAAAAAGTGCGAATCACATTAGTACTTTGAGAAGTTTTGAAAAAATTGCCGTGTGAGATTTTTTGTGAGAAGTCAGAGCGTTTATACGTGCTCGCTGCAGAAAAATACTGACAATTACGCAGGTCAAACGTATTTACTAGAAATGTGGCTACGATCTCGTGGATAATTAGACACTACGTCACTCTCTACGTATAATCCCGTAACTCCAAAACGCAAATTTTGAGAGGAGAGCAGTTTAAAAGTTTAAAGCTTCATATAGTTTCCCTAGTTAAGGAATCTTTCGGTTTTAAATTTTTATCTTACTTATAAATATTTTTTTTTAATACTTGGTGACCACAAAGAACATGACTTTCTAAGTGTCACTATGCAATAAACTGAAAATCCCATATGTGACACTTATGTAATTATACGTAGGGAGTGACGACTAGTAAACCTGCTGCTCGTTTCTAATTCTCACGTGTCAAGTTGCACAATTCCAGAACACAAAACATTAGTGATATAAATTTTACTTTATTTACTTAGTTTTTTTTACTTATACTTTAATATCTTCATCTTCTTTTTTCTTTTTTTTTAACTCTACGATATCAAGAAATCGATCGAATGACGTGAAGCATAAGATCAAATGATACACACATTCAAACATTTTCGCTCTCACATTCTAAAAACTAAAACATCCAGCGCGACATTGTGCCGAGACAACAGTCGACGAATGACGCTGCACAAAAACAATGTTAAGACAGATCTGTTCTCTTCAGCTGATTATATAGTGAGTTTTATTTTCTGCATTTGAAATATTTATATTTATTATACTTCGTAACGAAACGTTCAATGGGTATAGAAAACAAAAAAAAGAAGAAAAACGAGCAGATGCAGAATAGGTATAGCTGCAGAGAAAAGACCTAAACACTGGTATTGTTAGATGACTTTTGGCGCATGCGTATTGCACATACGGTAACGTATGTGTAGATGGGTCCCAATAAACTTAATGCACACATCTTGCTGACTTTGTCGTAGATTCATCGTCAGATTTAGATGTTAGATTTTTTAATCACAGATTTTGTAAGTTTCCGATTATTCATAAATAATTTTAAAAAATAACGAAATATTATACATATAAATCTTGAATGAATAAATACGTATATATACATATATACATTATTTAATCACTTTTATACATATACACATTATTTAATCACTTTTTAAAATTACTTCTAAATATAAAAAAAAATTACAAAATACATAATATTCGAAACTAGTTCTTGGATATTGTTAGAAAAAAAACTTTACTCATTTTCGAAATTAATTTTAACCAAACAAGATTTAAAGAATAACAATCGTCCGCGATCAGTGAAAAAGTTTCTGATCGCAGAGGTGACGGTTTTGTGCAAAGTGTCAAAAGCAGCAGGTTGTGTGTATTAAGTTACATGTACATAAAAAATCTTTCTTATGCTTGAATCAAAAATGTTATCTAATGCCACATTCTACGCGCATGCGCGAAAAAAGGAGCCCACCTAACAACATTGACCTATAATCACAGACTTCATTCCATACAACAAAGACTAAGAACTTCGACCTATCGAACGGTTCTATTGTTTTATATACAACATTGTAGTACATAGATCGCATGAGCGAAATAAAGTGAATGAAAAAAAACACGGTTGCCGCTACAACACTACGGGAAGTTCGCGGTCTGTTGTATAGTATAAGAAGTCTGTGCGGACCTAACGATATATACAGACGTAAATAAAAACTAACGGAAAAGCGCGAAATCCGTCTAGTCTACGTAGATGACGAATGAATGCCGAAAGCTTGAAAGATCTTGTTTTTGAAACCGGGTTTGTTAGGACTAGCGTCGTGCTGATGCTGGCCGCTGCCTGCCGACTGTCCCTCATGTAGCGCCCTCTGCACGAGCGGCAGTGAGCTGTTCGTCTGCATTTCAATTGTGTGCGTGCATGTGCGGTCGTCGATGAGATTTGGTCAGAATTCGGTCAGGTTGTGCCGGACGTGACGAACGACGAGACGGAACGAAAAAAAGAACAAAAAGAAAGAAGAAAAGGATAGTAGACAACTATGAGTCCGTGTCAACTACTACATTGCATGCGAAAGTGCGCACGACTAAATTTTTACGTCCAGATGACGAACAGAACAAATAACCGGGACACTCACCTCGTCGTGGCTCTGCTCGTGTTCGCTGTTAGCTAAACTGGATCGAGAACCACGTCTTGTGGAACTTTTCTCGTCGCCAAGCAGTTGTGCTACTCGCGCTTTGTTAACTAACTCCAATGCCTGTGAACAAAAATAGAAACGTATTTATGCAAAATATTGACAGTGTAAAAAAACAACCACCACAGTGTGTTGACAGAAAATCTTAGGGCATTTTCTCCAAACAATTTCGCACTGAATTAAACTCGCGAAATAAATATGTAGTCTCTTTGTTTATGCTATATGTGAAGTTACTTTATCAAGTGTAAGTTGTCACGTAATAAATTATCTATCTTATCTCTACTTTTATCTCTCCGGATTAACGGTAAGTAGCTTTACTTACTTGCTGTACGTGCTGTGCGTGCGTGAAACGTGAGAAATGATTGTTAGTTTTGCTGCATGTATGAATTTTTGTGACAATAAACAAATTCACATGTATTATCTGTAATTACCTCTCTTCGAGATCTCAGGGCGCAGTCCTCAAGAGTTTCCGCAGCCTCGTATTTGCCCTGTCTTCGGTACAGTGCACCGAGATTCTTCAGGGTGGTAGTAACAGTGGGAGAATCAACTTTCGCGGCTTTGTGCCAGCCACCATATTCGCCATACGGTGTGTTCTCCTTGTTCCTGTGTTTGTTCTCTTCTCTTTCTTCAGCTACCTAAAAGAAAAAAATACAAAAAACCAAATGAAAGTGAAAGATTGCCAAATATTAACAAAAGGTTAACATAATGCACATTGTAATGTAGATAAGTAACGTATATATATAGGCATACTTCTGATTTATAAACAATATTCCAATATAAAACAGCAGGAGAAAAATAAAATTAAGATTATTTAGTAAAATATTTATTTATTTTTAAACAGCAGAAATAAAATTAAAATTATTTTAAAAGAAAGTGTAAGTAGTAAATTATCGTGTATAGACTATATTTCTCTTTTATACAATATTTCTTTTTCTGGAAAGTTTTGGCCATCTCCTCTGTTTTCTTAAGTTTTTATAATTTTCTCTCGAGGTGGTAGTTTCGGCGACAATAAAATTATTTTCGTACCTGCCAAATCGGCTTGTTGTCGCCATCGATGGCGCCGAATTCTCTTTCGTGCGCTCTAGTGAGCACCTGTTTGTACAGCACCTCGGCATCCTTATACTTTCCTTGTTTCAGATAGCAGGACGCCAGATTGTTTTTCGTTTTGGCGACATTCGGATCGTCCGGGCCCAGTTTGGCTTCGTAGATCTCGAGCGCTCGTTGATAATAGCGTTCTACTTCTTCGTATTTTCCCTGATTTTGACAGAGGAGCGCCAGGTTGTTCAGCTGCTTTGCCACGTCCGGATGATCGCGACCTAGCACCTTCTCGCGGATTTCTAGTGCTCGTTTGCACAGAGGTTCGGCTTCCTTGTATTTGCCCCGTTTCCCATACAGCACAGCCAGATTATTCAGCGTAGCCGCCACCGCGGGATGATTTTCGCCCAGTGTCTTCTCTCGAATCGCCAGAGCGTCGTTCAACAAGTTCGCGGCTTCTTTGTATTTATTCTGATCTCGATATACGAGAGCAAGAATATTTAGCATAGTCGCCACATCGGGATGATCGTGGCCAGAGGTCTTTTCTAGATCTTCTAAGGCTTGTTTGCACAACGGGACTGCCACTTCATAACGACCCTGACTCGCGTACTGGATCACCAGGTTGTGCAGCGTGCGCAGGCGTGCCGGGATCTCGTAACCGGCATTTACTTGCTGAGCAAATTGCGATGGTGGAGTTGGAGATATAGCTGGAAAAAGCACACTCGTTGATAAAAATAAACCACTCAGTGTCCGTAAAATTTTACACAAAAACATATACCTACATTTACATTTACTATCGTCCGCGTCATCGTCAGGAAAAAGATCAACCACAGGATCGTCCTTCGGCCGGTCTTTAGCGTTTTCATCCTCCGTAGACGGATCTGGATCGTATTGTCGCATACTGGCCATGAAGTCTAAGTGCTTCTTCTCTTCTTCCAACTGAACCAACTGTAAACAACAGAGATACAACAAAGCGCAATACTAACATGATTCTTAGCGAGGAGTTAATTAAAAGATAAGATTTAAGATTAGAAGCAAATAGAAGATTTCTGTCCACAAAGATCTTTGACACAGTAAAAAAATAATCTCCAAATTACCTAGTTATTATCAAACAAAGAGAATTTCAACAATTATCTTTTTGTTATACGTTCGATGATACTTACAGCTTGTTCGCTCGCTTGTAGTTTCTGTTGAGTACCGGCCAGTTCGTCTCTCAGCCAGGCGTTCTCCTGACATAACCTTTTCACCTGTGTCCTCAGCTTCTGCTTTTCCGCTTCCACCATCTGCAAATGGCTCGCCAACGCTTGCATCACCTGCGCCTCGCCTAGGCCCAGATCGATCATTTCTATGATTTTGGAAAGTAGGCTAGCCTTGTCCCGAGCAGCAGGAGCGTCTTGCGACTGCAGGCCCTGTAGAAGACCACCGTGCTCGACTCGCAGAGCCTCCAAGCCTTGGGCGACCGTTCGCGCTCCAGCTACGATCTCCTCCTGCGTCATCGCCGTCATCCTGCCTATATTCTCGATCTTCTTACTAGAAAAACAGAAGAACGGAAAGAAATTAGGTCATTCAATAAAATAAAAAATACTTTTGACCAACAACAAAAAAATATCAAAGTAAAATCGTCAAAGAGCAATTTCAATAATTGTTTTTTGAACAGCGATTGATCACTAGAAACACTTCGCGGAACTTCGTGGTCGACGGATACCCCGGGCGCTCTCGGCGCCAAGGACATCGAAGATGTGGGGTTTCGTACGATTCGAAAAGCCACGACAAGAGAACACGGGATTGGTGGCGATGTGTGGTGGCGAGAAATCCGATCGGCAGAGAATTCACGAGCAAAACGAAGAACGAGGAGAGAGAAAACTTACCCCATGGTCTTCGGGGCCGCGTTGAAGCTGTCTACGTGCTGGTGTCTACGTGCGGTGTGTGTAAATCGGCTCAATATTTCGGCGCCGGCGCATCGCGACGCCGCGGCGCTCTAGCAATTTCAATGCGGACACACGTGTGTGTACAGAACAGTTCAGATACGTGCTTCCATACCAATTGCAATTCAGATAATAGAAGCTAATTTCAATAATCCATTGCGTATATCGTTGAACGAAACTTCCAACAATCGCTAATCAGTTTTAAGATAATCAACGTATTTCACAATTCTCCCAACATCTAAAACTTTTACGAAAGTTTTAGCACTTCTTCCTCTCTTCTTTCGAGAGACTCTATTCTTAATAAAAAAAAAATAAATTTATAGAATCAAGAGACATGCATTTTCAAACAAGAAGCAGAAGAAAACTTCTGTCGATCGTATAAGATCGCGTTCTGAAATGTCCTGTACTGTACCGAAACGCAATTCACTTTTTTTTCGTGAATTGGCCTGTAGAGGTGCAGCGCGGTTAAATTCGATGATGAGGAACGGATCCGCGTCGCCGTCGCATAATCGATAGCGGCGAGTCGGTTAGGACACATCACAAAGTCACCATTTGCGACATGCACAATGGGAGAGTCAAATTTCGAAATGACAGCGTATTAATTTTGCGCGCAACAAGAAACGATCGATTTGTCACAGTCTGCAAACGAGACCTAACCGATCGCGCGAGGTTTCCGCGAGGTGTCCTATTTCCATCAGAGAATCAACATTCTTATTTTCGATCGATAGCCACTAATCGTTTTCGCTTCGATCGTCTTGCGGAATAATAGAAAAGAAACTAAAAAAAACAATACAAATACGCAATCGCATATGGTTTCTCTCTCTCTCTCCGTGTACAAACGAGATCCTCGTGCACATCCTTGGCGCTCGCTCGAGATCACATTTTCAAGCACACGTAAACCTTGACCTCGTCCAACCGGTCGAGAGACTTGCGAAAGAACGTGACAACTTCGCGACAAGTGTGCGAGTCCGTTCGTACAACAAGATCCCGTAACTTCCGGCCGGTTTTCGATCTAAAGAGAATAAACCTTGATCGCTCTTTCTCTCTCTCTCTCTTTGTCGGCGACAAAAGAAACTGAAAAACACCTGATACTAGTTTGACTGACTTGCCTTGGATTTAATCCCGGTTTGTTTGGTCGTCACACCCGGTATGTAAACTACGTGTTAACTATATAGAAGAATGTGACAATAGTTGTGCGAAGTTTCCGAGCGACCCTGAAGACTGTATATCTCGATGATTAATATTTCTCGGGCGGAAGGATGAGAAGGATGAGAAATAAAAAACCGGAAACTCCGAAGCCTAATCTAATCGTACAGGAAAAATAACCGAGTTTTTTAACCAAATGTTTCTTTTTTTTTTTTTTAAGGCCAATACGAGTGCGATCGAGCGAATCTCTAAAATCTCTGCGATCGTCTCCTCGAAATTCGAATCTTCGTTCTTCGGGAAAGAATGTTGCCGTCAACTTGTAACGTTACTATTTCCATGTTCTTTTTCGAAATAATAAAAGGTCGCAATTGGAATCGGGTACCGAGGACGACAAAATCTACGAGAACTTGGTGATTTTAAATCCGTCGTAAAATCTTCGCGACTTTCTGCAAAAATTTCTGACGAAAAATCCGCGAACAATTGATCGATTACACAACGCGAGTTGCAAAGTTGAGTATCCAATTTTATAAACCCTTTCCGCTCGTGTTCGCGAAAGTTCTTCTGCATTGCGTTTCAAATGTAACAACCGATGAACATGATAAAACGTCGCGACGCCATGCGAGCTGACGATCAATGCCTCGCCGTTCAGCACAGACGATTTCTAGGTACAATTTACGTGTACGACGACGATCGGGGGTGTATACGGAGATTATATTGATCTCTATTCTGAAAATCTTCGGTATTATAATTCCAATCCTTCTCAAGCAAATCGAACAATGTTCTCTCCCCCGTTCGTTCCTGCTTCGAATATTTTTCTCTACCACCACCGTCTTTCCAACTCCATTAATCACCCGCCTGTCCAGTATGTCCGCTTTGGTTCTGCTACAGCGAACACAATGTGGAAGGTCATAGGAAAAATGAGATTATACAAAGAAATGTCACCGAGAAGCAAATAAACAACGATAAGCAAAAATTGTTTGCGAGAAAATAGATTTGACAAGGAAACACACACACACACAATCACATGGATCCTGAAATATTGCCATCGGCAGCATCTCGAGAGGCAGGATCAACAGTTTTCCGCAATTCTGCGAATATACGAGCAGCTACCCTGTAATTTCCCGGGGAAACGTCGACGGGAAAATGTCGGGAGACATTAGTACGTGTTTTGCAATTTTTGCTTTTTTTTTGTTTTTTTTTTTTTTCTACTCACATTCTATAGGCGTTGAGCGTTTTTGACATATCCGTCCTACCCATCGGTAACGGTGGACTCTACCGAACCTACCAACTTCGCACCATGTATTATGTGCGCGTATATGGTCTATGTGTACACACAGTGATTTTCTTTTTCGCGGACGTAACTCGAGGCACAGCAGAGTCATCTGATCGCGCTCGTCGTCATTGTCGCATTATTACAAAAATATAGATCGTATACAAACGCACGTACGTTGTGTGTACATAAAAATATGTATGCTTGGAGAGGGAGGGAGAGGAAAGGGGGGGAGGGGCGTATGTACAGAGGGAAATATCTACACCGCGAGGGACGTGATAAAAGTTTCGATCGCTAATGGGGGTTGCACCGCGCGGAGTCGCGTTTGGTCTGTCACTGAGGAGCCGTCGTTTTCGCGTCCACCCATCCCTACTCGAGAAGATAAGGTGCAGAGAGGCACCGGCGGCAGAGGGTGGTGAGCCATGCAACGCCTGCGCCATGATGTCGTTCCTTCTACCGCGGGGGTTTGCGCATCGCAGCTGCACAAAGAAGGTGCACACATGGTGCGCGAATCGCGACGCGTCCTCTTAAACAAGACTCCGCGCGGTGGGGTTAGCAAAAGGGTAATCTTTCGATTTTGCTGCTCTTTCGCAGATGGGAGGAAAGAGGATTGGAACGTCAAAAACCAATCTGTGTGTTTTATTTTCGTCGTTTGATCGAACATCCGGTGATTTGCGAGTTACTTGATTAAGAAAAAAAAAAAAAAAAAAAACCAGAAGTTTGCTGGCACGAGCGTCGTGTGGAAAGGGAAATCCCTTACTTTCCTTCCGGAAGACATTAATGCGCCGCAGTCTACTCGAGAAGCGCTTTTTGTGGAACGGATGTAATTTCTACATAAATTGAAGAAAGAGAAAGAGAATAATAAAAATTTATTAAGTAATTAAGAAGAAAAGTGGGCCCAAACGTGGTTCATACAGTATGCGAGAGAATCTCTTTTTCTGTTCTATTCTTGGGGAAAAGATTTTTTTACGTTTTTTAAGAATACAATTGAAAAACAAAAAATATCTTCTCTTACATATTAATCAACGGATTTTCTCTTGATCCGCGCTTTTCTTTTCAATTTCGATCACGTGTCTGAGATGATTTAGTTTGCAAAAATGCTCTTCGAAGTGTACGAAAACAGATGGGTCTCGGTCGTCTTATTAGCCGCGGTGGGATCGAGACAAGAAGTTCCACGCAGTCTGTTTTTGCAATCGCGATCTAATGGTAAGTGGAGGTTACAGCTGCGACTGTTACTCGATGACTCACGACATGACGTCGGATTGGGTCAGTACTCATACCATTAATGCACTGCTGTCCATGTGCGCGTGGTGCTATGCAAACCTGCTGTATTTTCAAAAGAAAAACAAATGCATCTCTTTTTAGGCTTTTTTTTGTTTTTTTCGTAGATCAGAACGCGCGCGTTTACTCACTGACACACGACAAAATAAGTCTTATTAAGTCTTATTAAGTTTCACTCGAGCTCCTCCGCCGAGAAAGGACTTCAGAATTCTGATGGAATGCAATGGTCACGCAATGGCCGCTTTTCCAAGTACAAATCCTCGTTAAATCCTTGGCAAAACGAATGGAAAAAAAAAGAAAAAAAAAACAAACGCATTTGCGCTCGACAAAACAGCACATCCGCAAATTATTGGCAATTAAATATCGTTGACAAAGTTTCACACTCTTCGGGAAGAGAAATCGATCACTAACATACCTTTTACAAAAAAAAACCCTTGTTTATACCAAAATGTTTGATAAAAGCAAATCCTGTGAGATAATTTTCAAACTATTTATATAGTTTGTAAAGCAACTTTATAATCGACGATTGTGAGCGAGAATTAACAACGGAATTCGCGCACACGTTTAAATGTAAACTTTTACACACAGCAATCGTTCAAACGAGAGATTTCACTTTTCGAGAGAAAGAATCGATCTCTGGTAAAGTGCGGCCGAGTGACTTTCAAAAATAGTCAAAAGTGTGTTAAAAAGAAATTAAGAGATAAATTTTTATATAAATTTATTTTTTTTATTGTAGAGATTTTTTTTTTTAATTTCAAAATATTAAACGTCGTATCGTCACTTTTGCTTCAAACTCTTTTGCCGCAACTTACATAAATCGAATTTCTCTCTCTTTTCGAAGCGCGTTCGAAAACTTAAAAGTTAACAAACGTTCGTCAACGTCATGGTCACTGATCCTCCGTTATGCTTCCGCGACGATTCCCTTCCGCGGAAATGACTTGAGCCGATTGAACTTTTCAGACTGTACCACCTGCCGGTCGTAAAGATAGGTGTGGTTTTTTTTTTTTTTTTTGTATTTGTTACATATTGTACCTCTCAAAGAGAGATGACAAACCTTATCCCGTGCGGAAATAAACCGCGATGCGAACCGAAACTAATAAAACGGCACGTAGAGTCGAAATTTTCAAACTAGGTTGGGATTTATTTTCAGATATACGCGTGCAAAAACGAACTTCGTCACGTCGTTTAATTGGCCGAACTGTAACGAGATCGTGCGCAAAATTTCATTGGTTAAATTTACACACAAACAAGGCACTTTGTTCGAAACTCGCTTCACTTCGCGCGATACCACAAGCATTACTTACCGCGATCCAGAAATTTGCGAATCACACTTTGCGAATTATTGCGAGCGGTTTAATTACAACAACAAGAATCTGTGTGTGTGCGTATACCTTTGCGAATGGTCCATACAAGGTCGCCGCGCTTTTCGCTCAATGTATCATCCCACCGGTGCGTGGCTCGAGGATTCCACCGGAATGAATTCCCGAGTGCGATCGGATCCGAAAGTGACCCGCGCCCGCCAGGTCGGTTTTTCCCTTTCGGAAAAAAAAAAAAAAGAGACCGGTCCTCTTCTCTCGTCCAACGGGAGAGCGCACCGGGACGCCGGAGAGATTGCGGCGCGTGAGCGAACAAGAGAGAGTTTTTCTTCGATTGTCGGCTCGCGCACACGTGAATCGATAATCAAGTTCGCGAATTTTCTGAGAGAAAAAAAAAATTACGTACGGTCCTTACGCGGCGAAAGCGCAACGACGATTATCGAACATAGAGCTGCTTTTCGAGAGAGAGAGACTGTTCTCTCGCGGCGGCGGTGTCGGCGGTGTCGGCGGCGACGACGACGACGACGACAACGACAGTGACAGACAAAGATGGCGAAGCTTAGGGGGGGCCTCGGATCAGCACCGTCACATATCTCTTGCGTATTTCGGGACTGCGAACACCGCGAACGTTTTATCGACAGACCTCGATCGCGGGACGCACTCGCGAGAAATCGCACGAAACGATCGTCCGCGGGAGAAAGCGCGACAGACCTAGGAACGCGAAATTATTTTCACAACAAAAGACCTCTCGGCTGATCGTAAAGTTGCGACTGGCTCCAGGGGAGCCAACAGAACCACATCGGCTGACGGGAATCCGAGATTCCGGTTTTATGCGATCCGGTCAAGTGTCCCCGGGACGCGGCGCCAGCGTCGCTCGAGCGCGCGCGCGCTCTCTTGCGAAATGAACATTCCGCGCCGTCCGCGCTGGAATTTCCCGCGCGTAATTGGTCGATTTTTGACCGATCGATGCGTACGATTGGTCGAATCTGCAAAAAGCGATTCGGATAACAGAGTGTTTTATCTAGAACCATAACAGATTGTTCATGGCGGCGTCATGTCGTTGACATATTTCTGAATTTGCGAGCGAAATTTCGTTCATGCATTTTACAAACGATAGTTTTTGTCTGAGGGGAAAGCGTGGCTGATGGTCATTGACGATCGGCGACAACCGGCCGAGCGCGGCGTGTGGCATCGCGTGATGCCGGCGCTCTCGGCCGGTTTTGGCGAGCAGATTGAGGTTGGCTTTTTTGAATTTTGTTACCGTTTGCGCCGTCGCCCATCCGTAACAACGGCGGGTGTCGATGAATCTCACTTTGCCGCTTCTTTCAGGAATACCAAGTGCTGAATCTACTCGGCAAGGGCGGCTACGGGAGCGTTTATCGAGCAAAATGCCTTCGCAGCGGCGTCGAGGTTGCGATCAAAATGGTACTTTATAAAGTTCATTTGTTCTCTCTCTCTCTCTCTCTCTTTCTCGAAGAAAAAAAGACTTTTATATTTCTTCAGCCTGACACACTTCTTCTTGTTTCGCGTTAGATTATATGTGAGAATGTATTTCAGGAACCACTCATTTTCTAAATGAAGCTGGCACATTCTCTAGTTTGTTTACATGATGCACCAACTCTCTTACATATGAATCTTATCAAAAGTTTAAATATGAGCATTAGAATGCTTGGACAGATTGTTGAAATCATATGTCAGATATGAGACATAAAACTTCTTTTTTGTTTTTATTTTAAATCATTGATATAAAATGATAAAGGTGACTCATACCTTTTGTGTTCCTACTTCATGCTTATCTGATCTTCTATAGATCGACAAGAAAATAATGATGAGTGCTGGGATGACAAATAGAGTAAGACAGGAAGTACAGATACATTCAAGATTGAAGCATCCAGCTATTTTGGAGTTGTACACATGTTTTGAGGATGCAAACTACGTGTATCTAGTTTTAGAATTATGTCACAATGGCGAGCTTCAGCGCTATCTCAAGACGCAAGGTGCCAAGGCTTTGTCCGAAGAACATGGTATGCCAACAATTGCACACGCAATCACAAAATGGCAAAAAGCAATTGAAAATATAAATTAGTCTCATTATAATAAATCGCTATTATATTATTTTAGCCGCCTGTATAATTAAACAAGTTGTACAAGGTTTACTCTATCTTCATTCCCATCAAATACTTCACAGAGATATGTCTTTGTCCAATTTACTTTTGACCAAGGACATGCAGGTGGTATGTACAACACAATTTATTGTATGTTATATTTATTTACTATGTTGTAAATAAAAACTTCAAAAGTTTTTTTGATTTTCAAATATTCTTTTTATTTATATAGAAAATAGCAGACTTTGGATTAGCCACACAACTGAGTAAACCTGATGAAAAACATTTAACTATGTGCGGCACGCCGAACTACATTTCACCCGAAGTGAGTAGTTCACTGTTCAAAATATCTTTGGACTGCACGCAAAATCGGGAAGTATTACGTTTGAAACTTTTTTTTAGGTTGCTACGAGATCTTCACACGGTCCAGAGGCAGATGTATGGAGTTTGGGATGTATGTTGTACACATTATTGGTGGGCAATCCGCCATTCGAGACCGATGCAATCAAGAGTACCTTAACACGAGTGGTCATGGCCGATTACGTGATGCCACCCTACTTGTCGGACAATGCGAAAGATCTGATAGATAAGTTGCTGAAGAAGAATCCGAAGGACAGAATACGTTTGCAAGATATCCAAAAGCATCCGTTCATAATGAACGTGGAAAAGAATATATTATATGTAAGTGACAAAATAATGTTGTGTGTTTCTTAGCTCAGTTCTCCGTAAACTTGTATAATATAAAAGTGTAACGGCGCGCGCATTTGTTTTATATGTTATTTATTTGTGTAGGGAAGAACTGGCAAAGACATCTTTACCGATGGTATGATAGATTCCGGACTTGGCAGGACATTGTCGTCATACGTTCCGAAAATATCTCGATCTCGATCGGAGGAAAGAAAAACTCCGATGCCCGCGACCAGTTTGAGAAGCGAGGCGTGGTCCGAACCCGTCGCAAACATACACTCGAATCACAAAGCGAAATACGCCAATTACCGTCCGAAAGATGATTCCGTGTTGATGAGTATTCCCCGCAGTAAAATATTCTTGCACAATGAACAGTACAGCCATCACAGCAAGGAACACAACAACTTTGAAAAGCAGATAATAACAGAAAAGCACAAAGCAAAAAAAGAAAAAACCGTGGAAAATTATAATCAAGAAAGAATTGAAAACAATACAAAATTGCAAGTACCGCCATTAAATTCCAACAGATTGGAACCTACGAGACACAGAACGAAGAAAGCGATTTTGACTATTCTCGATGACGGGGAACTGTGCATTGAGTTTACGCAAAAGCGCAGAAACACCGTGAGTAGAAAAAGATAATTAAAAAAATTTAATATAGGAAACGTGTGACAGTGTCTTGTAATTTTTTTAATAATATCATAGGAAAAAGTCGTCGATGTGTGCAGAATATCGGGCGATGGTTTACGAATCGTTCTCTACAAACCAGACGTGATCACAAACGTCGGATCGCGGCCGCCGCCGTTACCCAGCCGAGGAGCCGACAGTATTTATTCCTACGAGAATCTACCGTCGTGTCATCATCGGAAATACGAGTATGCTTACCGCTTTGTGAAGTTGGTCCAGGCAAAGACCGCGAAATTGACGTTATACACCCAACGCGCGAAGTGCGTGATAATGGAGAACGGACCGGAACCTGATTGTGAGATGCACTTCTACAACAGAGTGCAAGTACGCGCCTCAGTTATTTGATTATCAAATTTTTTCTCGGAGTCTTTTATTTCTTATATTTCGACAAATATTTCAGATTGTTCGAGTGGACGGTGTTGTAAAGATTGCCGAGAACAACGACACATACGTCGAGGGAGATCTTCCGCCTCATCTCGAGAATTATTACGATCATTATTTGGAATGTTACAAGCATTGTCTGTTACTGGAGTCCACTCTAACGTCTTTGGAAACGGCTACCGGACACTCTTGCTTTCCTGTGATAATAGGACGACGACCTAACACAGGTTTGGATAATTCCTCCTGTCAAGGGAAGGAAAATTTCTCGCCAACGGTTACAAATGGTTTCTCAAGAGTAAGTATAACGAGGACTTTTTTTTCCTTACTTCAATATATTCAGTTGATTAATTTTTTTTTTATTCGTACGTTTTAGTTACCTTCGTTTGACGCTACCTGCTCCGTTATCTCGACGGTGACGTCTAAATCGCATAAAATGCGCAATTCTTTTAATAATGTGAATAAAGTGGAGGTACCGGGGATTGGCTTTGCTACTACATTATCGTCCGGCGACATTAAAGTCTATTACAAGGACGGATCGTCTTTAACTGTAAGTTGTTACGTTTTACTTGTCTCTATTCTTTCTAATAAATGTACAGTTTAATTATTTTTTAGAAACAACGTATCAAATATAATATTTAAAACCGATCGTTTATATACTTGATCGATTTTTTATTGCAGGTAAATCCGCAAAATCACACAAATGGCATCACATATGAGACTAACGACGGTGTTGTTGTACGATGTAACAATAACCAGCAACATTTGGACTTTCCGATTCAAGAGAAACTCCGTCAATTGCCAATGGTCATGAGATATCTCATGGAACCAAACTACAAATGCATTCGGTAGTTCTGTGAGAAACTATTGTACAGTATGACGATGTTGGTACACGTTCGTCTGTGAAATTGTAAGCTTGTAAATTTACATACAATTCAGTATAGATTTATAAATTTTTAAACTTATATATTTAGATGTAGTTTAGTAATTATTTTTTATAAATTATACATAAAAATGATATAAATAAATATCTTGCTTATATTACTATCCTTGTAAGAGTTTGTGTTTTTTCAACTCTCGCATACACGTTGTTGCGATAGTGGTTGTTTTTAATAAACGGAGACGTTTTGGGTTTTCTTCTGTAAAAAAAGTGAATATATTTCATTGTGTAACGTTGATTGACATGTAACAGAGAGAAGACTGTAAAAGCTTTTCCGGCCTGTAAGCCAGCGCAATGTCCATGGATGGTGCAAATTGGCAACTACGTAGATATTACAGTTTCTCATATGGCCCTGGTCGCTCTCAGTCTTCTCTTTGCATGTAATAAGATTAGTACTTTTTCAAACAACTAGCACAACACAGGCGCGCGCTATGCGCACGCTATTGTTATTTTTATTTAACGTGTTGTCAGTGAACACAACCTGTCACCGCGATGACAGATAGTGTATACGTCTTATAAACCATATAATAAACATATGAGAAATATCAGAAATAACGCATGAAAATCAAACTCAAAAAATAGTGAGAGAGAGAAGTGGAAAAACAACACGTGACAGGAAAAAGGGTAAAAAAGAGAATATTATATATATTATATGTAATATTCTATATCTATATATAATACACACACATACGCATATATGTGTATATATATATATACCGTAATCACGTGACCGAAGGTCAGTGACTCCACCGCAGTCGCGCGACCGAGGTCAGTGACCCTCCCCACCAAGGCCGCGCGCACGCGGTCAATGACCCCCTCCCCCACCAAGGCCGCGCGGCCGAGGTCAATGCCCCGCCAAGGCCGCACGGCCGAGGTCAGTGATCGCGCCAAGGCCGCGCGGCCGAGGTCAATGACCCCGCCAAGGCCGCGCGGCCGAGGTCAGTGACCCCGCCAAAGTCGCGCGGCCAAACGCACACTCCTCGGTCCAAATGTCTTTTTTAATATAGGAAAATCTAAAGATTACTTTCACTCTTTTGCCACTTAGGCAACGGAAGCGCTGTTACTTTACATTACAGAATGAAAATATCAACTAGCGGTTCGTGTCCATGATTATATAGTCAAAGAGTCTTTGCACGTGACAAAATTTTAGTTGTACCGAAAAGATGAGCAAATAAGATACAGATCATATAAGATAAGACTGGTCTGCTATTGATTGGTTCTTTCCAAAAACACATATAGAAATATTTATCAACTACCGGTGTAATGTGGAAGCTTCTTGACATTTGTCATGAAGGCGTGTTTACACGCTTTGATTGTTGTTCAATTACAAGTTGATTAACAATTAAAAACAAATTGAATAGTGTGAGCATTTATTTCATCTAGATAAAATAATGTAAACACAGCTTACAAATATTTTTTATAAACATTTTACTTTTAGATAAAGTAGTGTATTCATTGTTGAATCAGATTTTAATTGTTGACCGATCAGTAGTTGATCAAAAAAGCTTAACAAAAATTGAAACACGCCCTAAGAATTTAAAATAATACAGAAACGGCGCAATAGAAAAGTTAATAGTTTATCTGTGATAGAATACCATGTGAACAGTGACATTTACTACAACAATATTTTATAATGTAATTCAAAATATATTTAAAGCAAAGAAGAAGGTTAAATCTCGAGTAAAAAATATTAAAAACTTGTGAAATTAATTTATATGGAGTGATATAATAATGGTAAATTTTTTCTGACTAATAACTGACTATAATAGAGCAGTTTTTACTCAAAATAAACTTAAAATACAATATACACAAATATATAAATAACTAGAGTCATGAGTCTTAGAAAATCTTAATAAAAAAATTATTTCTCCTTTGTAATATAATTTACAATTGCAGGACATTGACAATTCGGAGTTAGATAACCTTAACTATAGTCAGGAATGTAGTAGTTCTGAAGATTCTCGTGCATCTGAGAAATGGACTTACACACGCCGAAGATACATGCAGGTAATTTTGTCAAGAAAAACATTTTAAATTGTATATAAAGAAATTGTTGTTGTATAATTTCGAGAGAAGTTTGAGTTCAAGAAAATTTCATTTCTCTTATTTGTATGTGATTTTTTCTTTTCATTATTCTTATATGTTATTAATATAATCATATAATATATAAAAGAGTATTTATTATATACACATCACAGGAAGTAATACCTGATGTGTTTCTTGGACCATACAGTGCAGCCAGTTGCTCCAATCTGCAATATTTGCTAGATCATAAAATAACACATATAATCTGCGTCAGACACATCACTGAGGCAAACATTATAAGACCCAACTTCCCTGATAGATTTAAGTAAATGATAAATTTATTTATGTATTTAAAAATCAGACAGGTCTATAAAAACCAAATTAAAATAATAACGCAATGTGTTAGATATTACATTTTGCATTGTTTTCTCAAATTGTTTTTAGGTATCTGGTTTTAGATATTGCCGACACAATAACAGAAAATATCATCCAGCACTTTAGGACGGTAAAAACGTTTATCGACGAAGGTTTGCAATTAGGTGGCCGGATTCTGGTTCACGGAAATACCGGTATTTCAAGATCTGCTGCATTAATCTTAGCGTATATCATGGAAACATATGATCTTTCATACAAGTAAGTCTTAATTTTCATCAATTAAAGAATTGCTAAATACATGTATGAAATTTTAATAAATTAATTTGGAATTGCAAATTTTTTAAAAATGTGACAAGTATAAACTTTACGCGAAATTGTTATTTTAGATGCGCATTCTTGTTAGTGAAACAGCAAAGATTTTGCATAAGTCCTAACAAAGGCTTTGTGATGCAATTAATGGAATATGTTCCTATTTATAAAGCTTACAAGATGCAGAAAGACAGTCAATATCGTTCGGAAAATCAACATAACAAACGAACGATTCATCAGGTAGAGGAAGACAATTAGACAATGGATCAAACAACGTAAAGATTAAAAAAACATGAGTGAAAATATTAATAAACAATTTTATTTAAAGTCTTTGGTATACACGCGTCTTTTTGAATATAACATTTTTCATCTAAGTCCTCTGAACAGAAATTGGAGAAAATATCTTCCTTGCATCCACGTTATGCTTATTGTTATAACATTTTCCAAAATAGTGTCTTACAAATCTTTCTGACAGTTTAATTCTAGCTGGAAACTTTATGCATACGATGTTCTTATTGTTCTCGTTCAGAAACTCCCATTTAATGTCCACGGCCACCTTCGTGATTAAAAGAAAATCTCATATCAGTTTTTAAATCGTTAAATTAACTGTGAAAAAATATGCCCGAATCGAGTTTTATATAAAAATAAAATCGAAAGAAAAATTACATTAATTTTTCGGAATGAGAAGATACATCGAATTCCCGAAGAAAATAATATAAAAAATGTAATTCTTTCTCTAAGTTAAAATACAAAATTTTAAAAAATATAAAAAAGCGAATTTGAAATGTCATGTGCGCGCGATTTAAAATATACAAGAAATAAATTTTAAATTACCGATGGAAAGTTTTTGTGCACAAACATAGTAGTAGTGTAACGATATTCTTGGTTTTTGCGCAAGGGACAGTCGATATTGCTGTCAGGATCCTTGCACGCATCAGTTTTTTTAGGATCCAATGGAAAAGGTACCGGAACGTCGAATACTATGCCAGTTACACGTACTTTGACGTTCGAAATGTCTTGGTCTGCAAAATATGTCGTGTTTAAAATTTTCCTAAATATATTAATAAAACGCTTTCAAAAAAAAAAACAAACAAATTAATAATATTTTCTCTTATGCTTACTTGGTACAAACTTGATGGATATAGACGCGTTGGTACCACGTATCAAAAAACATTTCGGATCTGAATCTCGACACTTTGACACCGATACTTCCGTGAATTTACCTAGTGACGAACCTGAAACGACATAAAATTGAAAAATAAATTAACACGATAAACAAATTTGATCATTTGCTACTTAATGCTCGATCGTTCGCTTGAAGTATCTCGGATGCAACACTTTTCATGAGTTCCGCAACTTTTAAAAGTTATGAACGTTTTATCAAACGAGACGGTCCCCAATTACGGATGTATGAGTTCTTGGAATTTTACCAGACGCACATGTCGTTCGAGTTTAATTAAAGTGTTCTAACAAACCAAGTTAAATATCTTGTTCTTCAATGTGTGTGCGATATATTGAGTACTGACGTCAGAAGCGCGAGAAATTTATAGTCAAGTCTTTCCTCGAACTCCAAAAAAAAAATAAATAATAATTTCGCACAATTGCAAAATATCGTTTAAGGAAGTATAATGCGTCACAAGTGATTGACAATAAAAGGCATTCGTTGTTTTTTGTTCATCATTTGTCACACATTTATCTCAGACGATAACTCCATCGCGTAAACCAGACAACTGTGTGAGTCACATTGAGATATTTTTTAAATAATCGTTATAAAAAAATGTGCTTTACACGTTTTTATTTTTAATTATGACATAGACAGCGCTTAAACATTACGAAATGACAATATGCTTGAACCGTTGCGATAAGAAAGGACTATCTGATGCGAAAATGAATTTATAATTTAAACAAATTCTACTTTTCAGATAAATATTATTATGTACATATTCAGCACATCTTACCCTTTGAACGGCGCGGATGTAGGATCTAAAGGATTCAAGTAGTGAGTCTCGTTAGACAAAGGTTAAAACAATAAAAAAAAGAAGATGAAAAAGAAAGATAAAATAATTTAAAATGCTCAAACTAAGAATGAAACAAGGCCGATACGAGCCATTCCAAGGATGTTGTGCAGGAATAAACGTGCATGTATATATATATACACATGTATGAAATTCTCATGTAAATTATTTTTACATGTGAGTTTTTTTTTAATTGAAATTTTCAATTCTTAAAATCAGAATTTCATACATGTGTATATATATATACATGCACGTTTATTCCTGCACAACATCCTTGGAATGGCTCGTATCGGCCTTGTTTCATTCTTAGTTTGACAATTTCACGAGCCTTTACTATTCATTCATTTTAATTTAAAATGCTATTTATAGAAGTTTTATATAATTTTACAAGACAAAACACGATAAAAATAATTTCAGAAATAATATTCATCTTTGGTAAGTATTAAGGATTGTTTTGTTTTGAGTCTACATATAATATTGATATAGTGTAACCTAGTAGTATATATCTTATAGTAATGTATGTACAAAGAGAATCAAAACAAACGGTCAAAAGATGCTTTGAACATAAATTTTAAGCAGTGATAACCAGCATTTTTTGATTCTTCATAATCTTTGTAATCTTTCTTGTTTAAATAATTCTCGACTGCATATCGGAGAATCTTTCTTTCTTTGTTAATTTAAAAAATGTAAGGTTTTAAGTGCGCGCAATAAATAACTTTTGAAAATTGTTATCAATATTATCGTCGACAACAAGTAAAATTATGTGTGTGTGTGTATATATATATATGTTATTATACAATTTATTTTTTGAAATATGCAAGTTGTACATTTTTTATTCAATTTTTATGTATTGTATGTTCAAGTTACAAGAAAATCTTGTTATATTATGTATTAATAATACAAACACTTACCGCAATCCTCAAAATATATGGCAAAACTTTGTGCGGTAAAGCACAAAACGTACAGAAAAGCAAAAGTAATGTTCGTTACTCGAGTCATGGTTGAACTTGTGTGTGTTCTCTCTTGGTGGGCTTCCGCGTGGTTATTGACTTACTATTGACTCGTCACTCAGTTTTGCGATCCGCATTAATATGCTCGCGCACGCGCACAGGAAACCCAATGACGTACGTTGCCAAGCAACGGTCGGTTTCACGAGAAGAGAAAAATTTGCATCTTTTTTTTTTATTATATTCTAAGATTTACTGTGAATGAATGTTGATTAAAAATCTGTAATTTATGTTACGTATATCATACACTTGTATGTTACGTATATCATACACTTGTAGTAAATTTTGGAACACAGTCTCTTTGTTTTATTCCGATCATCAGCTGCTGCCGATTGACAGTCAGCGGCTGAAGGAGAATAACTTGCAAAGTAGAGGGGAAACACTTTCTTCCTCTTTCGCGGATTGAGACTATTCATCACGCGCTCGGCAGCTTATGTGCGTGTAAATAGACTTTATTGTTTATTAAATACGAAAATAGAACACGTTGCTTTGTATTTTGCGCGTACTGTACAAAGCGAGGATTTTATATTTTAAGTGTGTCGGTAAAATATGCTACGTAAACCATATCAGAAAAACATACACAGAATCACATCGTATATTTATTATTATTTATTTATTTGATAATTTTACTTGATGAGATACATTGACATGCGTGTTAAAAAATGCGAGACTAATTGTTGCTTAGAAACTCTGGTAAAACGTGTCCATCTGAATTCAGCCGAGCGATCAATTCAATTGATCGCGAGTTGTCATAAAAGTATATGATGTCATCTCTTTGCCATAAAAAATGCTTTTTATTTAATTTTTACCGGGAATTTTACGCATATTATTGTTTTATCATTCTCGTTCACGAATTCCCACATGACATCGAGGCTCAACTGAAAATTAAATAATTGTATGAACATATACGAATACATAGAACGAAATCGTTAGATTAAAAACATAAATATTTAAACTTTCAGGTGCAATTACCGCGGGAATTTTTTTGTCCACCGTGAATGAAGACTTATATTCGTTCTCCTGGTCCTTCGTCAAAGGACAGTTGACTCCAGAATCGGGATCTTTGCACACATCCGGTTTGTCCATCGGAAATTCCACAGGCACGTCGAGCAATACACCGTATGCGCGTGCTTTGACATTTGAAATGTCTAGACCTGGAAAAAAAAAAGAAACAACAAGTGTTGAAAAATGAATATGTATAATTAAAAGAATTATTTGACTTACTCGGTGTAAATTTGAGAGACACGCGTGTCTCACTGCCGCGGATTATCGAACATTTTTCTTCCGACGTATCACAGCTCGAAATTGATATTTCGTTGAACTTGCCTACTTCCGAGCCTAAAACAAATCAATTTTAATAAATATAAATCATTTTACTGTTGTAAAACGTTCAAGTGTCAGAGAATTATATTTGTTCAACGCAAGAAACTGTTACATATACATATATATTAATGGATCCCGCATGAACGAGTCACACGAGAAGGCGTTCTTCTCGTGTTGCTAATTCGCTATAATTACATCTCATTACAACACGAAGTTGCATGAAGTAAGCTGCAATCATTTGATTAGCCGTAATCTAATGACAAACAAACATTCAAAATACGTGTAATTAAGTTTCACTTAAATGATCATAAAACGGCAGAACTTGCTTGATACTTACCACTAATTTGACAGTACGGTGTTATCAAGTTGTATGATATTAGCTAGCTATGTCTATCTTATTGCCAATACAATTTATCAGAGACATTTGTTGAAATCGGACAGATTTACATTTATAGCTATTTGAAATGTAGAATTGTGTCGAAAACACACATCGCGAATTTTATTGAAATTTTTTTTTAAGTTTTAAACGTTGACGAATGTATTCCCAAACAACACGAAGTTAACTAAAAGTTGACTGTAAGTTGATTGAAAAAGATCGACTATAAGTCGATAATCAGTCACTCGTGTTGTGCGGGTTGTGTCACTAATTCCTGTAGTGCTTAAATGTTTATATTGTTTAATGTTCTTTATTTATTTTTATCGCTACTATGTATTTAAATCCGAATGTTGCGATCCGAATGTCTATGCTGATTATCTTCGATGTGTGAAATATGTGAAAAAGTCTTTTAATAATTTTTTTCCGATTTAGATTATACTGTAGACCGTGTTTGAATATCTATTGTCTAATGTTCGTTATTTTTTATCACGCTACGTTCGTGTACCTAAAACGATCCGAATGTCTATGTTAATTATTTTCGATATGTGAAATGCTAGAGAAGAAGTTTTTAATCATGTTTGATTTAAGTTGCATACTTAAAACTTGTAATTTTTTTTTAATCATCACTTATATTAGAAAATTTTGGTTTCAATTAAAACATTTCTACAACACAAACGTCTTACATTCTTGTAAATTTTTTTGTAAAAAGTTACAAATAAGTATATTTACCGCAATCCTCGAATACGAAAGCGATGGAGGATGCTAAGCAGCACAGGAAGTATAGGAATGAAAACGCGACATTTGTGCGGATCATGTTGCTTCTACACCTTCCAGCATTTAACGACGCCGCAAACGATTCGCGCGTCCGAATTTATAAGCAATTCGCACTTATCTAACATCAAACTACGTAACTTCGTCTCATTACACTTAATAACAGTCTCAGGAACTATACGGTCTCCTTCTCATCGCAACGCGGAAAACAAGTTTTTAGAAGCAACAAAGAGTCTTGATAAATTGCTTTGTAATAAAAAAAAAGAAAGGAGAAAAAAATCATAGGATGACTAGCATTCAAGTAAACTAACTAGTCAATCTTCAGTAAGAAAAACAATAGACTGGCGAGTGCGGCTTGTGTAAATTAACAAGCCACATATGTGGACGCTGATAAAATAAGAATTTAAAAACTGAAACTCTCGATCTTTTCTTATCTCCAGAAGCGAACGCGTAAAAATCAAGAGACGGAAACACGGACTACCTGCGTACAACTTAAACTGCCCAAAAATAAATCTTCATAATTACTAAAAATATATATATATATTTTTTTTTCAAACAAACACCGAGTAGAACCGTGAACGTCGATTATTGGCGCTAATTTAACAAACTTACCCTAGGCGAAGATATAAAGCCCGAATCAGCCGCTTCCCTATTGGAAAAGCACTAAGAAAAAAAAGGAAAAACGTTTCCTGAAAAGATATCCTGATCTCAAAAGAGTTACGAGTTCATTAATTGCAATAACAAAACATACAAATTATTTACCTGATGATTTTTTTTTATACAAGAGACATGTTACAACCAACTCTGGCTATGGAGTAAATATAAAGACAAGTTTGCACGGTCTTGTTTAACACTAAATAATTTTTTTATATCATATAAAGATGTATAAAAAATTTATGTATTTTTTTAATAAAGCTAAAGGAGAGGATATAAGACAGACTACTGCACAATATACATAATATTGCATATAATTTATTTTGGACATCACTTTGGGCCTCGATTGGGGATCTCTCCTAACTGTATCATGTTTACACGATGGAGTGACCTAATTTTCTTATTTGTTTTCTTTTTTTCTCGAAAGGGGTTTGACATCACCCCTTACGCATTGAAGTACGTACGCGACTGGGATAATGTGGTCAGCTGATCTTTCTCAACGTAATTTACGCATGCGCCAAATTACCCTCCCTTCGTTTCTGTTCCTTCGTCCAACCCAACTCCCAACAACACGAGTTGAAAGGAAGTGACGTGTGTGACGTTTCTTACAGCACATCGTCCACGTAGCGCTTCAAGCTATACCGAAGCTATACAACTACGTGTAGCGATCATTCTATCATCTGATATACTTCGTGCGACGTACTCGAGTTCCACGCGCAAACGTGAGAGTTTGATTTTATTATATTATTTATATTATATGTATTATTCTTACAAAAATACTCTTTCTGCGTAAATCAATGATTGCTCTGTGTATTCAAGTCTAAAGTGTTTCTTCGTGAATGTCTGTGCAACACGAGTGAAAAAGCTTCTATATATGTCATCACCAAACACATGTTTTTTTCTTTTAATTACTGAGTAAAGAGTGGATTAAAATTTAAGACGTCAGCGATATGGATAATATGTAAAACAAACTTTTCGACTATCAGTTTAAGACACAATACTCCATGCGATATCGAAACCTAACCTGTTAAATAAAACTAATATTCTATGTTAGGCTAAGTGCATCTTATTAATGTTTAAGAATGTACACACGATTTGAAATTATAGGTCTGTTTTTTTTCCCTGAACTGGCTGCACTAGTTCAGAGTTTGTATTTTGTTACACATATTGGAAAGAAAAAGATAGACTCTGAACTAGTGCAGCCAGTTCAGGGAAAAAAAACAGACCTTATATTTCGAAATGTTTGTGCGAACATTTGAATGTGATAGTAATTAAGTTTATTATGTTTTTCTTTTAGATTTTCTACAGTCATGGATCAGATCAAGAAACTCACAGAACCTGGCCGCCAGTTTGCCAAAGACAGCATTCGGCTTGTCAAAAGATGCACCAAACCAGATCGCAAAGGTAATTAATTTGTGCTATTTTTGAGATATAATTAAAGTAGTTTTGATTAAGAATGTGAAAAGCTATTTTTATTCATTGCAGAGTTTCAGAAGATTGCTATTGCGACTGCAATTGGATTCTGCATAATGGGATTTATAGGATTTTTCGTTAAGCTAATCCATATTCCAATCAATAACATCATTGTGTAAGTACATGCAAAATCTATGAAACATTATTGAAGAAGTCTTTTATCATTGTAAGGAGCTAATATAAATGTCTTAATATTTTAGCGGCTCATAAAAATATACTCTGTGAGATGTAGTCCTGAGGATATTAATTATAAGGATTTCATAAAATGTCTTCTGTCTTCGTTGTATGTTTCTGTCTTTTATTTATGATACAAAAGAGTGCATCTATTATTTGTGAATGATGAGTGAAAGAGACATGTATGCATAATATACATATTAATGTGAATTTTATAATAAAATGTCTCTACAATTGTCCAATTCTTAAAAATTATATCTTCCTTAAGAAGTTATTTGACAATATGGAGATAAGTTTAATATAAAATTTGAAAAAAAAAAAAATATTGTTACAACATATATAGGTAATAAGGTGTGTGTGTCGGGTCAGTCCCGAGTGACTTTCGCTACTTTAATTATTGCTCATTGTTTATTAAAGAAAGTTTATAAATAAACTAATAATAAAAACCGGATTGTTATGGTGATTTGTGTGATATTTTATTACATATCATTCTTTTCATAACAAAGTTTGTTTCGAGAAAAATTTCCTGATAAAATTCAAACATATTAGAAGCTCATTTGAGAGTTCGGATTATTCTTTAGCGTTGCGTGAAGAAATCTTTTCAAAAATAACTAGAAGTTTTCTCTAGATTGTACAAAAATATATATAGTTTGCTGGCAATTTTCTCGATTTTACTCTATCTCTCTTTATTCGCAACATGTTAACAACGTATATCATTTTTGCAAAAAAAAAAGCAGTCGCGTGGCGTAGAAAAGCGTAATCAGCCGTTGAACAATTATACTTATGTGTCTTACAATAATCCCAATTCTTATCTAATATGCAAGTATTTTATTTAATTCGCAATTTAACTTTGTTCCAAACTCTTACTTTCTAAAAGAGAAATTTATACATGATGATAGATGTAAACAAAGAAAAGAGGCGTTCTTAGGTATAGTACATGTATAGAAGCCACAGCATTCGAGTAATAAAAAATACAAACTACACATTTCTTTTTCACACAATTGCACGAGGGTTACTTTGTAAAGTTACCGAGGTACAACGAAGTAGTAGTTTTTTTGAATCGTGGTTCAAATTTGATTCATAATATTTCAATCCAGATGTAAAAAGTGACTAGTAATCAAGAGATTAATAATGAGGCACGTAAGAAAAAAAAAACGCGAAAGACTTCGTCCCGCTTTGCTTCGCCCGCAAAGCGCCGGGAAAGTCTTCGATGTTAGATTTTTGTAGCGAAAATGTTTCTTTTTTTTTTTTTTTTTCATTATACGCTCTATGTATTCTACGTTATAATATATATAATTTCTATTGGTTTTATCAATTTATGCTATAACATTTATGAGCTCGGTTTCAAGTCTCGATCGTAATAAAATATTAAATCTGCATATACGCAATGACGGAGGAGGAGATAACAAATTGAGGTATATGTTCGTTAGGCACGTGATATTCTCGATTCTCTAACAAAAATTTTTCATACTTAATACTCGTCGTATAATTAAACTGGTCGTTATTTGTTAATGGCGTGTATACTTATTTATACTTATTTATACAATGCGTAATCACTCTTGCACGCGTAACATAGACACATAGTGCACTCCCCCAAGAATATGCCGTGTCATCACTGAGAGAAATACTTCCGAATTTGAAACAAGCAATCGTTTAAGCAATAAATAATTTGCGATAAGAATATTTCAAAAACAGTTCGTCTACAATATATATTGTGCATTGTAAGAGAAAAAGTTCTTATATAAGTTATTACATAAATATGAAAATTTCGTAAAGTAGTGCTGTGTGTGAAATTTTTGAGAAGGTGGGGGACCACACCTACGCGCGTATATAATATATATATCTATTTTTTGCGTATTAAATATGCGTTTTTTTTGTATATAAAATATGTATACGTACAATAACATTAAATATCGCTCGTTATCTCATTATAAGTATCCTCTGAATACAAATGTATTATTGATTTCATCATCAATATCAATGACGAACTTACTACACCGGGTATTTCGTGTGTACTCTTTGCTTTGTTTTTGCGACTTACATTATATCAATCATACATTAATTAATAAGGCCTTAAAGAATGTCGTAGTACGGTTTGTTACGAAGGAATGTTTTTTTCAAGCGTTCTGTACGTTCGAACGTTTCTTTTTCGAGTATACCGTGAGCTCGTTAAAGAAAAACAAGAAGAGGAAAGAGTAAAACGGGAATAAACGGCGAGAAGAAAGGTCGGATGGATGAACGACAAAAGGAGGGAAGACAAAAAGGTAAAAATCATTTTTCGCGTTTACAATACTATAATCGATACTTACACGCTACAGAGTTACGGACCGGGAGGGAAAACGCGGAGAGAAGCACGGATCGTTCGTTTGAAAAAAAAAAAACAAACAAACAAAAAAACAATTTAAAAACTAATAAAATATAATAAAATAATAAAAAACTAAAATGTAATAAAAAAATAAATCATCAAAATTAGCACGCTTTTTATTCTTTGATATCTTCGTAAGTGGAATGCATGTAATCCTGCCTTTGTCACGTGACATCAATCGCTTCGTAGAACAAAATACATTACTCAAATTGTAACAACTCTACACACGCGTAATTAAAACATAACAATCTAATATTTAGATGTTAGAATTTCTTTTTGATTTCGTTTTGCAAAGTACGCACAAAAGTTGTGACGTGAAATTTTCGATAAGGATTTGTCCTGCAGGCATACGGGCAGTGTGTGAACGATATCGAAAAGCTGAACTAAATACAAATTAAAAAGATTCTTAAAATTAATTTAGATTATTTACTCGGAGTCGTCTCTTCTCACTAACATCGATTAATTTTTATTACAAAAATCTTTAGTTTTCTAATTTTTAACTTACAGAACTATAAAACAGAAAAACAAAAACTAAAGTTTTATACTTCATCTTTACCGCAAAGCTGAAGTGTAAAACGGATTTTTTTTTTTTTTTTTGACCGATAACAAATGTGATAACAAATTAATCAGCTAGTTTTGTCGAAAATTTTTTGTCGTGTAAATGAAACAGCAGTTCTAATTGCTAGTGGAACTTTCTCTGACATTGATCGATAATTATTCTGTAAATTTTCACCGAACGCTCCTCCTCTTCTTCTAGAATAATTACGCTCACGTTCCGGGCTTCTCGACGATCCCCCCTCCCCGTTTTCTCAAAAGAAACGACGAGAGAAAACCGATTTTTCACAGTTCCGCTAAACTGTGCAACCGGCGTCCGATGTTGTCGACACAAAAGGACTGCTTTGTCGATAGAAATCGGTCTCGTACTCCTCGACCTTCACCGGATATTCGGTGACGCAATTCTGCGGCTGGTTCAGAGCCGGCGGAGGTTGCTGCTGCACGAAGTTCTCCTGATAACCGGGAAGCGGAAGAGGTTCGGCGAACTGTTGGTAGGCGGTCGCGTCCGCGCCCTGCTTCATGCAAGTCGGACTGTGAAGGCTCAACATGTCGACTAGCTTGCGCCTCTGAGTCTCCAGCTCTTGGATTTGGGACTTCAAGTCGTGATTTTGATTCTCAAGGATCTCGGATTCCTGCACGAGTATCACCGTCTTTTCGCGCTTCTTCAACCGGCATTTAGTCGCCGCTATCTTGTTGCGCTCGCGCCGCCGCCGACGCCGCTCCTCATCCTCCGGCGTCAGCTGCAAATCACAAGGATCGTGCACTTTTTTTCTATCTTGACGTCGGCCTCTTTTTACTTCCTTTCGAGAAAAAGAGAAAATTTCTTGGAGACGTCTCCGTCTTTTTTTGTGTCACCACGAGATTTTACTTGTTTCAATTTTTTTTAATTTTAAATTTTTGTAAATCTCTGACGTTCCGCAAGATGTTGAGTTTCTTTCGAAATGTTGAAATTGCGTCTCGTGCGACAGAGTTAGATGATTTTTTTTTTTTTTCAAATTTTCCAAGCTATTATTAGCACAATTATTTATTACATTAAAAGACAGTTCCGATTTTATCTTGACCTTAATATCTCAACGTATCTTAAGGTCACAACAGTTCTAATATTCTTGAACAACACATTCAGAAATATTAACGTTCAGAATGTGTGTCTTTATGTCCTTTTTTTTTTTATTCAGAAGTTTTTAAAACAGTGATTGAAATGGGAGTTTACATCATTCGCTCTTTATAGATACGCAATAGAATGAGCTATGCGCAAGTACGTGTTACAGCCACACGCCGCATAAATCTTTTAAACTACGCAATTTTTATTGCATAGATTGCGATCTATAATCGCGCACGACGGAAAATTGAAAAGCGAAATATCGAAAAGTTTTATACTTACGCCACTCTTGTTGTTGTTGTTACTCATTTCGTCCTCCTCCTCGTCGTCGGCACCGCTGCCGTCTTCTCTCTTTGTCTTCTTTTTGCTGTCGTCGCCGCTTCCGGTTGCCCGCCTCTTCGTCTGCAGCGTCAGTTTCAACCCTGTCCGAGAGTTTTCCAATAATTAATCTCAATTTTAAATAAATTGTCGCGATTTAAAAAAAAAAAAATCCTCGTTCGACGATGTGAATTCGATGGACATTTTTATTCGACATTTATTTAAAAACATTTATATAAAAATATGTTAGTGCACGATAGAGTTTGCGCCACTCACCTTCCTTGATGAGTTGACTACAGGTGTGTTGAACGCTGGGCGGGCTCGGCTCGCCGCTGCTGGTCGAATCCGTACGATCCCGCATGCTCCTCTCGTTGCTGCTGCCGTAGCCCTCGAAGGGATTGGTCATGGCGATCAGCGAGTTTACGATTTCTGGTGTCCTCGGCGTGACCTCGGTCGTTCCCGCTGTGACACCGAGGAGACCCGTCCCAGGCGGGCTGGGATTCACGTTCACATTCAGATTGTACATAGCTGGCTTCTCAACATTTATCTAACCTGGAAGCAAGAAAGAACTCGATTGAATTGTAATTATATAACACGATCGCGCAAAGGTGATGAATCGTTTCTTTCGTTCGGTCTTTCGTCCGCGGTGAACGTCAAAATTACTCTTGACAAGAGAATTGACACACCTTTTAGCTCGCTCACTTGCTAGCTCTCTCCCCCCCCCCTCCCCCACACGAGCGAGCTCTGTGTCGTTTCACAAATGTTCAACAAAATACACACACACACCAGATGTATAATTTTAATTTTTGTATTTTTACAAAAAACGGATTACAACGAAGAGAATTACATAACGCGCATCGAGGAATCCCGAGAAATTGTGTGTAAAGATAAATTTAACTCGCCATATATTTTAAGGAACAAAATAAGACATTTGTTTCAAGTACTTATCTAATCTCTCTTGCAAATTTTTTGTATGTATAAAAAATGCGTATTTTGTCGTGTTTATTTGATGTTACGTAACGCGATTAAATTACATGCGTGTACCTCTCTCTCTCTCTTTCTCTCTTTCTCAGTCTCTCTCTCTCTTCATCATCTTTTACGTTCTCGGCGCTCTTAAATCTCGCGCTTCACTCATCTTCCTCTTCTCTTCGACCTCAATTCGTTACATTCCTCTCAATCGCGCCGACACTTGTTTTATCTTCGTGAATATAAATCATAAAAGATAGCATTAAGATACGCGCCGTATATACATACATATATATATATATTTTTTTTTTCTCCGAAAACGTTATCGCGATGTGACCTGTCTTCGCGTCAGTCAATTCTGTTAGCTTTTTTCTTCCTTTGCGGACACGCGTTTCGCTTGTCCCGCGCCCCGTGCACTAATTACGCGTCTAATCAGTTTGAATAAATAAACTTTAGCGCGTCGATACTTGCGCGCAATATAAAATGAACTTTTTTTTAACATTGGAGTGTTGTACGAACAACCAAGATCAAATATCTCCCACAAAGTTGTGTCAATATTTAAGAGAACAGAAATCGCGAAGTTTTAAGACGAGATTTGCATCGCTTTGCTCTGTATCGTTCCTCGCAGAGCGTGCGGACTTTAGACAAGATCTGACTTGCGCCGAATTTAAAAACCTTTTTAAATTTTCATCCTTTTAAAGATTATTTCTCCTCGCTTACGCTCACAATGTGCGGATTTAACAAACGTACGGAGAGATAAGTGTAAGAATCTAAACAATTTCAAGTGGATTTCGAGAATCACAGAAGATCTCAAAAATACTCCTGTTAAGACAGAAGTGTGTACATTTATGGTAGGTTCCCTCTGAAAGAAATCGACTCGTAAACATTTCGATTTTATATATACGAAAGATGCGCGCGCGCGAGCGAAGAGCCTATATGCGGGTGTTTCCGAAGAGTATCGTCTCTTTTTTCGGAACAATCGGACACCCTCGCAACACTTCTTTTTTTTTCTCTTCTCGGTCTCTTCCACGATTTCTCTGTTTTCTCTCCGTCTGTTTCCTTTCCGCTCGCGCGAGCACGAAGAATAAAAAAAACTCCAAGACAACAAATGACTTTTTCAGATCCGAGATCCCTCGGGGCCCACATGTCTGCGAGTGACAAAGAGCCTTCATTATATACCCAGTAACCTATATGTCGAGACACACACACACACACACACAGAGAAGCGTGTGAAATACGCGCGATTCGGCGCACTAATAAATTTCTAGCTGACAAGCGATACGAGGTACGTACATACGTACGTACATATGTATGTATGTACATACATACATACATACATACATACATACATACATACATACATACATACATACATACATACATACATACATACATANTACATACATACATACATACATACATACATACATACATACATACATACATACATACATACATACATACATACATATATACATACGAACGAAAGAAGGGAATCTGCAAAAACGCGGTGTCTGCTTTATAACGACGGCATTGCAGTTTGAAATAATAATCCAAACCGCTATTTGTTTGAATGAGAACAGGTGTCCAATCGAATCCGTCGCTAACTTAGCATGCCGTTAAAGTTATAAATAGCCGACTTTTATGCGAGTGTGTGTGTATGTGTGTTCAAAGCGCGCGCACGTGTGAGATTTTGACACATGACATTTTCAAATGTTTCGAGATATTTCAATTTCTTTGAAGCGAGAAGATATTTTCCCGCGAAACAATCGTTTTTTTTATTTACGAACGTACGAAATATTTTGTTAAATTGGAATATGATGTGTAAAATATTAAGATGTTTAAAAAACTTTCAACAATTTCAATAAAGTTGGAAGGATCAAATGATTGCAACAATCAACGTTGCAAAATTTGACATTCGTTCGTATATCAACGACTGCCTCGCTCTTTCATCCATGTCGTATATTTATGAAAAAAGATATTCTGTATTTCTCTCTCGTATCTTACTTCCACGAAGTCACTATCTGATTCTCGGAATTCTAGTTCGGTCTCTCGATCCCGACGTCCTCTCTTCCCTCTTTTATACGCGGAGGTAATTAATCTACTCTCGAAGATAGATCTCGAACGAGAGGAGGACACCTCTCCTAAGAAAAATCGTGCGTTAAAGAACAAAAGAAGAAAGATTGAGAGAGAGAGAGAGAGAGAGAGAGAGAAAGAGAGAGAAAGAGAGAAGAGAAAGCTTGCGTAACTCTAACGTCCATGTGCACACTAAAAGTTTTTATCACGCTTCTTCGTCGACGATGAACGAAACACGGGTGGCCTAATTCCTATGTGTGATTACCACGAGTGCGATCTTGAGACTTTACATATATCGCGATACGCTTAACGCGTATAATCGAATAAATAAAGTTAAGTAATCCGATCTACACGTGCGTTTCACTTCGTCTTGTTTTTCTTTTCTTCAAGAGATTTCAAAATCTTAGGCGTAAACAAACTTTCTTGAGTATAAAAAAATGCTCATTCATACACGGAGATCGAAAAGCAAACAGATCTAAAAATAAAATACATATATATATATATATAATATATATATATATATGTAGAAGATTATTTTTCTATACATGGGAGAGACGAAAAATTTCAATTTATTGAATAAGTATCGAATTGAACTCCGCGTAAAAACTGGCGTAAAAACCGAGCGGCTTTACGAGTGTTAATTTACGATGTTGTTTTCGCCTCCTTCGTGTAAAGAAAACGCATGCAAATGTGTCTGTATGCGTACGTGTGGAGAAGGAGAGCTCGAGCATAAGATTATATTTATATATATATATATATATATATATATATATATATATAAGAGAGAGAGAGAGAGAGAGAGAGTAGAGATCCTTTATTTTATTTTATTTTATTTTTATTTTTTATGTATGAAACTAGAGGAGGCAAAATATTGTAGAAAACTTAGAGCACGTAACGTCTGTTCTGTTGTGTCCTCTCGCTTGTGTTGAACTTCCGCGATGAAATTTATGCTTCCTGTTCGCGTTCACACAGACGAACGTAAGTATACGTCGTCCTGGCTCTATCCACTCCCAAATGTACACGCGCGCTCCTTCTTGTGACCTTACGCCTAATCGCGAGCGGTGGAGACTCGTAAAGCCTGTTTCAGCCGATCGATTTGCACTATTCTTTTTCTACAATTTTGTAAAATGCATTCAAAGTTGCTTTTCGTGAAGAAAAGTATTTTTTTTTTTATAGAATAGAAATATTTGTTTGTTATGAATATCCTTAGGAATTGGACAACAATCCTTCCGTTTTGGTACATCCTTGAGACTCACGGATGTACCATCTTATCTTCACATCCATCGAAAGAGCTTTTCCCGTGCGTAATCGTATGAAGTCAGAGTAAAAAATAAAAAAATAAAAAAATTAAAAAAACAGTATGATTTTAATAGAGAGAAGAGACGAGAAAATAGAAATGATCAAAAGAGCATCTTCTGCTGTGCGTATCGAGATCGCGCGATTTAAAATAAAAACTACGTGCACGCTGAGAGGAAATTGTTTTAAAGACAGAGAGTTGTAATTTCGCGGCGCGATGTCAAGCTCCTTTATACGCGTAAAAGGCGAAAATGAAGCGATTCGTAAAACCGCGCGTGGGCGAAACCACACGGGTGTGGGTGACGCTTTTTTGTTGCGTGCGTATGTGTGTGTGTGTGTGTTGCGACAATAAATAAAAATCCGCCAACGTAAAAAAAAACATGCGTGTTGTCGGCGTTTCTCATTTTTATCGCTTGCCAGATATTATATAAAACAGAAATCTTCCGGAGTCGTTCGATCGAGACACTGTTTCACGGAGAGAATCTCTATACGATTAAAAAAAGTACCGAGTATAATTAGTTACAATTGCGGACTTCGTTAATTGTGGGGCAAACCGGCTGCAGCCAGTATTTCAAGGAAACTAGGAGAGGAAACATTAACGCGGACGAACGATTAATGGAGATCAAGGCACTTTCGTCCTCCTCGAGCCCGCATCTTTCTCTTCGTATAAGAAACCGGCATATACGGGTGCGACTTTTGAAACATTCCGATGGTGTTGGTGCTGGACATGTGTGTGTGTGTGTGTGTGTGCGCGCGCTGTCGTGGCATATCACAAAAGAGGAGACCGAAAGGATAAAGGATACACGGCGCTCTTGTCGACGACGAGCTCGGTCTGCAACAAAAAGTCAGGAGAGATGATATAACTGGATTCGCAAGTAGAACAACAGATAGAAAACGGGGAGATGAGGAAAGAAAAAGGAAAGAGAGAGAGAGAGAGGAAGAAAGAAACCATTACCCACTCAAGGGCGTCAATGTCTCTCGCGATTAAATTTAAAATGCTAATGTAACGGGAGAAAGAAATGGCAGCACCTCTCCTCTACCTCCTTCGAGAAAGGCGATGGGGAGGAGGAAGGAATTTACTTCGCATGCGTACAAGTAGAGAGACGCCTGCGTTGCATGATGTGCGCGTTAAGCAAATATATACAATATCTGTGTATGCGCGCGCGCTCGCGAGTCCGTGCGTGCGTGCGTGCGTGCGTGCGTGCGTGTATTGTTACGATCGCGATTTTATCGCCCTGAATTATTCGTATGTGCCATTAAATCGATATCTATCTCATTTGTAACAATTACGAAAACGCGCGTAAGCAATATATATATTATATCTTTTGTCTCGAAAATTGCGTTTTGCGAACTTCGTTCCTCTCAAAAAAAAATTCCCCACCGGAATAAACAGATATAATCGGCCGTTCGGACACATCTGTTATTTCACGCCAAAGTGACAAAAAAAACATATAAAGTAAAATCGGCTTTTGTTAATGAAAACATGTGTGTGAGCGTCGCTTTATCGCCGCTAAAATATATACGCGCAAATGTTTGCAAAACTTCTCTCGTATCGCTACATACAAATGTAAAATATCGTGGCGTTTTTTGTAGTGATGTAAGATGTTAAAATCGCGCGCGCGCGCGCGCGCAACGAATTTTAACAATATATAGACATGTATGTATATATATTATATTTTACGCGAGATTATATTTAAAAATTGATGCGTTATTTTTAGCGCAACTCGCACACACTCGCTTGATTTCTTATCCACGACGGTCTCACCGACGTGGACGCAAGGACGAGAGGTGGTACTTCCACCTCATCTCTCTTCTAACATGTGTCTCTATCCAATAAAACTTTTATAGCGCCGTCCCATGCGCGCCGTACCTGATTCACTTGCTCGTTGAAGATACGCACCAGTACGTTAATTGACTCAATCAGATATACATCTGATTGACACTTGGACTTTTTTTTTTTTCACACTTATCGCTGTTTTCGTTGTCGAAACGCGAGAATAGGAGTACACGTGCGCGCGTTATATCAAGGACTTTGTCACGCAACCAACATTGAAAGTATGTACGCACCGAGAGATAGATAGATAGATAGATAGATAGATAGACAGAGAGAGAGAGAGAGAAAAAGAGCAAATGCAAATCTCGTGACACTCCGAGAAACGAATTGTTTTCCCGAGAGAGCTCTAAATTCCAGAATAATTTATTCCCGGACTGGTAGATGCACAAATCGCATTTGTCTACTCTTGTGTCTATTTACTACGCTCGCGTGTATATCTCGTTAAACGAGATAATAGATAGCCAACTTCAAAGAGAGAGAGAGAGAGAGAAAGAGAGAGAAAGAAAGACGCACACACATGCACACACAGAGACAGACGGACGATTGCGCATTCATATTCATGAGAGAGGCTCACAATACACAAATGTCTCGTCCTACTTTTTCGTTTTTGCGAGGCACCGGTTTCGAGGAAAGAACCCGCACGACAATTCTTCCGAAGAGACAGTGAGAGACAAATGTCACATTGAAAAAAAAAAAAAAAAAAAAAAAAAAAAAAGACAATAGTTGAAACAATGTTAACAATGCGCGTGTGCGCAACACAGCGAGATAACAGCGAAATAATAGGAAGAATCACGCTCGAGAGAAGAAAACACGTTTTCTGGAAAAATACCTTTTCGTCGCGAATGAAACAAACAAGTTCCTAAACTTCTCGTCTGTGTTGAATTGTTCTCTTCAGCCGATACACAAGAGCATGTGTACAAAACGCGTGTTTCTTCCGCAAAATCGCGCGGCGCAACATTTAACGCTGAAATGAAGTTCTCGGGCGCTAAAAGTTCTACATCGTCATCACGTCGCGACCTTGAACAATTGCGATAAAAATTCGCATGAATCAATAGCAATCGCAATTGATCCGACGGCAACTTCGTGCCGCTGTCATTGTGCGTCGTCGACTTGCGAAGTCTCTCGACGTGCGCGACGAATCCGCACTCCGAAGAGCGAAACGAAATCGCGCACGCGAAAGCTAGAAATTGCACGCACAAAGGTTATTATATCAGTCCGACAAACCTTATCGGCCTAATTACGTCAAGCCACACAATATATTGTATATACACACATATGTACGCGTACGACATAACCTTTCCGATGTATCGAATCGGCGATTTTGCGATCTCGATATCTCGCGCATGATTCGAAGAACACAATCCCCTTCGGACTCTCAACGGCGTGTTAACAAAATATTGCAATCTCTTTTATAATCGGAGCAAGAGTTTGGATTAGATTTTGTGAAAAAAAAATTTATGTCAAAATCCTTGTAACAAACCTTGCGCTCACCTATACTGTTTTATCAACAACGAAACCCGTGCAGAGGAAAATTGCGATGGAAAAATAAACGAATCTACGAGCGCGCGTACACACACACACGCGCGCGCGCGCACGCATCCGGATTGTTGCGCGCGCAATGTCACGCCGCAAAATGATGAATATTTTCCCGTTTTCCATCGGTGAAATCTACATCCAGCCAAAAATCACGAAACAATTCGCCGTCACAGCTTGCCAACATCAGCAACAAAGGCGGCGCGGGCCAAGAATAGTTAAACAAAACCGTGTTTATTGCACGAACAAGAACACGTGCTCCGAATTTGACGCGGAGGAATCTTTGTTTAATTGATAGCGATCGAGTGCGCTACGTCTGTACAAATTCTCGAGTAAAGTTTACACTGTGCGCGCGCGCGCGCTCGCGTGTGTGCGCGCGTGTGTGTTCGAAATTGGAGATTACAATGCAAATCGCGCGTGTAATCGAACATTTATTTCCTCGCGCTTTTTACCTTCACGACGGTGTCTCGGGCGCGAGAGACTCGTCACAAATTTAAAGGACAAGCGCATCCGAGAAAGCATCTCGCGAGCGAGCGAGATTCTCACGCCTACCTTCCTTCGCGACTCCGTCTCTCTCGCTCGTGTCCCCGGCGTCGCACACTCTCTCTCTGTTCTTTTTTCCCTCTTTTTTATTTCCTCTCTCGCACACACTTGTTTCGCTTTTCCTTCGCTACGCGCACCCGATACCTTTTCCGTCGGCTGCCGGCGCGCGACTGTAGATAATTGGCGGTCGCGACCGGCCTAGATATATAGCGGCTATATTTAGCCACCGTCGTCATCGGGACGAGCGCCGATTGGCCGGCGATGATGTCGACCGCGGTCGCGATTGGCCCGCGCGCGCGAGGATCGCGAATACACACGCCGGCGAGAGAGAATCTCATCGCGGCTAGCTGGCTGGCTGGGCGCGACTTCGCGGCCGCGACATTTGTTGACATGAAACTGTCAGGGAGAATACGCACTCCGCTGCTCCCTCGCCGCGCCATTTCGCACCGCGACATATTATATTCGACACAGCACGTATACCGTGTGTGTGTGTGTGTGTGTGTATGTATATTCGATGTATTCCGCGCTCGAACTATAACGCGAACGAGAGTCCGGAGCGCGGTAATTAATTTTACCGCACTAATTACATTCGGGAATTGCGAACCGCGCTTTCAAACGCGCCTCTGTTTTTACTTTTTTTTGTTTTTTTTTAATGACAATTTAAGGTCTCTTTACACATCAAGAATTGTTGCATTTACTGAGAAGAAATTCCACATGAGTTTTTTCACATCCACAGAAGTACTTTAATGATTTTATGTCACGTAGTGTGTGCGCACATACATTAGTACGTATATTAATCATCATCTGCGAAACAAATGATGCACGCATGCTTTATATCACTATTATAATTTGTTTTAATAAAGTGACAACAAATTTTTCTGCGAGTTCTTTGACGATTATCATCGACACCTATGTGACCTAAATCGAGATACAGGTGTATACGAGGAGATGAACAACGGCTCTAGCATGCGGCCGCGGGTTAGGTGAGTGGGTGAGATTTATGGCGAATAGAAGCGCGACATGATAATCAACGATTATTACCGCGACCTGCCGCGTCTATTAATTTGCGCGCGGTAGACTTTTGAAAAGCCTTGAAAGTTGCTGCCGCCGTTGCTTGCCACCGCTCGCGAGAGAGGTTGCCCTGCCCTACTCACCACTACTAGTACGGATGAAATCACGCCGTTTCCCGGCAATGCTGTGCATTATGCGAAAATCGCACGCTAAAATTAGTCACAGACGATTATTGCGCGCGTCGCCGGTATGAAGTAAACGCGCGCCGCGCACAACGAGAGAAGACAAATGTATCGGATATTTACTCGCAAACATCATCATTTTTCTCTTCCACACACACACACACACACGTACGGACATTCTCTCATTTATTCATACGTGACTTATGTATCTGCAATTTTTTTTTTTAGACATACCGCAGTCTAATTACATGATGTTTTACGCGTAAGTTTACGTGTCGCTGTGTTTAAAATTCATATAACGAATTTATATTATCGAAAGACTTGCATATTGTTTGCAAAATTATCTACGCGCAATTTACTTTCCATTCTCTGTTAAATTTAAAATATACGTACGTGATTTTCAACGAAATTTGTTAAAAATTGTAGTCGAGTAACGCAATCGATCGATCGTTACGTTCGATAAAAGTGGCCAATCGATTTGCCGAATTGGAAACAGTAGCGCCATCTCTCGTGGCGGGCGAACACATTCTCGAACAATTCGCAGAACACTAGGCTGAAATATGGCGGTATCTGCGGGATTCGAAAATGTTTCGTGACAGTTTCAAGTATTACAAGAGCCGAAATCCCACACCCGATCTCAGCAACGTGATAGATCTCGAAACTCCAAACTGCGTCAGAGTGTGTATTGTTATTTGTACAAAATTTATACGTATAGTTCCAAATGTGTGATTATTTAATTTTTTAAGGTTAGGAACGTCGAACTGTACGCTCCTGAGAAACCCATCGAAGACGGTTTGGGGCTAAGACCTGTGGAAAAATGGAAAGTTTACGAATTGCTAGATATTCCCGGTAAATGAGCATGGAATATTATAATCGAAAAAGTATGCCGTTAGAAATGGAATATGATTAAATGTAAAATATGTTTTTTTCTTAATTTTATAGGACTGTTTTTTATTCAAAATCCATTTACACCAAACGGTCAAAGATACTGGATTATAAAATGCCTAAAAGATTACTCCAAGGAACCATATAAATTAAATATAGATGTCCACAATGTTTTACGCAATGAAACATGGTGGAACTTGTGCTTTCAGTAAGAGATTTGCTGTAGAAATAATTTTAAAGCAATTTTTTTTTTTTTTTTACCACACAAAACAGATTTTAATGTTGCGTTACTCTTTAAAATTGTATTATTTTAATTGATCGCTCTTAGAACTTCGGAAGGGTCCAAGGCTCTTCTGCCAAAGCTACGATGGGCGACGCTAGGTTATCATCACAACTGGAACACCAAATTATATTCCGAAAAATCAAAGAGCGACATGCCTGTAGAATTGTCTGACTTAACATCCGTGTTGGCGGAAACGTTAGGTTTCTCGGATTTCAAGGCGGAAGCGGCGATCGTAAATTACTATCGAATGAATTCGACCTTGGCAGGGCACACGGATCACTCGGAGATCAATGTCACGGCGCCCTTGTTCTCAATCAGTTTCGGACAGACGGCTATTTTTCTGATCGGTGGGTTGAAACAAGAAGATCCTGCTAATGCGATGTTTCTGCGAAGCGGAGACATACTAATAATGTCGGGCAGCTCTCGTTTGAGGTATCACGGAGTGCCGAAGATACTGCCGTTGTCCGAAACACCTTGGGACGATGATCGCGAAGACAAGAATGAGGATTACACTTACAATCGGGACGATTGGAACAAAGCACGAACTTACGTCGCCGAAGCTAGAATTAATTTGAATGTACGACAAGTTCTGAGGCCTGGAGAGATTGTATTATATTAAATGTATTATACATTGTACTTATATGGAATTGTTATATATATTAAAAATATATTTATTTTGAATTAATATAAACATTAAAACACATCTATTGATCCTTACCAGATTTAATAGCGGTAGAGACAAAATTCTTAATATGTATATTTTGTTTTAAAAAATACAAATTTTTATATTTTTGATAATTTGTACTTATAAAAATTGATCTTTTGTTGATCGTATCGTGTACACGTGATTTCAAAATTGCGCTCTAGTGAGAATGCGATTGCCGCGACTTCCTGTCTGTCAAGTCAGCTGATCAGTTCTGTTCCTGTCGGCCGATACACAGTAGTGAAAAATGTCAGGAAAAGACAAATTACCCATTTTCCCTTCTCGGGGGTATGTGTTTTGTTTCAATAAATTCGCTAGAATTGTTAACAAAAATTCAGCACTTAAATTTGTTCATTTCGTCATTTGTTTTGACTTTTCGAGAGTTTCACTTTGAAACTCTTTGCAGCAATGGGTGTAACCGCCGTCTTTATTTTAGTAAAAAAACATTTGTATTTATATTTAAAACATTTCTGTTATTTTTTCACAGAATAGTTTGTTTCTAAGACTACCTGTTAGTAAAGTTTACATTACAGTGCGATAATATTTTATTACCGAAATTTCAAAAGTTTGGTTAAGTTGACATACGCGCGTCATATGACCATGTTTTCTTCTTTTTTATCTCATTGTCTAATGTCTAAGACTAATACTTAATTCAAAGGTTTTTTTTTTTTTTTATTTCACATTTAATATTTTTATTCTTTTTTTATATATATATTTTCTATTCTGTCATAAAATAATTTTTCTTTGAAGAAACGCTTGCGATTTTCTATTTGAAACAATTTACCACATAATACAAAGATTTATTTATATTTAGGGCGCAGATGTTGATGAAATCCCGTTTACAAGGGGCACAGAAAGGACATGGATTACTTAAGAAGAAGGCGGACGCGTTGCAAATGCGCTTCAGAATGATCTTGGGAAAAATCATAGAAGTATTATTGATTTTCTTGTTATTTTATAGAGAAGTCACTCACATGATAATATAAAGAAAGAAACAAAGGATTTAATATAAATTATTCTGTTATTTTCTCACTTTGCAGACTAAAACCCTTATGGGTGAAGTGATGAAAGAGGCAGCGTTCTCGTTAGCGGAAGCAAAATTTGCTACAGGTGATTTCAATCAGGTGGTTTTGCAGAACGTGACAAAAGCACAGATCAAGATACGTTCCAAGAAAGACAACGTCGCCGGTGTGAATCTGCCTATATTCGAGTCTTATCAAGACGGAACCGATACTTACGAGTTAGCGGGTTTGGCCAGAGGCGGTCAACAATTAGCCAAGCTGAAAAAAAATTATCAGCGAGCCGTGAAGTTGTTGGTGGAACTTGCGTCGCTGCAAACGAGTTTCGTCACTCTGGACGAAGTCATCAAGATCACAAATCGACGTGTCAATGCGATCGAGCACGTAATCATTCCTCGAATAGAGAGAACTCTGGCTTACATTATTTCGGAGCTCGACGAACTCGAGAGAGAAGAGTTCTATCGGCTGAAGAAGATTCAGGATAAGAAGAAGATTGCCAAAGCAAAGGTGATTGTCATAGATAATATACTGTTTATATTAATATTATTAAAATTGTTCTATTGTTTTAAATATCCGCATTTGCATTTTGTAGGTCGAAGCAGAGAGAGCAGAATTAATTGCCGCTGGTCTCAACCTGGATTCTGCAAATTTACTCGAAGAGGATGACGATGACGTGTTGTTCTAAATATTGTAAATAATAAATATATTAATAGTTAAGAGAAAATATTGATAATGTATGAAGAGTCTCTTCCTGTTTATCATAACTTCACGTTATTGTTAAAAGAGGTCGGTCTTACCTGTACATTTTAGACAATATTATAAACCATCTTGTTTAAGTATTATCTTTTTTTTTGCTGCTTAGAGAAAGTCGCTATTATCGTGTGTCTTTATTTAATCTTTTACAAATATATATTGTACAGAACAATTTTTATGGACGTACATTTAAGTGTGATTGTGCACAAAACATTGACACAAAAATGAACGATCAGTAAGTATATCGTGCGTGTCTCAATACATTCAAATAACAAATTCTGTAAGAAGTACGTCGCCTATTTTATCTCTCTATGTAGCAAAAAAAAAACTTAACGTATTACAATGTGTACGATCATCGTTTATATTATTATCTTCGGTTTTTGTGAAACGAGGAATTATATTAGATAACCGTTACAAAACCAATAAATATATATGTAATATATCTATATATACATATGCGAGTGTGTTATCTTTTATCTAAATCACACGTCTGTCTTGTTTTTCTGTTTCGATTTTCAGACTTCAAGAAAACGTGTGATACAGCATAAATGTTAATAATACAGTTTTCTCAAGAAAGGTATAAATTTTTTAAATAATTTTATATTCGAATTAATGTCGAATGAAATTTTTGTTTAAAACAAAATTTATTTCTTTACGTTTAAATCCATGTTTTTGCCGCAGAAGAAAGATATCAGAAAAGTGTCAAATGAGAAATTGGCGCTTCCGTAAATAAAATTTTCCGATTAACGGCCGCAACATAATTGGCGTGTACAACTGACCTAGTGTATTCGTTAACTGGGTCGATCAATATTATACGAGCAAAGGCAGGGGGAGATGGTTTTCCCATACGAGAGAGCTGACCACCCTACTTCTCTGTGAGGAGATGCGCGTGTGGAAATTGCTTCCAGTGCGCGGCGGAAAATTCGCCTGCCCCAACCATGTCGTCGTCTTCGTGCGAGGACGGTATGATGGTCGTGAAAGTGCCGGAGGATCACTACGATGAGGCAATTCACCACTTGCGATGGAACTTCTTCGCGGACGAGCCCCTCAACAATGCCGTAGGACTTTGTAAGAAGGGGGAGTCTCAGCGTGAACTTGAGCGACACTGTCTGCAAACCTTGAAGCAGGGTTACTCGAGGATGCTAGTGGATAAGAAGGGAGCGGTGAGCGACACCCACCGTATTATGAAATACGACACTGATCAGTTTTCACTTTATTTCATTAAAATGTTTACTTCATTATTTAGAAAACAAGAGAGAAAAAAGTTTTTAACAGTTGACGATTCTTGAATAATTTTCTTAATAATTTTAATATAATCATTCTCGCAATTACATATAAATATATATATTGTTATTTATTTAATTATTTACATAATGCTATTAATTTTCAAATTTAAAGAAGCTTAATAAAAATATGTTTCGTTTTCTTCTTTCATATACGCACATGTTGCAGAATTAAAATTATAAATTTTTGATGTTATTTAGATTGCAAGAGACTTTTTGATATTATATTTCGCGAAGAGTGTTGAATATTATTATTAGAATCACTTCAGATAATGGGAATGGCACTAAATGGCATCCTGAAGAAAGGCGAGCGCGAAGAAGCAGAACGGCGTCTAGCCGAGCTGAACGACGAGAAGTTCAAGAAGATTTTCGGATTACTTTACAAGCTGAACGAAAAGGTCGATTTGTTTGCAAAATACAACGTGGACGAGCTGTTCGAGTGTCGGATTCTCAGTATCGACGAAAATTATCGCGGCAAGGGTTTAGCCGGCATTCTCATGATCGACACTATAAAAACTGCCAAAGATGCCGGTTTTAAGGTGAGTCTTATTTATTTTTAACTCAATTATTTTAATAAAAAAATTAATCAAATTTGGTTTAAAGTTTATTTTATTTAATAAGTTTAAAGTTTATTTTGTTTAATAAGTTCTTTGCAATTGTGTTATATTTTATTTCGATTTAATTTTTTTATCTCTATGTGTGTACATCTTGATAACTCCTGAGTACTCGTTGCAATTATGTATTACATATATACATAATATATTGAATTATAGTCCGTTAGAGGACGGACATTGCGATGTGTTTTTGGTTTTTATAATTTGGGTTTTTACTCTATTAGTTTAAGATCGATGCGTTTGCATATACAGCACACACTTTTCTTTTGTGTTTCAGCATGATCTTTGATTAATATATGCATAGGATGTGTGATTTTCGTTTACTTCCCCCGTGAGATGTATTACCGCACACCACTTGTGTTACTCTTCCCGAAAGGTACTTTCGCACGTAATCCCCTCAGGCAGTAAGAGAGATCAATATTACGAATAAGTCTCTACACAGATCCCAATAAAATAATTCGAAGAAACAAGAAACATATAACAAAGAACTCTAAAAACATTTTTAAGAGAAATTAGAAAAATCTCTCTCTCTCTCACTTTTTCTTTTTTTCTTTTTCTCTTTCTTTCTTTCTCGCTCTCACTCGTCCCTCTTTTATTCGAAACCGAATTTAATATAAAGATCAACAAATCTTTCGTATCCGTGAGAGATTTGTATACATGTGTACTTATACGTATGTATATGTGTATGACACATGTATATGAATTATTAATTATAATAATGTAATAATATCACATAGGTGTGCAAGGCCGACGCAACCGGCGCGTATTCGCAGAAGGTCTGCTCAAAGCACGGCTTCCAGGTGGAAGCGGAAATTCCTTACGTGGAGTTGGACAAGTCCATCAGACCGGCGCCGCCCCATCAGGCGTTAAAATTGATGGTGAAATTGCTAAATTAAAGCGTAAACAAAAAAAAGTTTCTCACTCGCAGTTAAAAATTCGTCGACATACGAAAAGCGCAAAGCGCTAAGTAGATGAAAAAAAAAAATATATATATATATATATATGTCGTTGTGTCGTGTCATGACAATAACAGTTCGGTGTTAATACGTGTTATGATGTCGCAAATGACGCGCCCTCTCATAAAGTATTTTAATCCACAAAAAAAATAAGGAAGAAAAGTATATCACAGCGTCGAGATATTTTCGAGAATAACATCTGGTATTATTATTACACTTCGTCTTCTTGTGTGTGTTCTGAACGAGATAAAACGTTGTTAAAAAAAAAAAAAGAGAAAAATTATTGAGGCGATTGAAAATCAATTATTCGATACGAGTGCAGAGAGGGACCAGAGAAGCTTTGAAAAGGGTATTAAATTACTATCTGCGTGCGGCAGTATAAATCTATATACGTAAAAAAAAAAAAAGAAAAAAACAAAAACAAAGAAAAATCGAAAAGCTGCGAGTTTTTAAATGTTATAATTTGACGAAGTTGTGCTAACATTTGTATATGTTGTGATTTGTCGATAACTGCCGTGCACAAATTTGTCCACGAGATTATATATACGTACGTCCAAGTATATCTTCTTCCTCTCTTCTTCTCGAAAGTCAGCGAAACATGGTCATATTCGAATTTGTATATTTATCAGAGGTGTTACCCGGCCCTAAGTTACAAAGCAAACCAGGCTAAGTATCTAAGACAAAATTTTATATGAAAAATCCCGTTATATTATTATACCAGACAAAAGTTATATAGATTTGTTTGCTTGTTCTTCTGTTGAGAACTCTGGTTCGAAAAAGGTGTTTCCTGGATTTGCTTGGAGTGGTGAAAATCTTAGGGCCGGCTCGGTACACAGAATATACCAAGTGGGTCCACATATGTTAATAAAGAAATTACACGAAAAGAATATTATATTTTTGTCGATGCCACATGTTGCAAAAAAATAAACATATATTTAGAAAATGCATACATGATTTATTTTGTAAAATAAAACGTTCGCCAAATCCGTATCGTACAATGTGTGATTTAACATAACTTATACATATATCGCGCGTTGACTGCGTATTTATTAATTTTTTCACTGCTAACTTAATGAGATACTATGCAACTTGTGTCTGTTGAATTATTATTAACAATTAACAACCGTTTTTAAATATTTTATTGACACTAAATATTTTATTAATTAACAATTATTTTTACTAATTGTGTCACGAAATATCAGTTTTTTAAAGTCGCTCTACGCTCTAACATATTCCGAGCACGACCGCCATGTTTTTTCTCGTGTTCGAATTAACTCGAGCTCAATAGTGAAAGAGTTATAAAGATAAAAATAAAAAAAATAATAATAATAACAAATCAGAAAATAATCAAATAGATAACGCGTTTGCAAGTCGCTCGAGTGAAATTTGAGTTTTTCAAGTTTAATATAAAATTAAGACAGAGAAAATCTGATAAACACAGCACAGTTGCACGCAATGATTCTAGAAGTTTATTTGCGATCTAAAGTTTTTTTGCAATTTGTTTTGCTTGCATTGCAACTGTGTCAAGTATTTTCCTTGAATCCTGTTCAAATACCGAATATCTCGCGCTCTCCTCCGAGTGGCCTCTTCTTGCGTCGCTGGTCCACCTAGAGCTCTGTACTGCTGTGCCAGTTTTCTTAATTTCTCATTCCTATTCTTCGCTACCACGACCGATCCCGTAGATACTGGACTTTGCTGATAGTAGCGCATCAGGGCGCGATGTCCAACAACTTTACCTGATGGCAACTTCAACTCGTAATTCATAAAGGAGTCGTCGTTTAGAGGAACTTCCGATGATTCCGACAACTCCTCATCCGGATCCGCGTCTTCCGCGTCCGGATAGCTGGAGGAGTAATCGTAAAAGTGCGAATATTCCAAAAATCCTTCTCCCTCAAAAGGTAACTTGCAATGTCCTTTGTCAATCATGTGCATTCTTACCGCTTCGACGCTTCGCATTTCTTTTCCTTAAAAAACAAATTTATTCTTATTAAAATTAACACAGTCTTCATATAAATCTCTCGAACTTCAAAGTAAAAGAAAGACAATTTTTAAATTGAAACTAAGACTGACTTTTTTGTTTTTGATAAGCAGAGAGACTGAACAGTTTATTTACCTGTACACCAAATGCATCTGAATTTGCCAGATATTTTCTCCCCCAAGTACAGCAGCAACGCTCTCTTGTCAATGCAGTATTCAAGATCAGGTAAAAAGAACGAATGCTCTATCATCATATGTTTTAAGTTGCGTTTCATAGAGCTACTGTGATGATTACAGAACAAGCAGTTGTTTTGATCTATAGGATTTTCCAAGTCATCAAGCCACTCGTCTGAATCTAGAGACTCCACATCTGAATCTGTTTGCATTTCTTCACTCTTTGTACTTGACATATTCACTTGACAATATGAACCTCCAAGATACGAATGAGTTAAGGAATCTTCATCTTTACTATCCTGCGTTTCTTCTTTTATACTTTTATTGTCTTTTGTATCATCTACATCCATTTCTGTTTCCTCTTCTTTCTTCTTATGTTTATTTGACACTAAGTGATTCTTATGTTGTTTCTCACTATGGAATTTCTTCTGACATATTTTACAGTGCCAGTTCTGTTTTGTCTGACTGGCTTCGGTGTTTTGTAACACCTCTTTCTTCTTCTGAAATTCTTCCAATGTAATGGAAGACAAATTATCTACCTTTCTATGCAGATTGTACCTGTGCCATTCGGTAGAATAATGCTGTCTTTGTTTTGCGGAGTCTTCAAAGATTACACCACATGTCAAACAAGTATATGAGCTTTTTATAGATTGGATTGTGGATTTCATTGTGGTGTTCATTATGTGTGTGTCTTCTAGAAACTCTTCTCGTTCTAATAATCTGTTAAAATAACAAAAACAAAATAAAGATTATTAGTAGACGTATATATTTTTGTAGGGTTAAACTGGATAGGTTAGGTTAGGTTAATGGTGTGCAGAAAAACACCTTATTTATGACTTTTGATTATAATTATTCTAGTTAAATTATTTGTTAAAGAATATTTACCTTGTATAAAAAAGCCAGTAGTATTTTAAAACATAAAATGTAATTCCTTTTTTTCCTGACAAAGTTGCTCACGATCGCGTGTCCAAAGATGACTGTGCTACCGAAGTGCTAGTCCAAGATTAAGTGGCACCAAGTGGCACTGCTGGCGCGAGTGAATACATACAAGTGAATTAGATTAGATTAATTGGTTATAAATGACACCGGTATATCTACTTATTATCTAAAGAATTCTCATTAGTTTATTTGAGTTGTCAACAGCAATCATGGCAATGTCTATTTTCACACGCTGTTCTCGTTTTCGATGTCTTCTTGGCATAAGTAACAATGCTACAGTTTTATCTTCGAATGCTGCAGAATATACGGTAGGTTAAAATCTTAGAAATTAATAAAAATAAATTATTAATTCTGTTTTTACGTATTTTTCTTATTTAAATCATATATATATTAATTAATCAATGTATGTGTATAAAATTATGCTATTGAAATTGTTGAGATTATTGTTTTCAATATATAAACAATAACAATGTTTTACTAAGTAGTTTATATTTAAAATTGTAGAATTCTGTACGATGTATTAAATCTTCATGTACAACATCTGCTGATATAACTGATGATCTAGTAAAAGAATCTGGAAAGAAATATTCAGGCAAAATAAGCAAAGCTATGTTGGCTTATTTGCAACGCGCAAGACAACATGGTAAGTTTTATGCTTTAAATAATCAGCAATATTTTATAATTTTCCAATGAAGCGTTTATATAGACAAACATCTATAAAATTTTGTCATTTGCATATTTAGACCAATTTATGAAAAAAGAGATTCTGGAATATGAGATAGGAAAACGGCATCTGGCTAACATGATGGGTGAGGATCCTGAAACATTTACACAAGAGGATATAGATGTACGTGAATATATAAAGATTATATTGGAAATCAGTTTAATAAAACACATTAAAATTAAATGTAACAAGAAATTTATTTTCAGAGATCAATTGAATATCTATTTCCATCAGGGTTATTTGAACCTCTAGCTCGACCGATGATGAAACATCCAAACATAATTTTTCCAAATAGGAAAGAAGCAGAATTTGATGAAACTGGAAGGCCTTTCCATTCTATGTTCTATACTTCAAAACCAAATTATTATGAGATGCTATATGTAAGTGTTTCTGTAATAACTTGTTTTTACAGAAATAGAAAAAAAGCAAATAACATTAAATTTGTTTTTGTTTATGCATAGAATATTGTGGATATGATGAAATCTCTGAATGATATCGAAGACACATTAATAAAGCAAGGAACATTATCTCCGAACAAAATGTGCGTTATTTAACTAATGACTTTATAATATATATTTAATTTAATATATTTATTTAACTTAAATTGTACTTGACAATATCTGTTACATATACATGTGTCATTGTGATTTATCAAAAATATACTGTTGATCTTTTAGTGATCTGATAAGTTCTGCATGGTTGTCGAAACAGGAAATTGAAGATAAATTATTGGAAACTATTACTGACACGGAGGTAAATAAGAGTTAAAATTGTGTGTTACAATTATTGCTACTAATGACTTATTTTGATCTCAGATGAATCAAAGTCGAACACCATGCTGTATAATTCATAGATGTAATAATCTTTTTAGTATACCTATCTTATTGCGTCACTGGAACGATTAAGTGATCATTCACAGTCAAAACATGCAACAGATCTCATTATAAAATATCGTAAACCGCTTGTGGCTTTCTCCAAGAAAGTAGATATACTACCTGTAAGTATTAAACACTTTTGCTCAAAGGTGTGTGTATTTGCAACGACATGTAATTTATATATTATTACTGTACATTTTATAAATTTTATAGCTCAAATATGACAGCACAGGACGACCGTACATCACAGTTAAAAGTAAGTAAAAAAATAATACTTATCAAAATATAAAATTGTGTTTATCATTGTATATTTGTTGTTAATTCAAATTAGATTTTAAAGATTTTTTATCTTTAGGTTTTAATCGCAATATATGATTTTTAAAATTATATTTGTTGCGTTTCTTGAAATTCATATTTAGTTTTATATTAATTGTTTTTCAGACTGTATGAGGAAATCGGCAAGAGGCGAAGTGACGATTTGGGGAAATGGTACGGGAAAAATCACTATTAATGGACACAACATCACATATTTCGAAGATCTTCATCACCGGGAACAAGTAAGTTTAATTTATTTCGTAGTTGTGAGAGAGAGAAAAAGAGAGAGAAAGCGTCTCTTGCGCAATCTGCAATTATAATTAACAGTTCTTAAAAACAGAGAAATTTATTATTCCAGAGAAATATATATATATATATATCTCTGGTTGAAAATATATGCTAAATAAAGTACATACACGCACATTTAAACACAGAAAAGATGTTTGGCATATTTTAATGCCAATTTAATACTTCCGAGTATCAGTGGCATGTAAAAAAACCTATAGTTGCATAATTTACCTTGCTTGAAAAATATCCGAATTATCAGAGAATCAAGAAAAAGATTTTCTGAGATTTATAAAAAAATCTACTAAATGAATTAATTTTTTCTATAATCTGATTTAGTTTGTGTTGATTTTGATTTTTGAAGTATATATATATATACTTCAAAAAAATATATATATATAGTTTTATCACGAACTTTTATTTTTGAAAGAATTTTTTACACTACATGTAAAGAATGCGATAATTAAGAATGCATGAAATGCGAAAAAAAAAACACGTCGACGCCTCTCAGAGACTTTTGGCGATGTGTTTTTGCAATTCAACTGATCTCATCTCGGATACATGTATCGCATTAATGTTTTTCTCGCCGGTATAACCGGTATAGTACGGTGCCAGAGAGCCGGTGCGTTCTTTCGCTTTCAGTGTTAATCGGTCTAGCAATAGAATAAGGTGATGCGTTCGAGACGATTATACACAACGTCTGCTGCCGAGCTCCGTCTCGCGCCGTAAACTCCAAGGTACTTTCTCATTCTTTTTTTGCACTGTAATTTCGGTCGCGTAGATTTGTGCGGAATAAAAACCGGAGTCATACTCATAAAAAAAAAACGTATTTCTTTGCGATAGAAATTATCTCTTCTCAGATCCAATTATAATTTTTTCTCTTTTCACAAGGAGTTTTATATTTTTTTCACAACATTTTTGAGATCTTTTTTTCAAACAGTTTTTATACAAACTTGATACACTATCAAATAGTTATATCACCTTTATAGGTAATTGAACTTAATACACGAGAACAAAAAAGAAGCAAAGATGGTAGATAATTTCGGCTTCGTATTCTCCACATCGTCCACGAGAGATGTGGAAAAAGCCGAAGAAGAGGTATCAAAACCTGCTCCGGAGTTGTTACCACAAACGAGCACAACCTCTTTGTTCCTAAATCGACTGAAATGCAAATACTCGTCCAAGCAAGATGGCAGCCAGCTCGAGAATCGCACTCAACGCGATTCGCCGTTAATTCCCTTTTCTTCCACGGATTACTCCGTCATCAGCGAACGTTATTCCTCCGAAGAAACCGTCCACTCAACTTGTTTACGTATCAATGAGGATTTTATCAGAAACGTCCTGACGGAACACCGAAAACGTTTAAATCGCAAATCCCAGATCTGGGAGAATTTAGAATTGAACGATACGGACGAAATAAAAGCGGAATTAGAAAATTCCACACCCGACGAAATCAATGTTCTATTATTGCAAGCCAGTTTTATAGGTAATACAGATTTAATTTGCACCTTGTGCGAACTCGGCGCGAACGTTAATTACATCGAGTCCAATCAAAGTCTTACGCCGTTGCATCTGTGCGCGTTCCGTAACTGTTTGGATGGCGTCAAGTTTCTGATGGATAACGGCGCCACAATTGACTCCTATTCGAAGCACACGCCGTTTCATTACGCCGCCTTCGGCGATGCTGTCGATGTGGCTCGGTATTTTATACAACAAGGCGTTAGTCAAGAAAATCCGAATGACGACGAAGAAACGGTACTGCACGTGGCCACGCGGACGAACGCTGTACGCGTGCTATCTTTATTATTGCCGATCAGCAAAGAGCTGCTAGATCGCTTGGATCAGGACGGATATGCCGCCATTCATCACGCAGCCGATGGGAATCCGATTTGTATGGAAATGCTTCTGAAAGCTGGCTGTCAAGTGGATTTGCTTACCAAAAACAAAGACAGCGCCTTGCATCTGGCCGCGCAAGCCGGTTGCGCGGATACTCTGGCTCTTCTGGTGGAGGCCAAGGCCAATCTCCAGCTAAAGAATCATCGGGGACACACGGCCTTGCACCTAGCCGCTCGTGCGCACTCCCTGGAATGCGTGGAGATTCTGCTCAAAGGTCGCGCGGATCCCAACGCGGAAGATGACGAGTGCCGAACACCTCTTCATCTGGCTCTTGGCAAGTCTGTAATGACCGATGAGATCATCGAACTTCTACTCAAGTGGCGAGCAAACGTGAACAAGGCCGACAAGTACGGCTACACGCCGCTCCACATTGCCGCCTCGAACGAACTGTCGCGGTGTGTCAATTTGCTGATTAGATACGAGGCGGATCTCACTGCCAGGACCATCGGCGGCAACAGTGCTCTGTCCATTGTTCTGCGAAAAACTCCGACTTCTCTGGATATGTTCGAGAACAGACTGGATGCGTCTCTGACTCTCAAGCGGCAGGGATTCGTCGCGGGTGAGCTCGAGCTACAGTTGGATTTCCATCCGTTGATGCAAAATCGGCGAAACCGACAGGGACGCTGTCCCGAAATAGGCTACCTCAACACCTTTGTGAAGGAGGGTTACAACGAAATTCTGGAACATCCTTTGTGCCAATCCTTTATCTATCTCAAATGGCACAAGATCAGGAAGTATTATGGCGCGAGAGTGTGCTTCTATCTAGTATACGTACTGATCCTTACCAGTTGGGTGATCACTGCTTTGGCTCATAATTGTTACAACGAGGCGCGGGGATTTTTCATGAAGCCGCCGTTGTGCGCGAACGCAACTGGTATCTATGGCTTCTTCTTCAAACATCCGAATCTGCTCAATGCTCAGTGGTACATAGTGATCGTGCTCACTGTGTTGGAAGCTTTCCGCAAGCTTGCGGTCATTCCCACTTATCGGTCCTTCAGACAGTTCTTCACGCAGATGGAAAACTTGGTCGAGTGGTTCGTGATACTGAGTGTGTTCTCTATCTCGTTCGTGTACGAAGGCAGAACGCATAACTGGCAAAATCACATGGGTGCTCTGGCCGTGCTCTGCGGCTGGAGCAATTCGATGCTAATGATAGGACAGTTGCCGGCATTCGGCGCTTACGTCGCCATGTTCACCAGCGTGCAGGCTCAAGTGTTCAAACTTCTTCTCGCTTACGCCTGTTTGCTGGTGGGTTTCACGGCGAGTTTCTGTGTCATCTTCCCTTCCTCCAAGTCGTTCAGTAGTCCGCACACGGGTCTCATCAAAGTCCTCGCGATGATGACTGGGGAGTTGGGTTTCGAGGATCTCTTTTTCCAAAGTGACAAAGGCGGCGCTTACGACAAGGGCGGCATTTATGAAAACGCCGTTATTTATAAAAACGCCACTGTTTATGAAAACGCAACTGTTCACGAAAACGCCACTGTTTACGATAACATAGCGGACACTTCCCGGATCCTGTTGCACATTTCGGCTCAGCTTTCCTTCGTTCTGTTTCTCCTGTTCGTAACGATCGTTCTGATGAATCTGTTGATCGGAATAGCCGTGCACGATATCAAGGGTCTGCAGAAGACGGCGGGTCTCGCGAAGCTCGTTCGCCAAACGAAACTTATTCACGACGTTGAAATCGCGATCTTTCTCGGACTCTCGCCGTCGAAACGCTTCGGTAAATGTCTGCGGTGGACTTCACTGTTCCTGCCGTCGCCGTTGCGAGCCGTTTTGACCGTTCGCCCGCTAAATCCCAGAGAGAAGAGGCTGCCTCGCGACATCCTTTCGACAGCGTACAAGATAGCCAAGGAAGGAACCGGGCAGAGCACTTTTGCCGCGTTGCGCAAAAAAACGTACGGCCCTACCTCATATTTAAACCGTACAAAAACATCTTCCAAGATCGACTCAAACGCCTGTCGTCGTCGTGAACCCGAGGATGATGCGTTGCTGCACGATTGCAACAGATTCAAGAACGAAATCGCGGAACTTCGACAGATATGCGAAAAAAATTATTCTCTCCTTCAGGAGCTTGTAAGAGAGAAGAACAAAATGATCAACGATTAAATGAAAAAAAAAAAAAAAAAAAAACAATGTCAGCGAGCATCTGTTTTTATTTCTTTTGTTAATATGTACGTTGTTAAATGCGCTGAATAAATCCTTGCGATTAAATATATAATAATAGGAGAGAAAGAGTTCCGTGTAATTATTTCGCTAGCCAAGTTTCGCTCTAAAATTTCCAACGAAGTCAAAGAATATAGAGACAACATTAACGGTACAAGTAGACTGACAGACAAAACCGGTTTTATTCCGCATAAATTCCTATGTGTTAAAAGTTCAACTTTCAACATGGAAATCCGTTATTAAACTCGAGATTCAAATAATGTGAATTGAGATTTATCTCTCGGAGGAAAGATTTAAACCTATAAATTTAAAAGCGCGACCGATTCTTTAACTATTTTAAACAAATCTATAGTCTTACGTGCACGTGTGTTTTCTCTCTCTCTCTCTTTCTCTCTCTTTACGCAATTTATATGCCAATTTAAGACTTCTCTGAATGGAGGACACCCCCGCAGCCTCGTTCGGAACGAAGCGAGCCTGTTTCGCATTAAACTCGAGTGCTATTTTTTTTATCGAATAGAAAACGAGCGCGGTTTATTTTATATTTCGCGCACACGCGGCGTTTCGTTAACATATTTTGCATATCAATGATTTGTACAAGCAAGTTTAAGCGACTTAAGAATGTAAATGTACTTGAAAGAGATTTTGTGAATACAAAAATAAATATTGCGTTAAACAAATTGTGTTACATTTGAAACGGCGATTTTATATTCACAGGTGAAAGGCGCGTTCGGCTAGATGTGCATTATTCATGAAAAAAATTTAAACTCTCTCAGAGAAAAACAATAATATAAAATACTTGTTCTCCGAGAACAAATTGTGTAAATTAAAGCGTGATTGCTTTCTCTCTCTTTCCCTCTCTTACTATCTAATGCAATAGAGTGGCAAATAAATATCTATAATACATATCCGGCAGCAGCAGCAGTTTCAGTGTGATAAGAAATTTAAATAAACAACGATGACAAATTTAGAACAAATTAGATTCAACCAGCTTTCAAGTTATATTTTTCTAACGCGATCTGGATTAATCCGGAATTTAACTTAGAGACGCCTATTTGTATGCGTATAGAACATGTGCTGGGAATAAGATGTGAGAGCTGCTCGGCTTACATTTCTTTATTTTTGTTTTTTGTGTTTTTTTTTATTTTATTTTATTTGTTACGCTTCTGCCCCCCCTGCTTGTGCCAATTCCTCTTCCCGCCAAAGTCAGTTACAACTGACCAAAGACTTACGCAGAGTATGTCATGCAGTACGTGTAGCGCGATCGCGCGAACCGGTTAAGTTTGTTGCACGAAGCGAACCGCGTGCCGTCACTCGCAACAATAGGCATCTCTCATTTATCTTAATTATGAAAAAAAAAAAAGAAGACAAAAGTGATCAAAACTCACTCCTCGCAATTTAACAATCACAAATATTTCGATGTTTCCTCCAGTCAGTTTCTGCACGTTCTCGCGAATACGTGTGTCTGAGAGAAGACGAAGCTATGGTGTAAAACAAAGGAGAGCTGATGATCGAGCGAGAGACAAAGTGAAAAATATACAAAAGAGCTACGTACCTTAGCGTAATCGCCGACAATCTGCTTTTTTACTCTTGTCATCTCACACGTTGAATACATTTTGTCGTGATTATTTGTAAACGATTATTTACAGATAAGTGCAAGTCATGATCAATCAATTTGTGACAAAGTGCATCTCTATATTTTATATTCGATCAAATTAGAGTGACATAAAAACCATAAAACTTGGAAAACCAAGTACATTTAAATAATTTTATAGTCAAATACACATTACCAAAAAAAAAAAAAAAAGTTAAAGCGTTTTTGCAATAGAAGGTCAGAGAAGAATGTGCAAAAAAGGAGAGACTGTCTTCTTTGAAAAAAAAACGTCAACTTTGCATATAGCAATATGATAAATAGCATTCAATTTAAAACCGACGCTTACGTAATAAACTAAACATTGTTCAATAACGTAATAACCGATAAGCTTAAGTAATTTCGAGAAAATCACGTGAGATAAAAAAAAAAAAGAAAGAAAAAATAAGAAAATTGTTATAATTACAAGCGATTTTTGAAGAAGATAATAATCGGATTATAATCCTTTCGCACGAATATTTGTGGAAAACAACTGAAATAACAGAAAGGACAGGACGGAGAAAAATATTTCAAGCGATTCGAGCAAGTTCAGACCGAGCGAGGAAGAATGCAGATTTTCACTCGACTCGCGAGAAAATAGAAGCTTCGCTTATCTTAATTGGCAATCTTCTTTAACTCTGCTTCTGAATATAAATCTCTATTAATTGTGTCCGAGCAATGTGCGATAATGACCGAGTTTCGTCCGAAGAAACGAAGGCAGACGCGTTCGAGATGAACAATCTGAAAATGCCGATTGTTCTCAACGAGGGCAGACATCCCTATCCCATCACCAGAAGCTTCAACAGTCACCAGAAGAACCAATCGCTCTCCGTGAGATTGGCGTCTACCTACCGATCTCTAAGAAATACAAATCCCGCGGAAAATTATCTGCAAAGAATCGGCGATGCGACGTCGGAATCCGATAACAACCGGCTCGAGATCGACGCCGGCGAGGCGCCACCGGCCGACGAATCCTTTTTCTTCGACAACTTAGAATACTGCAAGAACCACTACGTGAATGGGGCCAAGCTGAGATCGGCCATTTGGTCCATCGTCGATCCGATGGAAACGAAACTGTTGTTGTCCATGGAAAAAACCAGCAAGGTGTTGCCGAACGTGTGGGAAAACGAGAGATTACGAGACGTTGCCTATATCTGGGCCTCCTACCGCGGCTTGCTTCATCTTCTGCTGGAACTGGACAAGGTCGGTGCGCGCTTCAATTACGTCGAACCGCGAACAGGTCTAAATGCTATATTGGCAGCGTCGTTGGGTGATCAAGTTGCCTGCTTGGAGCATTTGATTAAAAAGGGAGCCGATGTCAATTGTGAGAGTTTGGTTACCCGTTATACTCCGCTGCATTTCGCGGCGCTCAACAACAGCTGGCGTGCCGCGGCCACGTTGCTCGACAACGGCGCCAAATTGAATTACGTTTGTCAGGAAGTCGTCGAGCCGGTTCTGCACAGTGCTGTCCGCGCGAAGGCTGTAGAAACTGTGAAGCTGCTGCTCGAGCGTGGCGCCAGTTTGGTCGAGAAGAACCACTTGGGCCAGACGCCGCTCCATGTCGCTTGTTTCGTTCAGTCTGTACCGTGCGCGGAACTTTTATCAGCCAGCGCATCCAACGTCAACGCGGTGGACAGGGAGCACAGAACTCCTCTGCACTTTTCCGTGATGAGCACCGACTCGTCCGCCGAGTTGGTGCAGCTGCTGCTGAAGCGCGGCGCTCTCGTAAACGCGACCGACAAGACCGGCTTCACTCCACTCCACATCGCCGCGCTCAACGAGCAGTCCCGATGCGTCGACGCGCTCATCTGGGCGGGCGCCGACATCAGCGCGACCACGTGCACCGGATTGTCCGCTCTGAACATCATACTGAAGAAGATTCCCGAGTCCCTGCAAGTGTTCCAGCAGCGACTGGACGCCTCCATCACACTGACCCGACCGGTGCCGCACAATCGCGAGTTCGAGATGCGGCTGCACTTCGACATTCTCTTTCCCAGCAACAATAACAAGTGCGAGACCAGTTTCATTAATAGTTTCGTGCAGGAACACCGGAAGGACTTGCTGTCGCATCCGCTGGTCATGGCTTTTCTGCATCTAAAATGGGAGAAAATTCGTAAGATCTATTTGCTGAGGATACTTCTGTACACTATGACGGTAATATGCATGACCACATACGTGCTGAGCGCATTGGCGTACAATTGTTACAATCACGACGCGACGAACAACTCGACATCGAACAAGGTATGCAGCAGCAGACGAAGCACTGGTTTCCTGTTTCGAAGATCAGCCATCGAGGTTCAGTGGTATCTCGCACTGGTCTTAACGTGCTTCACCATACCGAGGAAGATCTTCAGTTTCATGGTCTACAAGTCGGTGATAAAGTACTTCTCCGTTATCGACAACGTGCTGGACAGTGTGGTCGTGGTGAGCGTGTTCGTCACGTCCTTCATTTACACGGGACGCACCTACGATTGGCAGAACTACGTCGGCGCGTTCGCTATACTCTGCGCTTGGACCAACTTGATGCTGATGGTGGGACAGTTACCGGCTTTCGGCACCTACGTCGCCATGTTCACGCACATTCAATTCGAGTTCGCCAAGCTTCTGCTGGCGTACTCGGGTCTGTTGATCGGTTTCACAATCAGTTTCTGCGTGATATTCTCGGGCGAGCCCGCGTTCGGCAATCCTTTTACCGGATTGATCAAGGTCCTGGCCATGATGGCAGGCGAGTTGGACTTTGAGGGACTCATTAGTCAGGCGGACGATAAACCGGCGAGCGAATCATTTGTTATTTATCCTCTGTCTGTGTGCTCGCAGATTCTCTTCACACTGTTCATAGTGTTCGTTACCGTGATCTTGATGAATTTATTAGTCGGTATCGCTGTTCACGATATACAGGGTCTTAGGAATCACGCAGGACTCACGAAATTGGTGAGACAAACGAAGATGATACTCTTCACGGAAATGGTGCTGCACAATACGACAATTCCGTACGCGTTCCGGAAATGGATGTCGGATCACAAAATCGACGTGGAAAATAGGAAGAAGGTACTCGTAGTGAAACCGCTCAATCCGCTCGAGAAACGATTGCCCAAGGAAATAATGAAGTCTGCGTATGAAATAGCGAAGAAAAATGTTTTCCTTAACGACGATATCAACTACAGCGATCACGCCGCTTGGCTGAAACGCCGACAGAACGAAGAGTGTTCCAACGCGACTCTGCAGACGTCAATCAAGAAACTGATCACCATGATGAAAGTAAACGAGAATGATATAAAATTGTTGAAAAACCAACTGCTGGAAATGAACAAAATACTGGAAAGTGCCGCAACATCTTTGACAAAGAAAGAACGTTGTACCTCGTTGTGAATAAGCGTGAATGATATCGTGCGGTACGAGATTTGATCGTTTAAGTTTCAAGTTATTTGTTTTGCTCTCACACATTTTCCACATACTTACATTTTGATAAACAAAAGAGATACAGAGAATGCAAATAAAATGTATAAACAAAACTAATTTAATCTACCTCTAATCAACAAAATATAAATAAATTTATGTTCAATTTGTGCTAATTTTGTAATGGTAAATTGGTTACATATACAAATTCGAGATTTTTTCTCACGCCTTTTGTATTTTATACAGATTATATTTCCACTAATTTTGACGGATATGACGCATAAAGTGGATGTCGATGCTACAATTAACGGTGGAGGGCCTACCGGACAATCAGGTGCTATACGCTGGGGTATAGCATGGGGCTTACGTAGCTTTGTTGACGCGTCAACGATCGAAAGAATGCGAGTTGGTAAGTAACAGTAATTATTCCGATAGAAAAAATCTCAAATATGAAAACCGTCCGTTTCGGAAGTTTGTTAATCAAAATATTGTTGTTTTTTTGTTTTGTTTTTAAATAGCTGGACTTCTAACGAGGGATTGGAGAAGACGCGAGAGGAAGAAGTTTGGTCAAGAAGGTGCCAGAAGAAAGTTCACTTGGAAAAAACGTTAATTTTATTCCAATTTCATAATTCTTCGCGCAATACACACGTAAATTAACATTAGACGATAAATAAAAAGCTAAACGTTTTCAAACAATTTGATTTGTTGTCTCAACTGAATCTGATCGTCTCACGTAGAAAGTTAATAGCAAAGTGTGCCATTTTCTTTCCGACTCCCTCCCTCCTCCCCCCAATAAAAAAAGAGCTCTTCTACATTTCTTCCAGAGGCATTAGACCAAGTAGTTTCATACCTTGTGCAAGAACATTTTTAGAGACGTGAAACAGGAGCAACCTCTGACTAGCGACATCGGGCGCTTCGTTTTTCACCCTCAACGTTTTGAAAGCTCTGTTAATTGCACGTCTGTATATAGAAGAAGAAAAACTTTTACATCTCGCAAATACGGTAAAATTACAGAAAAGTAAATCGATGGCGCTTGTGAGCACTTACGTTAAATTGAAAAGATACGCTGTTAAAACACACGATTCCATTTCTTCGTACGACCTCAACACCACTTCTTCGAAATTGGAAATTAATATGACCAGGTCATCAACAACTTCCTCTCGCAGAAGACTCGGTTCGCATTCCGAAACCAAGACGGCGCCGCAGTTGCGCTCCAGATTGACGAGTCGACAATGTGCGTACTGCAGTTTTACCCCAGTGTCTCCTTTCAACTGACCTTACAAAAAAAAAAAAAAAATAAACAATTAAAACAAACTCTTGTTTATCGCACCGTATGAACATATTAATTGTTTTTGCGATAATCTAGAAAAGAAAATTTACATCAAACGCTGCGTTCCAGTCGAATGTGTAATCTCGTTGTCGTCTTCTTTTTAAATCGTTAACAATCATCGCAGAGATACCTAGTATGTCCGAGCTGTTATCTGTCGAGTCTAAACGAACTTTAGTGGCTGAAATAACGAGAATTTTATTATAACAACATTTTCAAAAACTTTTTCTATCATATTGTTGGACAAAATGTTGAATTTTTGTTAGGAAGCGAGGTGTCAATCATACATACTGGATGAATCTATTTGTTTCTGTTTCATGACATCTCTGGCGGTGTCCAAAATCTCTTCCAGAAACGTGATGTTTCCCTTTCTCGTACGCAGCCCGTTTAATCGGCCGAACTGCACGTGTCTCAGTCTGTCAACCCACGGCATTTTCATTCGTCTCAATATCTCCAGCAAGTTTGAAAAATAATTGATCTGCGCGTTGTCAACCACGTAATACATGCGATCAAAATTGTTCTTCTCAAACCTATCGATGGCCGCGGCGATATCTCTAGCTATGTACAAAGTGGAGCCGTCGCTCTTTATTACGGGAACGCTCTTTTCGTTTTCCAGATTCACAACTTTTCTGTTCAGTTCATCCGTCACTAGTAATTGCATGTCTTCCATCATTGCGATTATTTTTTCTATTTTTCTCGCGTTGTACATCGACTCCCAATGATACTCGTCAAACGTAATCCCAATTCTACCGTAAGTTCTCTTTAATTCTTCGACCGTATATTGTTTGAACATTTTCCACTGTTCAAATGTAACTCCCGTGCCGGTCTCGAGATCCTTGAATATTTCTCTCGCACGTTGCAACACCGAGGAATCGGTTTCGGCCAACTTGTTGGCGGTAACGTATGCCGTGTACAAGGATTTTATGGGATTGTTTTTCATCTCGTCCTCGTGAATACTTGCCATATCAACTCCGAGTTGGATCAAACCGTACTGAGTGCCCCAATCGCCTAAGTAATTTATTCTCTTGACATTATTTTTCACAAAGCTGTTGATATTGGCAATGTAATTGCCAACAATTGTAGATCTCAGATGTCCCATGTGAAAGGGTTTTGCGATATTGGGCGAACTAAATTCCACTATTACGTTCTTCTTCTCGCTGACAAAACTCGGAGCCGATATTGTGGAACAATTATGTTCGAGCACATTCTTGATGTGTTTCTCTCGAGACAGACTGAAAGAGATAGCGTTTTTTTCTATACCTACGTCGAAGATGTTACTTGGATCGTGAGTTAAAATATTTTGCACTTGATTCTGTATGTCATATTGATTCGTTTTCAAAGGTAATAGATACGAATAGACTCCGTTGGCTTTGTGAGGCTTTAAATGCAAACAAGACGCGATGTCGAGTACGTTTATGTTGGAAACGGAGTCTGTAATCTGTAAACAAAAAAGATATAATTAGAAACAAGAAAAATGAAACGTTAAATTATTTTTTTTAATTTTGCGGTGAAAAAAATATCAAATATCAATATGATAAAAAATTTGTGTATATATAATTATGTGCGTAAAAAATACCTTTCTCAAAATTGCAGTTCTTACACTATTACTCATGTTTAAAAAATCTACTGAGCATCAACGGTATGTAGTGTAAAAAAGAAGGATGGCAGATCCACGTGTTTTACTTTTTGACACACTGACTTCTTGAAGCGCACATGATGACACTGTATTCTCTGTGTTTTTATACACTTGTATTAAATCGTTCTTTTATCACACTGTTCTTAGTTTTGTATCTTTGATCTTCTTATTCAAAATCTTTGTGTAAACATAACCGGAATATCTCGAGGGTTAGGAAGTGTCCGCCATGTTGAAGGTAAAACGAGAGGAGAGGGCAAGATCGAGCGGGACTTTCAGAATTTTTTTTGACGTACACATCGACCATTCGAGAGATAAGAAAATTAGTTTTTAATATGTATTTTTACACAACATAATAATCTTCGTTACAATCCCATTTGTATACCAAATACACTACGTATGTTTCGCGCTCACAACATAATATAAAATCGTAGTAAAGTTACTTCATTCATAAATTTAAATGTATAAGTATGTATATATATTATAATTATACATGCGTATAATTTCATATGTAATTTGTATACATGGTGTAAGCAGACAAGAATATTGTTACATTGCACACAACGCGCTGTAATTAATCAAAAACTATTCTAAATGCAGGTGCAAATATTTCAAAAATATTTATTTGACTCTGCAATATCGAAGCCAAAAATTTATTCTCTGCGCTTTCTCGCAAGTACGACATTTTGTCTGCTTAGATCACGATCGCACATAAAGTAATGCGTGTGTAAAAAAATAATCACGTTAACAACAAGTCGATCTTACACAGGATACAAATACTTCGGTTTTGTCTGGTAAAAATATTTATATATTACAGCTACGAGAGTCTAGAAATCTATTGGTATCACCTTGTACAAGTATCAACTTTATTCTAAATCAAAGAATAAAAAAAATCATATTGATACAAGTCCAATAACAAAAAAAAAATAATACAACCGAGAAATACCGACGATGATTTATCAATGATCTCAATCGTGCGCAATCTCAAACCTCATGATCGATTAAATACGCGTCCTTTCTGAAGGAATAACGCGGCGGATTGTGACAAGGCAACAGCCAAAATATAGGATGGCTCTTCCCGCAAACTTGTGACAGGAGCGTGAACGTTCGCGGTGTGTTCTTGTGGAGACGTTGCTGCGCGCCCTGCACACGTTCAACCGCGGTTTCGTCGCCCAGAATTCCTTGGAACTGATCTACCAGAATCGCGATGACGAACATACCGAACAATCCCGACTCCAGAACTAATATTACACAATGTAAACTGCAACAACACGTTGTAAAGTGCAAGCTTTCCGTTTTCAAGAGAAGATCAAAATTGCATCTCGTGAAGGATTTACGTACATGCGATTTTGCTTGGTCGCAATGTCGGTGTTACACTGCGGGCAGTCGTAAATCCACGACGCGATGACTAAAATAATAGCGTATACAGCTAATGCTCCAACGTACACTAGAAACTGTATAAAGTACTTTTGATTCCTCTCGCCGACACAATTGTTTATCCTGTAAGAGATGTTTGTAAGTAGAAGAACAATTTGCTTTTCTTAAGTGTATTGTGTTATTTCATCCAAACTTATCATTACCACGGACAGTGATGATCCATCCTTCTTATACAACGTTTACAAATTCTGCAATGATGTGCTCTAGGCGGTCTGTACGTTTCGCACCTGGTGCATACCGTCCAGTCATCCTTCTCGTCGCTCTCATGATCATCACTTCCGCCGACATGAATGTCAGAGAAATCCATTCTACTCTGCGGAAGAGGTACTATACCGGGATCGCTGCAGACAGCTTTTAAGTGAGCCATTATTAGGAGAAATACAACGGTGTTGAATGCTGCCACGTGAAAAGGACCCCATAAGCTGAAAAGAAAAATTTATGTTCAACATCACATCATAGTCATCAAAGATATATATCACTTTAGATTTTAATTTCATGTTTTTGTAAACCAAAAAGTGTTACTGTAGTATTATGTATTATTAAGATACTAGCCTGTCTTGCATAGTGTGCAATACGATCCATCGTATCACCACGTAATCAGCATAAAACACAGCCACATAGGTGACGATAATGCATATGATGCCACAGGGATCTCTGACGAACATTTTTCGGCAACAGCGAATATCCTGAGCGGCGATCAGTAATTTTGCAGGTTTTCATCACTGTACACATGATGTCATGTGCTCATGTCACCTAATATCGGAATGACTGCATTGTTGATTATTTTGACGTTAATGACTGAACGTGTTCGTCATCATATGTTGCATATTTTTATTGCAAAACAATCCAGATAAGACTGTCGCGCCGATTTGTTATCCCGACCAATCTGACAGAAAATATGGTAGAACGAGTCAAAAGGGAGAAAGAGAAATTTTACTTTTCAAAGTTTGGCGTTATCGAAACTTAACAACTTAATTAGGAAGAAACAGAAACAGGTGGAAAACAAAAATAGGATTTAATCCACCGAACGGCACATCAAATACTGCGACAGACAATGTACAACACCACTGACAGTAGCAGGTAACTTTGGCATCATGTAATACCTTACTTCTGCCATTAGGTTAAGGTTGGGTTAGAATGTTTTCTGATCATGCGCAATATATATTTAGATAGTTGCTTTAAATAATGTTATATATTTTTTATTTATATCTGATCAGTTTTGTTACATTTCAAAATACTTGAGAAAATGTCGTTACTTATTTACTACATTGAAATCGGCCTGATTAGAAAACATTCCAGCAAACACAAAGTAACAGTTACGTAATATTAACGTTATAATTTCCCACTAAACAATGTAACTGCTACGTACAAGGCATGACATTGCAGTTACATCGTTGAGTGGGAAATTATAATATTAATGTTACGTTACTTTGTGTTACTTTGTGTTTGCTGGGATGTATCCTTATCTAATTCAACTTACATTCAATAAAGTTACAAACTTAACATTTAATTGTATATATTATTATAATATATATATATATATATATATATATATATGTGTGTGTATATATGTCGAAAATATGACTTTTTGTTTTATTATTCTGCATTATTAAATGCATCGAATTTCTTCAGATTTCTGAAGAAAAAAGATGAGAAATAACGCGAGTGACACACAGTTCAGAATGATATTTTATTGTGCGGTCTGTACATGTGTGTACACGGTGTTGCATGATCGTTAATTAATAATCTCACAGAATACAAAAGATTAAGGCAATGATTCGTAACGACGTCTGTGTCGTCGAATAAACGTGGACTTACGAATAGATAAAAGTTTCGCGAATATGTCTTTTAAAGGTGATGAAAGTTGAATTCGTAGCCGTCCACCGGCAAGACATTTGACAAGCTGTGGCCGAGCGGCTCGGCGGGATCGGAGTGCAGGGAAGACGTGTGATGATTAGCCGCGGCGGTCGCAGCCGCGGTGTGGGCCGCGTGCGCGGCCGCGGCCGCGGCATTGCCCTGAGCGGCCTGGGCAGCGTTGGCGGCTTTTTGCGCGGCCGCTTGCGTGGTCTCGAAGTCCAGACGCGCCGCTGCGAGCTGCTCGGCAATCGCCTCGGCACGCGCTTTGGCCTGGCCTACCATTGTGGTTTGAGCCGCCAGCTCGGCCGCGGCCTCAGCCGCCGCTTGCGCGGCGTGTTCGGCGGTCGCTTGAGCCGCGTTCAACGCCGTGGTGATCACCTGCACCTGATGCATCGCCTGTTGCGCCGCGTTTTTCGAAGACGCGGCCGCACGCTGCGCCTGTTGAAGTTGCTGCTTCTCGCCGTCCACGGCTACTTGCGCGTCTCTCGACTGCTGCTCCAGACCCATCACGATGATCTGTTTGCCGGCTAAAGCCGCAGCTGCCGTTGCCGCGGATTGCGCCGCCGCTTGAGCCAGAGTGTTCTTGGCCACGTATGCCGCCTGTCCAGCGGCTGACGGTTGCTGGTTCAGCTGCGTGCGAGCCTGATCAGCGGCTCCTGCAATCAAGACGTTTGCTTCGTTTTAGGATTCTGAGACTAAAGGAGCTAGAAATGAAGAAACAAATAAACCTAATTCCTCTTAGTTCTCTATTTTGATGAAGATATCAAACCTCTAGCGATACTGGCCAAGGGTCCACCCACGCTGTAACCAGGCCGGATAATGCCTGAACGATGTCCGGTCGAGGCGGCGACGACGGGGGCGGCCTCGATATAATGAGCATTCGATTCGATCAAACCTAAAGCGTGCTCGCCGGGTGCCGCATATTCGAATTCATAACCGCTGATCGCTGGTTGATCGAGAATTTCCTTTTTAGCTTTTCCGCAGTACGTGAGAGTCACACAAGCCAGAAATATCAATAGAATTTTCATGTCGAAGAGCGTTTGATTTTTCTTGATGGAACTATATAGATATCTGAAAGTATAGAAAAACATCTTTGTATAGAAAAAAGAATTACAAGCGGATTTTGTGTATTCCGGTGCAACTATACTGTTGTCGCACAAAGTTACGAAAGCAAAAGGTAAAAAGACACCGAAAGATAAAAAGTTTTACTTGTTTGTGAAAAACTACTTGAATCCTATTTTCGTTGTACAAGCAGTAAGTAATGCGAGAACGAAGCAAAGCGAAGAAAAGAAAAAGAGAGAGAAAGAGATAGAGAAACGGTGGGGAAACCTGTACTTTTGCATGAGAGCCGTCATTGTTTCCCGTGACTATTTTATTTCAACGACTAAAAGCGGGGGTGAACTGACCGCGATACCCGAGATCGAGTCACGTTTGAGAATTACGTAAAACATAACGGAACACTGAGTAAGGAGCCGGTAGTATCAACGGAACCAATCTGATCTTAAAACCAGTCAAGCGTTCAAAAGTGACTACGTCAATGCAAATGCGAGGGTACGCAGAAATATGAAGGTATTGAATTACGGGGATATAGACTTCTCGTGCTCGCACAATGCATTATATTATTAAATTAATTATCCCTCTAATTGAAGCAAGAAAAAACCCAAGATCCATCTGTTTTTCTTCTCCTTCTTTTCCCCATCAAGCTGTTATGAGTCTCAAAAGTACGCGCCAGTGCGTTTCGGACATTGCGTATTTTGTCTTTGTTTCGGTTTCGTAATTGTTTCTTTTTTCATCTTCTTATACAATTTCTACTGGGACATTTTCCCGGTTGGCGATGTGCATGACTGCCCGATTAATCCGATTGGCTGTTCCGACTACGATTTCAGACGTGGAAAAGAAAGAGATCGCGACAACGACGACGACACGGCGTCGAATATTGGATAATAATTGATCATGCCGAATCAACCGAGCAATCACGGAGAAAGTAATGCATAAAAAGCGTGATGCAACTACTAGAAGTGATGAAAAGACATACACCGCGCTGATACGCGAGAGATACGGATAGATTGTAAATACACGAACGTGATCGCTTTTTGGAGGTAACACTTTGTACATATCTTGAATATTTTATTTAATTATACACACATACATATATTGATCGGAGATCAATTTACTCAAACTATCATGTATCAAGAGCACAATTCTGCGCCGGTTCTAAGAATCTCGCGTTAAAGTGGTATATGATTTGCGCGTGCAAATTATGCATGCCCGTGACATACACAAGTTGCGCCTTTCTAATAAAGTTTCGCAACTGTGTATCGTGATCGCTTAAAATCGAAAACCCGGTTTTGTCTCGCTCTAAAAAGCGCATGCTTATGTCAGTCTGGCATCATGGAATTTCATCTCGCGCGATCGAAATGACGTCCGTCAACGTCAGTCCGATGAACCCCCGTCGAGAATCATAGAATTGCGACCGATCGCGCCTCAAAATGTTCGAAGAAAAAGGAATTAAATTATTTTCGAACAATATCAGTTTCTGCATTCGCGTTGCCAACGTGCGATAAGCTCGAAGCGCGTCTTCTTCTTCCCACGGAAGAAGAGTCAGCTTCTATATATAGTGAGCTAGTAAGAAAGATTTATATGTTTAATATGAAGTTAGTACAAAGACTTTACATGGTTAAGATACTCTCTCTCTCTCTCTTTTTTTATTTCTAAATATATACGTTAATTGTGCGCACATACGATTATAAAGATTGAATCTGAAAAAAAGTGCAACTGACGTCAGCAACGTGTGTGCAACTGTGACCTAGAAAGCGCAACTTACACAGATACAGAAAATAAGTGAGAAAAACAAAATGGAAATTTTTTGTAGTTTCGTTAGAAGTATAAAATTATTGCAGATAATAATTGGAAAATAAAATTGTAGATTAAATAAATTGAAAAATAATAATAACTTTTGATTCTGCAACGCGATTGTTGCGAAAACAAAATGATATTTTTACATGTCAGACATTACTTTGAATTATGTACATTCGCGGAGAGTGTTTTTATGATTTAATCTCAATTGATCACACATATACGCACGTTAGCCGAAATCAATCATCACAACTTTTCACTTCTGCACCGATATTTGTTTTCAGTGTGAATGCAAGCAGTTCGAACCTGATAGTGTGAGAATTTTTTCTGTACTTACTGGACAACCGAGAGGCTAACTCAAGCACTTAGAGAATAGGTGTTGTCCTTGCTGGAAAGAGCTGAGAACTGATACCAGTTACTTGATCATCAGAGCTCTTATAGTCCTGTCTGGGTCCAGCTAATCTCTTGCCACGGAAGGGGTTGCGGACGTTCAAAACAACGACCTGCCAATATTCTTTTCCGCTTACTATATATTTCACTCATTCATTCACTCTTTTATACTTTCTCTCTCTCTCTCTCTCTCTCTCTTAGTAACGTCCGTATAAAGAAAAAAAGGGAGAAAATATTAAAAGAAAATTTGAATGTTAACTAAACAAACTGTGTCCAAAACATTCACTGCCAATATTAAAAATAAATAAATAATATACGCGTGACACGATAGATTTTTAACACCTGCAGTGAATGTTTTAGAACACAGCTACTATATAGTTGACGTACGAGACACGCTGCAACTTAATACAACTTCATGTAACATCCGTGTCAGACGTCTCGAAGAAAAAAATATTAATAATTAGTCATTCGTTTTTACTGTCAAAAAAATCGATTCGATATGAACTTATTACGATTTCTTATGATTTGTTGCAAATGGTGACAACGCGCACGACTGACTTAATTCATCAGAATGAACATTTTTTATCTTTATTTCAGTGAGTAAAAATCACAAGATCATACGTTGTCACATTTTCAAATTTTTACATTAAATAATTTCCCATTTGATGAGTGACGTTTCTCTTTTTCTAACCAAATTATTATTTTTAGTCATGCTAATACTTACACAATCCCACTGCGATCGGGTTCGCAAACTCCCCGCTAATATGGTAAGTTCTATTTTTTATTCGTTAGAAGAGTTTAAAAAATATATACAATGTATAAAAGTGCTACATCTCTGTGTGTGTGTGTTTTATTAAACTATATACTTTAACTTTCAAGTTGCTTACTTGACACACACACACACACACTTATGCTTCAAAATAAAAAAACGAACATAATTGTTATAAAATTATAATTAAATTTCAAAACATTTAGAAACAAAGAGACACTCGTCATCTTGAGAATAACTGTCGCGATGCTTTATCGAATTCGCAGAAAAAAACCATGGAAAAAGAGAGCAATATCGCGCAGAAAGCGGCTCAGGAAGCAAAAGCCGCGTCCGATGCGCAAAACGTCGCCGGTCAGCAAGCAGCGCGTCAAGTATATTTAATTTAATTAATATACAGTAATTAAAGATAAAAAAAAAAATCATATCTCATTTACACAATATGGGTTCACTCTTTTTTTTTTATTCTTGCGATCGCATTGCGCGCGAAAGAATTTCCTAACGTCGTCATTACGAATTCAACCTTCCCTAATGTTTCAATCGTTCGCGTTAGATTCGCGTCCATGTCGACGTTATCTGAATAAAATACGCCTCGAAAGTGTAAAATTGTGGAATTAGCGGTATGCGAGTGATTTGCATCGGTAATTACGGTTCGTGCGGATGATAAGACGGTATTTTGTACAAATATGCCACCGTGCGCGCATAATAGGTGAAGGCACAGCTAGCCGCGAAGGCGATTCAGGCTGCAAAAGCCGCCGAAGCAGCCTTATCGAGTAAGGAAGCGATGGTCGAGCAGCTGCAGGAGGAAGTGAAGGAAGCCCGATCGGTGGTTCAGGAAGAAACATTCTCTTTGCAGCAAGCGCAGGCTAACGTCAATGCCGCGATCCAGGCGGCTCGGCAGTCGCAAGATCAGGTAACATCAAAAAGAGTACATTTGACGTAATTTGCATGTTGTAATTTATTGTAAAATAAGCTCGTAAGAGCGTGTTGTGAGTAACACTCTTTGACAAAAAAAAAAAAAAAAAAAAAAAAAACAGCTGAAGACACTGACGAACGCGGTGCGTACGGCGAAGTCGAACGCGGCGAACGCGCAGGCGGCGGCAAGCGGCGCGCAGAAGTCGTTACACGAAAAAGAGGAATTATTGCAGGCGGCCAAGAGACGAGTGGATGAGCTGTCAGATCAGTTGCGAAGCGCCCGGCAAGATTTCGCGAATACGAATCGCGCGGCGGCCAAAGCGAACGCCGCCGCGCAGCAGGCGAAGGTAAACGCCGCCAGAAACAAGAGGAGATTGGCGAATCTAAGAAGATTGCGCGCGGCGCGCTCACATGTAGACCACCGACCTGCTCCTTGAAATCTGTAAGATCTATCTATCTTTCACAAGAGGATCTTGTGCATCGAATCTTAAACTTAGACGTAGTAAATTATAATTTTTGACACGTGAAGAGAAACGAAAGTTTCGTGTGTGTAAAAAAACATAATAAATAAAATCAAAAATACGACACGCCTAATTGTCATGTGGTTTGATTGTGGGAAGTTTGTTTCACAATTGCGTTACAATTGCATTCTCGCTCCTCATTTGATCGCGCGCGATATTTTTATATTATTTCCATCGAAATGAACGTTTCTTTCTCATTCAAATCGCACGTATTTATTCCGCAGTTGCACAGTTCGCACACATAAATAAATTGCGAGATTTTTGCTTAATTACGCGCGCGGAGAAAATTAATCTCATCTTGACGACATCGGACGTATAATACAATTCGCCTCATCCGTTCGTTTGTATAGCGATCCGTTTCCAATTTTACGGCTCAATTGTGATTACACGGATTTATGAGAAAGTACGGCTAATTGAGCCAGTCAGTTAATTACACGTATCGCCGCCGATATTGACTTTTCGGAGAAGGAATCACGATGATGAGACGTCTCTCGCGATTTTAATTACCGCTCGCACGTGACGCGTTTTGTATCTTTATTATTATTATTTTTTTTCGAGCTCCCAAAATTTCAAGAGCGCCGGGCGTAAACGCCCGATATATGTAAATACGAATAACTTTTGAGATCGGTTCGACCTTCCCTGGGAACCTCTCTGTGTGTGACAATTGAAGAGCACACTAATGACACTCGGAAAGGAAGATAGACACACAGGGAGACGGCGATCATCTAGTGAAAGTACCGCCGGTTTACGTGTATACTTCACAACCTCCCCGGGTATATCACGAGGCGAGCTCTTACCAGCGGATTCAGTATCATCTTCACCATCCTTACTACTTCCTGACCCTAGTCTCTACCCGAGCGTGACGCACACGGTCATTGTGCAAAGGATGCGTTTATCGATCACAACGCCAATAATTTGTGATAATAATTTTTTCCAGTGAATTTTGTTTTTTTTTTTTTTTTTTTTTTGTTGTTCCCGCGTCGATTTTCTCTCGCGCGGATTTTCGACGAGTTTGTGCATGTGCGCGAGGAAGTGACAGAAGAAAATTTGCCGCGAGCTCACAAGGTATGCGATTATTTTTGTCACGTTTTTGTTTTCTCTTTCACCCGCCGCACGCATATCTTTCTCTCAAATAATAGATAATATAAATGCCCGCGCATTAATTAAACATTTATATCAAATTTGCTGCACGCTTACGTAAACGTTGGAATTATTTCAAGGAAACGTTTGAAACTGTGGGTGCTTCTCTCTTGTTAAGACTTAAGCGAGGTGTAGTGTCAATTAATTTTTTGTCTCGCCAAGAATGTTTTATGTAATAAAAGATACGTAACTGTGTTGGAGCAAAAGAAGCAATATCAATCAATTTGCTACTAATCTTCTTTCGAAATTGTTACGCAACAAAATATTGCCCGTGAAGTACGTCCCAAAAACTATCTGTCTTCTTTCGCGCAAAAAAAAAGTCATTTACGCAATTTTTCAAAGACGTTCGTTATATAGTCACTTTAATTCTTTTTGAATTATTAATCGAATCGAGAGAGTAGAAAGATTGTTCTTCGATTTTTCTGTCAAAAATCACGTTTTTACAGAGAAGAAGTTGATACAAAAAAAAGACACCTGTAATACGCACATATTTGGATATGGTGTGTAGTTGCACACATAATGCGCACACATAAAGTAGTGCGATTCTATTGTGGTCCAAAGTAAAAGTAAGCAGTTTAATCTTCCTTTCACGTGAACGTGATTCTCTAACCAATCCACTAACGTCAATTCGCAGCTCGCGTTAAATCATCCATCCGGATGTCCGAAGCGTTCAAACTTCTCTCGCGAACACTTTCGCTTTCTCTCTATCTCTGTTTCACACACACCCACACAAACACTCACAAAAGATTTTACGACAGTTCCATTCGTTTATGATTTACGCTCTTATATGCAAATGTGAATTAATAAAAATACCATCATCCTCTAAATTTTTTTTATCGTTCACAAATAACAACGCACGCGCACATTTTACTTTTATTATTTATTAACGATAATAAAAAATATCAAAAAGTGATATTGCATTTTTATTTTATTATTATACATTAAATCGCAAACGCGAAACAAAAAAGAAAATTGCAAAGAAATAAAAATCGAGAGATGAATGCTTGCATGAAGACAAATTAAAATGAGTCGAGAAGAAAGTCGCCTCACGATGACGGGGTAATTGAATTGGGTACGAAACAATAGCTTTGTTTGAACTTACCGAAGACGTCTTCACGATGACCTTGCGAAAATTCAAGAGAAGAACGAAAGAGAGAGAGAGAGAGAGAGAGAAAGAAAATATCGATGATGAAACGCGCTACCGCAAAAACGTTTTGACAAAGGTGAGCATTTGCAAACGAAAAGAAACAAAAATTACAGGTAATAAATGTCTATTGAGGCAATTCTTTATTAATTATTCATCTCTTCATTGCCTTTTGCCGAAGAGATTAGAATATATTGTGTTGACGTGGTATATAATCTCTTCTTCATCTTTCCCATCCATCTCTTCGTTGTGTACTTTTAAAAGGACTGACATGAAGAAGAAGATTGCGACAACTGATCTCGGGAACGTAATTAGAACAAGGCTAAGGAAAGAATAATAGTGGAGAGCGTTACACGATATACCGATATTGCCAAATACATTGGCATCATCCTCATGACACAACATTGCAACTTCGCATACATATAGATCGAATAAGACGTTCTTTTTATTTTATTTTATACGATTAGGAAAAAATAAACAGATTTATGTAAATTTGAAAAAATGTGTGTTAGGAATGTGCGGAAGGCGTGACCTGGGAGAGATGGAATATAGAATGTGTGTGTGTGTGTGTGTGTGCAAGTTGCACCAAGTAAGTTTACGCAAACGTCTCGCGTGTAATTTTACATGTCTTACAAAACGCGCGCGCGATTATTCGCAATTGTACAAAGAGGCGCGGATTTAATACATGATTAAATAGAATGTTTATAGAATCGGAACAGAATTGTTGAAAAATCTTCAATTATCGCAGCATTTTCTCAGAAAAAAAAAAAAAAAAACAAATACTTACGTACACTTGGTGCGAACTTTGACACGCGGCTTTGATTCGCTCAAAATAGTAGCTGCTCTACGTGAGAAACATTTCTCACGGCGAGCTGTGCTGGTATGTTAGAGTGCATCTATTACTCGAGCTTATACACACGCCAGTTGCACGTATCCGCATTACGCAACGTATGCGAGTTATGCACGTTTTCTCTCGGCGAGATGCGCCAATGTTGTACATACGCGCTCTTATATGCGAGCCTTTCGTGAAAACGCTTTTGTGTGCACGCGTGCGTAAATAGAGATACTAAATGTACACACACACACGCACGTTTTATATATAAAATATGCGAAATATTGTTCAAAAGAGAGAGAAAGAGAAGCTCAAGAACAAAACTTTAAACGTTTCGAATGACTATATTACATCAATACGATGGTGATGTCTCACGCGGCGACGTATGACTTTGTGTTTCAGATTGAAGCGAGCACTGGGAAAATGCTTTCAACAATATAATCGCAAGCAACGCACACGAGATGCTTATCGCCATGAATAAAATTGGAAGACATTGGTGTCGATTGTTATTGCTTATCGCGATCTTGTCGGAGCGCGTTGATACGGAAAAGGTTGAATAATAAAGGAATTTCAAGCGTGAAAAAAGTCTTTTGTTTTTAGAATTTCTCCCTCGATAACGAACACCGCGGTCTCTCGCATCGTTATGTTTATATTATATTACATGCTTATTCAGAAAGGATTACCTGATGCATTAAATAATAAATTTTAATCGGTGAAAGTAGCGGGAGAATTATTAATGAACTGTCTTTCACAAAGAGCGCGCATATCGGACTCGCACGGAGATTAATAGAAATGGCAATCAAACAAAACAATACAAAAAATAATCGCTTTATGTCGCCTTATTAGACAACTTGAGGAAATGTATTTATAAAGAACTAAAAGTTTTTTTATTACCTTTTCTTTTTTGTGGAACATCCTCCTTTCCTTTTCTACTTAAATAATTCCGGAAAAACGTGGCAAATTCTTTTTATTACTGGCGTGAGTAAATTGTTGTTCAAGATGACTCTCGTTGCAGCAAAAGCGGCAAATCTTTCGAGAGCAAGTGTTGCCAGCATTGGGTGGCAAGATTCCGGAAGAGGCCTTTAGAACAGATCGCTTGGCGCTGAATCGACTCAACAAGGAAGGTATCTCGGTGCCGGACGGTGTTGTCCTGGATGCTCGTCACGTTCAGAAACATTCTCACACCGATCGGAGAACGCCGTCGGAAATTCTAAAAGTATGCTTATATTTTTCTCTGCGTTATATACACAAAAAAAATAGTTTATCTTTTTATTCAGTAAAAGCAACTAATTATTCTATTAGCTTCAAGTATGAATTTTGTCTTATATCAAGGTCCATCAAACATCAGACGGTCGATACGTATCGCCAGAAGGGCGAGCCGCACCGAAGGCAGTTGAGACGACGTACATCATACGTAGGCCGTTTATGCACACGCATCACAAACCGCCGAGAAATTTCGAAAATGTCAAAGACACTCTCCGAAGTTATCCAAAACCGCACGTTTACACGAATTATAGACAATTTGTGCCAATTACAGTGCCTATTAAACCAGGCGTTTACAAGCCTGTTATAAGACCCTTGATACTTCCTTCCACCTTTGATACTTCGATCGACGAAGAACTATATGATTTATCGGATTGGAAAACGGAATACGATTGGGACACCGTGTGCGAGCCGTTTGACGATGATTATTACAGCAACAACATTGCGTATTTCGACTCTCGTCAGGTAATGTAATGTTATATAATGCTATTGTATATACAGTAGTTCCTCGCTAACGTGCCAAATTTTTCGTTCGGTATCGTGCCGGGAGTCATCTCCACCAATTCCTAGAAATGCTTCGCCGAGGCTTTGCGCGAACTGGTGGAGATGACTCTGCTCGCGGAACAGAGGAGCGGAAAATTAGCGAGGCACTACTGTATATTATACATTTATATAATATACAATAAACAAAACTATTATGTATACATATGTATATTATATAATATACTGTATATAATGTATATAATATATAATATATAATAGTTTTGTTTATTGTATATTTTTTGATCATCTACTTGTTAATTATTGTCATAATATAAAATATATATATATGTTACATGTGTATTTGAGTTGGACTTTATTGAATTGCTTGGCAGATCATCACGAATTATCAAGAATTTCTCGACGAGTTTCATAAACGATCGTTGAGACACGTGGCATCAAGACCTAATCAACAATATCGTCGGAACCATCACTGAAAGAATCAAAAATTTGTGATGCAAACGCACAATTAAATTCCGTAATCATGTTCGCGGCTCAACAAAAATCTAGTAGTTAAGACTTTTGTATGCTCGAATTTTAATAAAACACTAACAATTGTAAAAAAAACACTCTTGCGTGTTAATTGCAACTTACCAGTTAAAATTATATGTACAAAACAAGACGGAAGTATGCACCTGTATCTGCAGCGCGCGTATCGTCTTCGTTCAAGTTTTGCTTCGACGTATGAAAGTCGATAGAATCGAAAATCGTACAAATGTACTATCGAACGTCTTAGGGTAGGTTTTCATTGACTCCGGTCAAGTTGATCAATTTGATTGGTCAACTCCGTCGAACGGTTGTCTGGACAAAAATTGTGATTGGTCGCAACTGTCCATCTCTCGAAACACCATCTACATATGTGCATTTATACCATGGCGTTAGCGCGGGGTTACTATTTTCCCTGGATTTTCCCGCGGATTTCGTTACAATTTTATAGTTTACTTATGTTTGCCGTGTTGCAGTTGTAACATGTAGTTGTTTTACATCGCAACGTTCGTTCAATTGTGAAAATTATTATTAATTTATTTTTTGCGCGATATTTCTTTCAAATACTTTTGTTTGTGTCGACAGGATTTCGCACAATTGGTTAAGTTACACAGATCCCGGTTAGTTCTCAGTTTTTAATTAGGGTTAGGGTTATAGATGGTAAGGTTCCATCAACAGATTCTACTCATTATTGTCTATATTAAGAACAATTGAAGATCAATTTGAAGCACACACATACATAGGCTGTGATATTTTAGAAGTAACAAGGTAATTTTGCAATAATTCGATTATTTTTTGCATATTTTTTCTATAATAGATTTGTCAAATAATTTATATGTAAATTTTGTGTATGTTATAACTTTAAGATAAATGAAATGAAAGCTATGGATAGTTCAATGGAAGAAGAGGAACATATTGTAGAAACAGTCACCTCTTCAAAGAAGAAGAAAATGAAACAAGGTATAGCTTGATTTTCTTTTTTTTTTTATTGCATACACAGTTACAGACACAATCAATTGTTTCACTTTGGTGTTTTTCATTATTTTAGCACAACTGCCATTTCAAATGTTAAGTTCTCCTAAATCACCAGATACTCAACATAATGTACATAAAAAAAAAAAGAGGAAACTAGTTTCACCTTTAATAGAAGCTAAGAAATCTAAAGTGATAAAACTTTCAACAAAAGAGAATTCTGCTAGGAATATTTCTGAAGATAAGGAAGAAGACTCGGAAGCAATGGATCTAAGTGATGTAAATGAACTTAACATCATTGAGGTAATAAACAAAAAAGAAAAGAAAGAGAAGGAACAAATTGCTCAGCAAACTCATGAAGATAAAAAGAAACATATTACAACTAAAAAGAGTTCCTCGGGAAAGCGTAAGAAATTGGATAAATTCCAACAAAAATCTGGCGCTTTAACAAAGTTCCTCAAAGTGTCAAATAAGGAAGCTAGAAATAAAGAAGCTATTAGTGAATCGAAAAATGAAGAAGAAGTTATTGTTCTTGAAAGTCCAGAACATGATTCCTGCCAAAATTCGAATTCAGACATTGCAGTTTTATCTTCCAATAGTAAAGCTTCAAGCGAATTAGGCAAAACGAGTAAAAGAAAAAAATTAAGCAAAAATATAATTGACGAATCACTGTCTATTGTCACTCCAATACCTGAGAAAAAAAAGAAAAAAGTTAAAAATGTAAAATCAAAACAATTAGATTTATCTTCTAAGAATAAAGTTTCAAGTAAACGAGGCAAATCGGCATTAAGTACAAGCGAAAAAGTAATTGACGAATCACCGTCTGTTGTCATTTCAACACCCGAAAAAAGGAAAAAGAAAGTTAAAAATTTAAAATCAAAACAATTAGACTTATCTTCCAAGAATGAAGTTTCAAGTGAATCAGCATCAAGTACAAGCAAAACAGTAATTAAAGAATCACCGCCTGTTGTCATTTTAACACCCGAAAAAAAGAAGAAGAAAGTTAAACATTTAAAATCAAAACAATTAGATTTATCTTCCGAAGATGAAGTTTCAAGTGAATTAGACAAATCAGCATCAAATACAAGTGAAGAAATAATTATCGAATCAACACCTGTCATTTCGACGTCCGAGAAAAAGAAGAAAAAAGTTGTAAACTTAATACCAAAACAATTAGATTCATCTTCCGAGAATGAAACTTCAAGTGAATTAGACCAATCAGCATCAGATATGAACGAAAAAGGAATTAACGAGTCAATATTAAATACAAGTGAAGAAGTAATTACCGAATCAGCATCTGTCACTCCAACACTCGACAAGAAGAAGAAAAAAATTAAAATCTTAACACCAAAACAATTAGAAAAAATGCAAGAAATAGCTAGAAAAAGAGAGGAAAAGTTAAAATTGAAAGAGGTATAATTTAAATTATACAAGACACGTTTGACAAAAAAAGCGACGTTTATATTATATATATACATATGTGTATAAACTTGTATATAAAATTCTTATTACGTTTCCTATCAGGAAAGAAGAAAACAACAAGAGGCGGAAAAGGCAAATCGTCGGAAACAGAGAGAGGAGAGACAACGGGAAAAGGAAGAAAGAGAAAGAATGGAGAAGGAGGAGAAGAGAAGGGAGAAACAATTGAAGGAGCTTAAGAAACAAATGGAAATAGAGTAAGAGAGCATGTAATATATAATTAAACTATGTTATATTGCATGTTACGTTTTTACGTATTAAAAGCGCAATTTATTTCCAGACAAAAACAAAAAGAGAAAGAGGCGAAGGAAGAAGAACGAAGAAAACGAGAGGAAGAAAAAAGAAAAAAAGACGAGGAAAAGTTGGAGGCCGAACGCAAAAAGCAAAAGGCCGCTTCGAATTTTGCTAGTTTTTTTACTAAGAAACAGGAAGTCAAATCGGCGGAAGAAGAGAAGAATGCGGTTGAAACGAATTTCATGCCTTTTGAAATAAAGGCTGACATGAGAGTCGCGCCGATTAATCGAAGAACAATAACCGAAGAGGAAAAACTGGCTTTAGACAAAAAGTTCAACACGGATGTGCCATATAAACAATTATATCTCGAAGACATGATACACAAAAAACACGTGCCTAAAACGTGTACTCGAACATGGCCATTAGAAGCAAAGGACGATGAGATTGTTCTACTAGGTAAATAAAAGAAAACGAGGTAACAAACCTGTCTTTTATCTTTTATTATTTTAACGAATAAAATCGATTTCTTGTGCAGACGAGGACAACGACGGCACTTCCAATAATAACATAATAAAGGACACAAACAATCTGGAGAAACATCGACCGAAATTGCTGCAGTTCTGCGAAAATCGTCGTCCACCATATTGGGGAACATGGCGGAAACGAAGCGACGTTGTAACTCCAACGCATCCATTTTTGAAAGATAAGGTAAAACCAACAATTTATCTTTTTTTTTTCTTTTTTTTTTTCACAGAATTTTATTAATCTGCAATATGTATTAATTTCCAATGCAACTGTTTCTTATTAAGACATCTCGTTTCTGAACATGTTTAAAGAAATAACGAGAAGCTAACTGATTACACTTATTACTTCTTACTTAATACAAGACACCGTAAAAATCGAAATCATGATTAAAATTCACTGATTCACGTCATTAGTCTAGTTCTTTTATATAATTCTCGTGAAATCTCTTATTTCTATAGAGTAGATTCAAATGCTTTATTTTGCAAATGTATACAAACGCTATGTCATGCAAGTGCTTTATTTCAACGTGATAAAACTTCTTTGGCTTGTAACTTAATAGTTAACTATTATTAACTATCGCGAATTTCAAGACAATAAAAATATTATGAAAAAAGGCACGAGGTAATCGCCAGTTACCGAGCAAATCGCACAAATCGAGCAGTTAAGCAATTCGAGCTAAGATATCAAACTATTGATAACTATCGCGAATTTCAAGACGATAAAAATATTATGAAAAGGCACGAGGTAATCGCCAGTTAGCGAGCAAATCGCAAATCGAGCAGTTCAGCTAATTCCGAGCTAAGATCTTTACATCTTAAAAAAACTAATTAAACTAATTAAATTCTAACTATTTCTCTCAATCCAAAGTTGAGATTTTATTATTATGCGTCAAACAAGTTCTTTTGTTTTTTTTATCTCTTTCTCTCCGCGTTCTACGTAACAAACGGATTAAATTTCCGTCGGCGATACGTTGATTTTGCTGCCGCGCAATTCCTTGACTCCGTGAAACAACGGATATGCATTCTTCCGATGTACCTTCCGATGCTTGGCCAAATGATCGCTTCGCGCGAATTTCTTGGAGCACATTTCGCAGGCGTACGGCTTAACACCCGAGTGCGATCTGCGATGTCTCGCTAACTCGTCCGATCGACTGAAACGCCACTTGCAACCGGTCCAAGTGCACGCGAACGGTTTCTCGCCGGTATGCCGACGTAAATGAGCCTTCAAATGAGACGCTTTGGCGTACACCTGGAAAAAATAGTTCGTAGCTTTTTAAGTTTTTATTTTATTTTAAAGGCTAGAATTGCAATGAAGTTTAGATAAACTTCAATATAGAGTTTTCTTATACTTAAGACTTGATTTAAAAAAAAAGTCAACCTTTAAACATCCTTGATATGTACAGGGGAAGCATCGATCTTCGGCCGCGTTTCCTAAACTGCGATTGGTGTAATCATGTGTCGCTAACGCGGCAGTAGCTGCTGGCGAAATTAGGAGATCATCATCCAATCGATTATTGTTGCAATCTGAAAATCAAAATGCACATGGATTTTTGAGCTCAATATGTCTCAGATACAAAACAATTCTTTAAGTCTGATGTATCGGATCTTTTAGAAATTGCGCTTCTAGGTCTTCTTAGAATAATAACTGTGATCGAACAGTTTTCGTACCTATTGTATTTGCGTCTAACGTGTTCTCCAGTGATCGTAAATCGACTCCCAGCACTAGCAACGATTCTTCGTGTTGCGGCTGCGGATTCGGCTGAGATGACGACAAGTGCAGAAATCTCTCGCATCCGGCGGTGCACAATGGCGTCTTTTCTGGGAGGCTACAGTCACCGAACTTTCCCAGACACCAGCCCAGTTCCTCCAACTCCGAATCCAATTCGTTCTGTTCGTTCCAACAACCTGTCCGATAAACAATGTCCGATATGTTTTAATGAAACCATGTTGACGAGAAGAGAGACAAAAGAAATTTTTCCGCTTTTCTGTCAATACGTATAAAAACGAAATGCGCACCTGATGATGAGTTAGGTGTATTGGTGGTCGACCAGTCGTCCCAGGATGATTGCAAGGAAGAATTTAAGTCTTGGTAAAAGTCCATCGGATTTGACGTCATGTTTAACTGAGTGTCAAGCATTTCGAAATCGTTGTTGAGCGGACACGTTGCGCACATTGTCGGTATCTCACAGTAGTTGGATAAATTTGTGTTTTGAAAAAATAGCTGTCTTTCACTAGTGTCCGTTGTCAAGCCGAAAGCGGAGAACAGTAGTTCGTCTGCCATCTGAAGATATTAATTATATATGACACGGATAAATATTTTTGTTATACAAGTATTTTTCTTTTGTACTTCGCTTTTTTCACAGAGAAATTAATGCTAAGTACTCCGTTCGAGTTCGCTTGTTTATCAAAAACGGATAGAGTGTTTAATCGCAAACACGTATCGTCGTAAGCGCAATTATACTCACATCGAACATGGCTTCGTCGAGCATAATGACAGAGTAACAACAACCGTACTTCCGTAGATTTGAATCTCGCACAGATAACGATGCGACTTTTCCAATTACACAGAGACCGCACACGTAATTTATATAATAAACTTTCAATTTTATTTTCGATTTGTTTTTATCGCAACGTGTCTGACTTTAAAACGCGAAAAAAAAAACACTCCGAGCGCGAGATTGACAATATTTTGTTTATTATTTATCTATTGCTCCACGTGTCTTCTACATGTACGAATTACAGTTTGAACTTCGTTTTAGTCGTGCGAGATAAAGCAAGAATGTTTGTTTTTCTCAGACGAATAATCTCGTGTAACTTGTAGAAACTTCGAGTGGTTTATGGTGCTCGTTAACACTCGGTCTCATATCTCGGATGATGATTGGTACATTCTTTCCCTTACAAAGTTTCGAAATTACAGAATCGATAACGTTAACTGATGGTTCCCTTTGAGTCAGAACAATGATTTCTTCGAAGTCATTCGCGCGTTAGGAATGTTACAAGGAATGTCACGCGTCGAAAGAAAACGATTGGACATTTAGCGTGCGCGCGCGCGCGCCACGTGAACAAGTCGAGTATCGTTTCGAGACTGCAACTGGTGTTCGGGATTCTCGGTCGAGAACACTTCGGCGAGAACATGTGACGAAATTGCCGCCACGCAGAGACGTTCCCTCGAGAGATAAGGATGCTGTAGCCTGTACCATTCGGTACCGTCACTCCGATCGTCCCGAGGGAATATTCGCAATCGCGCGCACGACCTGTCCCCAGAACACCGAAAGAGAGAGAGAAAGAGATTCGTCATTAGTTTCGTCCTCTCTTGGTCCTTATCGATAGAGATGGAGTTAAGCGTCTCGCAAGAGTCGCCAATTTTTTTTCCGTTGTAACGACCATCGAAAGAATTTTTGAACGGTTCCTTGAACGTGATTGACAGCGTCATTAATCATGGTTCGATATGACAGCCGGAGTGTTTGTCACAAAGAAAAAGAAAGAAAACAAAATCTGTCAGAAAAGACGGATTTTCATCGGATTTAAGAGGGGTCGGCGGGACATGTGTGGAAAAAAAAAAAAAAAAACACTTCTTACGCGCGTATATTAACGAGTTTTTAACATTCCTCGAGGTGAAATCGGATCTTTTGCCTTAAGTAATTCGCGATCAATACACGCGTTCAATTCGATTACCATTTCTGACAAGGCAATTAACCCGGTTATTTACGATTCTCCAGGCAAATGCGCCGATAATCATGATGCTCTCGCACGCGAGCTATCATTCGCTAAACGATGTCGCTCCGCGAATCCGCGAGGGAAGAAGAGAGAAACAGACGCGCGCACTCGTGTCTTTTCTCGGGGATGTCTCGAGGATCGCACGTGGCCATCCATAGATATACATACGTACATATCGCACTTCCGACTCGCGATGTGGAATCGCGCCGAGTGGATTTATTTTCGTTCCGTCCGAATTCGCTTCGGTTCGTTTTGGTTCGTTTTCTCCGTTTTCAGTTCGAATTATCATACGCGTATTGATTTACGCGTTTGAAACACTTATAAATATTTCACACCCGCGTCCAGCGTTTGGCTCTTAAGATTCTTATTTCTTCTATTAGAGAGATTTCTTCCTAGTTAGAGAGAGATCCGCAATAGAATGTCGTCAAAAATACAACGCAACTCTCGGAAACTTATATATCGAAACGTTACGACGCGAGAGTTCGAATTTACATTCAGTTGTTTTCCGATTGATGGAAATTGCATATCGGTCGCGAGCTTCTTCGTGCTCTGACCCGAAACGATCTTTCCGAATTGAGAAAGAGAAACGCGTCTCGCGCGAATAACGTATGTGTGTGTCGCTGATTGTGTTTTTACACAAGCCATCTTTCGCGATGGCTCTGACCTGGAGCGCGACACAAAGAGCACCGATAAAGGTGTCTCATTTCGCGCTATTATCCGAGCCGATCGCACATTTATCGGTGCGAAGTGTATGACCTTCGGATACGGGACGTGTATGATTGTTGTTGTTCGAGCGAAGAGATTTGAATTTTTTTGACCCCGTGACTTCGCAACGTTTCACGTAGACGAGGAAAGAACACGCGACACCTCCGACGTGAGATCTTCTTCGAAGATTCCGATTCCGTCGATCGATTTCGAAATTAAAATTCTCCACGTCCTCCATCAATTAAAGTGCACATTTGAACTCACGTCGTGCGCAAAATGTTTGGCGGCCTTTATCGATTTTATTTAAGCGCAAATTTTTTTTTGTACGGCGTAAATTCCGGTATTAGACCGTAGATTAGAAAGCGGCGCCAAAAAAGTACGGCAGTTATCGCGGTTTACATGTGAAATATACACGTAATGAAAACCAGACCACGATTTTAACAAATGACACAAGCGACTCGTACGTGGTAGAGTCTATCTGTGGTGGATTCATTTCATTATCTAACCGAACCCGAGCGATTTGATGTATCTTGGCCCTCGCAAATCTGTTGCACTCGTGCGTTTCGATAATGAAAGTGAAGAAAAAAACGAGATGGAAAGAAGAAAAAAAACGCGTCTCATAGCTACAAAGAACTTTTTTTTAGATTCTAGATTTTCGGTGAAAAATTAATTGAAAATAAAAGTATCCAACCGAAGTATTTTAAAAAACAAATTTGTTTTTATTCCTCCCGACGGATATTCGCGAGAGAGTGTGCGCGTCTAATCCGCTGACACGCGCGCATATTATGTTCGGGAGCGATATCGCTCGCTGACGCTTCTTGTACGCTCTACTACGTCATATTTCCGTGACATCGCGTTTTCGCGTAATTCACGCGCGCAGCATCGCTTCGACCGTTTTCCAGTAACCGTGCACGATGTATCAGGTATCAATTTATCATCAGCTGCCATACCGTAGTATCCGCGCAAGGTCTTGTCCAACAGTTTGATTAGATTTTTTCAAGTTGGTCGAATTTTCGCTCAAAGTGCGGTAACCTGTTTTCCTTAAAAAACAAAAAATTATTGTTTTTTAATTGTTGATCTTCGGATACATTTTATACTCTTTCTCACAGCGAAATCACAATGCCGGGCCATGTTTCACGAAGAGCCCGCGAGGTTTCCAATTTCGGTGCGGTCTTCGCACGTCGTCACGCTACCTCGGGAGAGGTAACGAAGTGCAGGTCTAAGTCAAATATTCGGGAAATAAATCAGTTTGATTGTTGGGGTTGCCTAATCCACGACGGTGCGCGCGACGAGGAGCACCGGTTGTAATCTTAATAGGGTATAAAACAGCCATTACAGATGGCCCGCCGGGCGACAACACGCAGTAAATAATGTACGACTCTTCGCGGCTTGCATCGGCGCAAAGTGAAAGCGCATCCATCGCGCCCCTAGGCCGATAACCGAGCTTTTCCTTCTCGGGTGTGCTCTGGCGTCTCTTTTCGGTTTCGTCCACGCACACACGCACGCACGCACACACATCCACGTGTTTGGGTATCTCTCGATGGGTGCAGAAGGCCTGTGTTGGATTTTTCACGCCTCTAATCAATAATTATGACACCGATGTCAATTCCGCAGATAAAAACGCTAATAATAGAATTACAAGAAAATAATGATGGCGTTTGCTATATAGATATATCGCGACAATTAGAAAGTAAAATTGTTTTTACAAGTTTTCACACCTAGCTATGTATTTGTCTATTTGTGAACGATAATATTCAATAATTCTAGATGAATTGGTCGTACGTCGATTTTTATTGCGATTGTTTTCAGCCTTCTTAATTTGTTAATTTTATCAATTCTACAATTTTTTGATTTTATAAATTGTTTAATTTAGAATTTATTTGATCGCAATTATATACATATTCTGATTATAAACCGTTAATGCAAAATATTTTTTTCTGAAGAGAAATGAATAAATAAATTTCTTAGAAAATTATAATAATTAATTATTGTAAAATTGTTGCGATATTAGAAAAAAAAAAAATCAATTTGGAAACGAATAAATCCGCGACTGAGAAGACAAGTAATGTATTGCCGAGATCCAAGACACCCGCGTGTAAACCCGATAATAAATTGCGTGTCTCTCGAGACATTTATACGTTACCTTCATATATGCTGCCAAAAAGCTGCTTGAACGTAGACTTCTTGTTTGTTTATTAGCGAAAAAGCCGACGATTGCTTTTGTATTCGCCTCGCACGACGAGTGTATCAATCGCCCGTGGGATTGCGCTTTTTTTTCCACGATAATAAATTAATGTCTCGAGAAGAGTCTTGTAATTGATGCTCACGTAGGGATGAAATCGACGTTGATTTATCGAACAAAGCATATCTCGCGCCGCTGCGCAAAGAGAAAGAGGAGAGAGAGAGAGAGAGAGAAAGAGAAAGGGAGAGAAAATTTATCGACTTTTCGAGACGAGGAGGCACACTTCCGCGACGCGGTTTTATTACCGTTTCGAACTAATTGATTTCAATTATGTGTGCTGAGAATTATCGCGCTTCGTTTGACGTGCGCAACTATCCTCGTACGAAACGAACGACACGCGGCGTTCGTGATAAGCGTTATTGTCACCGATAAGTTCCGATGTATCTCGTGCGAAATGTCGCGCGTGTTACACACAATTGTGTGTGTGAGTGAAACAAAAAAGAAGTATTGTAAGAAGAGTAAGTTGTTTGCGAGCGCTGAAATAAAAATAGCTACTTGAAAGCTACCAAGTTGCACATTAATATAAATAACGAGGAACGCGGTAAACGCGCGCAACAAGTTGTATCTCTTCAACTTTTTGTCTCATCGGTGGTTTGCGCGTTGTTTTTTTTTTGTTATTTTTTTTTCTAACACACTTTATCGCGAGTGTTCGCAACACACACAAAGGCAGAGATCCGATAAAACCGAATCTGCATTTTGATGGAATGTTTAGCGGCCGAATGTAACTTCGCAACTAAAGAGAACTTCGGAGTGTAACACAAGTCGGAGATACAAAAGCCGAGATATCGCTCAAGGAAGTCCCTTTGATATCGACGTCCTGCTTATTCACGAGAGACCTCGCGCTTCATGCGGTTACGGTCGAGTCTAAAATAAACCGAGTCGAGGAAACAAAGCGCGGAACATTAAAAAAAAAAAATAATAACGTGAGACTGTGACGGTTGTTTCTTTCTTTTCGTTTCTAGAAATTCTTCGATTACACAGCCGATTCCGACGATGAGTGGGAGGAGGAAGAACCTGGCGAGTCTCTTAAGGGATCTGATGACGAAAAGGACGACGAAAATTCGGAAGAGAACGAGTACGACGTCGATAACGAGTTCATGGTTCCTCACGGGTAAGTCGTGTGCGATATATTTCAATTATCAACTCACGAGAAATTTGTTTAGAACATTGTCTCTCTTTTTCGAAATTAGATATTTATCTGACGAAGAAGCGCGAGCTGACGAAGAAGAGATGGAAGATATGGTAAGTATATTGCGATAAAGTAATTTTTCTAATACGTCGGGAAAAAAACAAAGCTAAAAGTTTTGCACACACTTCTTAGTAAAGAGATAATATAGAGAATTATTAATCTTACATAAAAACACGGTTTTATATATATATATATATATAATTTTGAAATAAATTATACTTCTTGTGATGTACAGTCGCCGCAAACACAAAAGATGAAGTTGAAGATATTAGGCGAACAATTCGAAGCCGAGAGAAACACGAAGACGCAAAAGCTCAAACCGAAACTAATTGGATGCATTTGGCAAGGATCCGGTAATACATTTCCGGAATCTGGTAAGTATCTTTTTTTTTTTATAAAATTCGATGTGCAACTTTGATATTAAAAATATTAAAGTTACAAGTAATAAAAATGTGGATTTGTATTTTATCTTTTTTTTTTACGTGTGTATTTTTTGTAATATTTCACGACACAATAATAAGATACAAATTTGTTTCAGTTCCTCCAAAAATCAAAGAACTTTTATTAGTACGGCAAGCCTGGGTCAGCAATATTCCGATAATACTCCCATCGCCGGAATGCAAAACTCAGACACCGCAACAATCCGTGAGAGAAAAAACCAAGTCGAAAAAAACGAAATTGTCTGGCGAAACGCTGCCTGATGTGCTCCAATTGCTGCACGGAAACACTCATCGCAAACGTCTTTCCGCGAAGAAGATAAAAACAAACACCGAAACAGAAATGATGAAGCCACAAACTACAAATTCAGTCTAACGGCTGCTATTTTCGTGATAACTGTGAACTTTTTTTTATCGACTGACTACTTTCAATAAATAGATTTAGATAATCGAAGATCAAATTACATGTAAGATTTCTTTCATGTTTAAATAGATGTTCAGACGTCATTTGAAACAAATACTTATGAAGGAACAAGCGAACAGATACATTCTGTCTCTCAACAGTTTGCTTCTTGGAACTGAAATATATAAATATATATATATAAATATATATATATATAACTATATATATATAAATATATA